TTGTGACTCTAAGTCATTTTATGTAGTCCGCTCTCATGGGAAGTTCCCAGGTGACCATAAAAACTGGAGTTTTGTTGTACCTATTGATACTAAGAAGAAGAAAAGCATTTCTCGTGCGATCTGCATCTTCACCTGCCTTCAACTACGTAAAAATAATTTAAAAGTTAAGATGGAAAGTACCCAAACAATTTACAGTGGGATGACAGTTTAAAGGCAAGATTCGTCGAGGAAGTAACGTTTTTCTTAAATAACGGATCGGATTAACGAGACAAAATAAAGAAAAATAACCTGGTGTTTCAATAGTCGTGTTGGTTTAGCTGACCGTAAACTTCTGCTCATAAGCCCCCTTACTGTTAAAAACCCAACCCCCCAGTTAAACGGCCTAAGGAAAAGAACACATCCTGTTATAAGCTCCCCTCTAGCTTTTATTGAAATGAATTCGTTTTTTTATGACGTTTTGAAGTTTTAAAAGCGAGTAAATTAAAGAAGTCCTGATCTGCAAATCTATGCAGGTTGTTTCGAAACGCTTTTTTTGTCCGGCTATAAGCCCCCACCTCTCTTCCGTTTATATAAGCCTTCCTAAAACTTTTTACGAAGTTGTATAAGCGCAGCACTTATAAGGAGAAGTTCACTGTAATGAAAGGCGTGAAAACCATATTCCCCATCAGATTGACTGAAGTTGAATTCGACAAATTCTCGAAACCTTATCGCCAGACAAAAAGCCCTAAGACATGATTTCAGGGTCGTGTGTTTGGTTAACTAGACTTTTCTTAATTAATTTGAAGATATATCATTATTGTCAAGGAGAAGTGCCACGCTTAACATACCCCTTCACAGGCAATGTTTCCTGACTCTCTTTCCCAGTTTTTGTGAGATCAAGTTATATATGAATATTCAAATAGAATTGAGGCAGTTATCATTCCTTCTCTCATTTTAAACAGCTGCAAAGACTTGAGGATAAATCATACCTGAAAAATGGCTTTCGGAATTCTGATCCTGCGTTTTTTTCTTCTGCTTGCCTATTGAAACTGGTAGAAAAAGTAAACACGTGTTTAAGACTAGGCATTTTACCCAGAAGCCGTTCAGGTTTAAGTTAAACGCTTGTAAACCGTGTAACTACAGTGTGAATAGAATTTCAAGTTAATATCTTTTAACTTACTTCCAATTTTTTTTTTTTTTGAGCGGCGAAGTCGCGAAAATGAGCGACGAAGAACCGTGAGAAAGAAGGAGGAAGTCGCAAGAATAACCTAAAAACTAAACGGACTTAAGTAGGTTAAATTTTTTAAAAGCTGAGGCTAAGCAATTTTTTTGCTTTTAAGGTTCTCTATTATTTTGGTGGGTTAATTTTTTCCGTCCGATGTAGCGAAGCAAACAGAAAAGCCACGAAAAATTAACTCCAATCCATACTAATAAACACTATCAGAAGCAGCCCCATCGAGAATTGAAAGAAACACACACAAACACAATGAATTGCCTCCGTAAGCTGAGGAGAGAGGACGAAATGCCTTTTTAAGCTATACTCTCAGCTCTCATTTTCAGTTAGTATACTTGAGAAACCGATTCAAGTAAATTAACGAATTTCCTTTCGTTGAAAATGCTTGGAGCCGGTAGAAAATTGTCACTATTAATGGCGCCGTTTGCAGTTTTCGTTTCCAAAATCCTTTTAAGGATTATCAAAATAATAGATTCATTCGAGAAAACAGTAGAAAAGGTTAAGTATACTCAACTGCACGTATATTGGTTCCGTATCAGACTTAGAGCAGTGGAAATGACAACCTCTGCTTTGAAGATCGTTTATAAGGTTTCACAGCGCGGCATTAATTAGCTTAACACCACCTTCATACGAGGGGGGGTAAAATGGCGGTCACCTTTATAACTCTAGGTTTAAGCTCACTGATTATCTCACAAATGACTCACTTCCTCAGCAGCTTTAACAACCGATCTTCACCCTATTCATCTCGAAAAATTACCGGTGTAACTAAAAGCTAAACACAGCTATTTAACGTTTGGCTTCACTGCGACCCACCCAAGTATAACGGCAAGCCACGCAAGCTTAAAAGCCGGCCCGCGGACAGCGGACGCTTTAAGGCAAACAGAAAAGCCCGAGAAATCGTCTTAATTTATCAGGACTGAGTTAACTAGCTTACTGAAAGACTTTATAGAATTAAATACTGAAGTTGATTGTTTGGCGAATAACACAAGCTACCCTGTTCAGCGGCGGAGTAAGACTCCCTTATGCCTGACCAAGAGCCATAATGGTTCTTGGTCTGACTAAAGTGGCGTTCACACACGCTGGGTGTCAGGGTACCGTGCAACAGGACGGGCCTCACTCGGCACTAATATGAACAAACCATTTTTTCTAGTACCTAATTTCGCGAGTATTAAATTTCGCCATTTTCGTGATTTGGAAAAATTTGATTTTGGAATTTGGGAAAAACACTAGGTTCTTGTGTGCACACGTTTTCTGTTAGTTCTGAGACAATCCAGAGTTAGAGCGATTTTATTGGTTTATCGAACATATACAAACGTACCTGGATTTTGATTGGTTAAGCGAACGCTCGGCTGAAAAAACTTCATGCCAGAAGAACTTTCTAGAAATCCCTTTGACGTCATACTGCAACACGGCTGGTCAATCGACCAATCTCTCCTCCATATTAGGGTTTTCTTTGGCGGGAAAAAGAAGAATCCATGTTCTATTCTTTTCATCCATTGGCTGATAAAACAAATAACAACCACTTACCGAAACAATTTCTCAAGGACATACGAAAATCGCTCTATAAGCTCAAATCAAGAGCCGATTATGCTCACGTTTCAAAATGGCGTCTGGCGGGGCGAAATGAACATGTACCTGAGTTACATGTCGCGTTCCCATGGACGAAGCACCATTTTGTGCGCATGCGGTACCTAGGCATTAACTCTCGGGCAGAGTGCGGGATGTAGAGTGAAAATTATAGGACGATTGTTGCAATTCTCGGGGGCCCCAAGGACTGGAGCCCTTTTTAATTAACTCCAGAGCGTAAGCCCTCTGACCCCTCGTTTTTGAGGTCGGAGAACTGGAGACCTAAAACCCTTTGGGACCCCAACTTCTTTGTTTTCCTTTCACACTTAAGGGTAACTTAGCTTGATGTTCTAGCTCCGCTACCCTCATTGACAACATATTTATTAATTAATAAGCATGATCAAGTTGTGGCCAGTGGAAACTTCTGTATTTAACAATTAATGAATGAGATTGAGTATCTTATGAAGAATTATGGAGATCGAGGAGGGTGTTATCCGTCGAGACCGTAGGCCGAGGTGGATGACACCCTTCGAGATCTCCATAATTCTTCATATGATACGAAAGCCTAGTTCAATAATTGTTTTATTATTCATTCAAAATAATTCCTTGTTTAAAAACATAGCTAAAACATGCTTACCTCCAACGATTTTAAGTTCATTTTCGACGGTGCACCTAGGATTGTTCAGCTCCGCAAATATTCTCCAAATAGCAGATGTCGCCCTTCGAGTTGTCTTCTTGCTGTTCTTGCCAAGTTTTTTGCTATTATTTCGCTTAGTTCTTACTCTTGAAAAGAGTGACATGTCCGCCATTTTTGTTTTCACAACCGATCACAACCAAAACAACTCAACCTCGTTCCCAGGTCTTCTCGGCTAACGGTGCATTAACGTGCAAAGAAGCTGCACTTTTGACGTCATCGACTCATCAATAGCAAAATTCTTCCAAATTTGGTCATCATTAGTTGGTTATGGGGAATTATGTGTACGCTTTTAGCCAATCAGAATCGGGGAAATATTTTGAATGAATAATAATCGTGTCTAAGTACTCGGGCCAAATGTTATGAGCAATAGACTCCCGAAAACAATAACAGTCTATCTATTTGGGCTAGAGTGCATCCCACTAAGCGAAAAATGGCAAAAATCATTCAAAGCTGATAATAGCATTGCCGCAAACAATTACAGGCCTATTTCTCCGCTGTTTAAATTTAATAGGATCTTCGAAAACCTGGCCTTTACGGGCTGGGGGTGAAAACTTTCATTAAGCAAATCTACTTTCGCCATGGCAATATGGCTTCGGCAAAATGCATTCAACGCAGCATGCATTTTTCGATATTGTGAATATCATTCAGTCAGACATGGATAAGCGCTTCTTCTCGTATGGTGTATATATTTTCTTGAAAAAGGTCGGATACCGTTGATCATAAAATTCTTTTGCGAAAAGACGAACTTTTGACTTTCAAATGAATGTCCCCTCTCCGGGGTTAAAACCACCAAGGTCTCGCCATTTTGAATGGTTAAGTCTGTAGCAGTAGAAGGAAATTAAGAAATTACCTCTCGTTCTTCCTCTCCTTAAGCACCCCTTGCCACCTTCCTTGCCTCCCGCTTCTTCTTACGAGTTCTTAAAGAGGACGTTTGTTGTCAAGCAACAATATGTCAATTAAAGAAACAGTTTTTGAGTGATCCTCTCTTATTACGTTTTGTTACTTCCTCGATTTCTATTTTCATTGTTCTATATCTGTTTGACACATTTGTTAAAATATTTTAAATCATTTCGACTGTCAAGAAAATCGTAGTGATGAAATTTTAAAGTATTTTGAATTTTGAACGCCGATTACTTTTGACACGTGGCTGAACTAAAGTTTTAGCCAGAATTCGATTTTGACGGCAGAGCAATAATAAATCTGTAAATAAGTCACCTTTAAATCAAACAAATAACAGGTTCAGTATTTTGATACAAAGGAGCATGATTTCAAAGTTATTTCTCTCTTTTAGTTAAGAAAGAGAGTAGGGTTTTAAACTTGTTTCGATGGAAATTTTTTTTGCCATTCCTCAACGATCGAGAGTACTTTGCAAGCGCAAAAAGTATTTGCGTTTCATGAAAATATCTCATCCTCTTAGAGCATTATGTACATTATTCTTTGAATTTAAGCTGGAATTAATTAAGAAATTAGACGGTTGTTTGCATTTCTCGACGAAGGTGTCAGATGTAAAATTGCCTTTTGTAAGTTTGAAAGAATAAAATCGGCTACTTGTAACGGACTGGCGTATGTGGCAGTTCAGTTCTGCAACCCTCGGTCTTCTTTGTTCGAACCATCAACTTTTTTGATACCCTCGCCGTTCAATGACCTCGTCGGGTTAAGGTAAGACTGCTAAGCTGAAAGCACGTTGTGGATTGAAAAAGGCTTTAAAATTTTCGCCTAGAGGTGGGGAATCAGTTTTAAGAAGTGCTTGACCAGCGAACTAGTACTGTTTGCTGATAACGATAAAGCTCAAAATAAATTGGTAATTTATAGTATTAACAAATTAAAAACGACCTACATTTGCCACACCCTCAGAGGTATATGATGAACAGCACTACAGACTGTTGCTGCAAACTTGACAGAACTTCGCAGTAACTTTCGTCTGAATAGCCACACTTTTGGATTTCATACACCGACACAAGAATTAGAGCCACAGTTGAAGAGGATAATAAACAAAACCACTGAATGGTCACATTTTAGGACTTTATCCACAAAAGCAAAAGTTAGAATCAACTTGTACAATATAAAAACACAGGGGCATCCAACGAGAATATAGTTCAAAACCACTTAAACATAGCATTGTTAAACGTGTTTTAGTATTTAAACGGTAGATATGGGCATATTTTTATCCCCTATAAATTTTTCATCTGTTCGGATTTCCTAGCTGAAAGTCTAGTGATCCGAAAACTATAGGGATCAAAACTTACCTTTTCGAAAATTTCAGCCAGAAAAAAGGCTCCCGAAAATTCTAGGTGACCTTTTTAGGGTAAAAATCCTTTGAAAATAGGCAATTTTACCATTTCTTAGATGTTCGAAAATCCTAGGAGAGGCAGGCAAGCAAGAAATTTTACAACAAATGTTCCGAAAATTCTAGATCTCAAATCGTCTTCCGAACAGATATTTTTCCGAAAATTGTCGTTGGGTGCCCCTGAAAACAGTACAACTGGAAAGTACTGCTTAGTAGCTTTCATTTCAGTGGTCAGACTCATGATTTCATCCACTGAGTCAACAGTTAGAATCACCTTATTCAGTGAAATGAACATTATTAACACAGGAAAGTACTGCTCAGGAGCTACCATTTATGGTGACACTTTCCATATTTTTTCGAACGAGCGCCCCGTCGATTATATCATTTTATTGCGGCACTGATTGAAGACTACATATTAGGGAATAACACAGTGCATATGCGTTATTGACCAAGCATGAGGCCGAGTTGGCTGCATTAGATTGCGTTTTCATCGGTTGAGACGACGTCAAGGTAAATGAAAACGCAAAAGAGAACAAAGCCAATATCCAGCTATCTTAAACGGATAAGCTTGGGCAATAAGTTATTTATTATATGTCTCTTTTCTTGGGGGACCAAAGCGGGAATTCCCAAGCAGGTAAAATATGTAGGCCTTACCGTATCTGTTCGGGTAGCCAATCAGGACGCACCGCTTCATCTTGCTTCATCTTCACCGCTTCTTACTTACCCCCAAAATCCGAAAATGTGCAACCTCGAAAAAACGTAGAAAGAGATTTCTCAACGGCTTTCCTCAAGTTTCTCCACAGCTTTTTGGCAAATTCTTAAATTTGAGCAGTTTTCTATAATCTAACTTATTCTAAGAAGCAGCTTTTACATGTGCTACAATTGTTCTAACTTACAAATTTCACAGTGTTTATGGTTGAGTGTTATTTATGGAATTTGAATTTCCTGGGTAAAAAGGAATTTCCTAAGATGTTTTGTTCCCATTTTTCCCGTTTCCCTCTTATGTAACATCCCATAAACTTATATATCGTTTTCACTTTCACGCAACAAAAAAATAAATGGGAAACGGTCCAGTGGAAGAACCCAAGAAAATGAAATGTTATACAAGACTAATATATAAACAATTTGTCCGAGTCTCAGGTCTTTGTGGCCCACAGTTTCTGAGTTATTTGCCGAAACGTTTCACGCACCTTTGTGGAGCTTTGTATTGAGACGCCATATTGGTGCACCGTTTTGGTGCACCAGTAACTCGGGCCGCCGGAAATCAACAAAAACATCTGGAGTTCACTTTTTCTGCGAAAGCTCTTTCTTTTCACTAGAGAACTAGCATACGTACGCATAAACATATCTTCTAATACTTGAAGTGGTTATACTGCTGAAAATCAAGAGGAGAGACTTTTTTCAACGAGACAGCATTCCTATTTTGGTGTCACGCACTGTGAAAGCTCGGAAGTTCAAATTGCTGTATTTTCGAAATGAAACATGCCACGGAAATGGAAACTTGTACAAAAATTTACTTTTTGTTTATCTTCAACCTAGTGTAAATAAGAATTCGTTAAACCTCGCTATTTCTTGACTTTACAATTTGATGACGTCATAGTGAAAACCATCTAAAAGATATGCTACTTTCTGAAGGACCTGTAACGACACTCAAAATCGCCGCCATCTTGGACTTAAATGAAAATTTGTTTATGCTTATCGTGTAAACATTTAGCCTGCGCCACAGACGGAAAAGGCCATTTCCGAGTTCCCTTCAGCCTCTGAATCAAAATGAGGTTAAGTGCTAAGCGTTTGATATGGGATGAGTTTTCATTCGCATGCAAATAAAACTAATTTTCACAAAAAAGGTTGTGCACTTGGCCTCATTTTGAAAGTGAGGCTATTTGGAACTCAGAAGTGGCTTACTGCACTTCTGGCTAAGTCCGTCTGCAAAACAGTACCGAAACGACACAAACATAAACAAAAAGTTTGCGTTGTAAAGACAGTGAAACTTCTATTAAGTGGACACTAAGCTGGATCCAGAAATTAACGTCTTATGTTTCCCTTTACAACGAACCCCTATTCAGCGGACACCTCTATTAGACACTAAAATAAATTATATTTCGTTAATTTGTATTGTTAATAACCTCTTCTTAGCGGACACTGGACTGAATTGGCAAAAGTAGTATTGGATAACGTCCCTGAAATAGGTACTGTAGTCGATTAATAAAGATAAATCAATAAATTTAGCTGTCAATATACTGTAGATTAGACCGAAAGTCTTGCAAAAAGTAAAGCACAGCTTCCTTAGCTCCCTTAACAACGTGGAAATTTATCACGGTACAGAGTAACCGTTGAAAATTAATCGTTAACAAACATTGCGCAATTTTTACAAACCTTAATTAAGCGGACACCCTCTATTATTAAGAGGACAGTTGGAAGGGTCCCAAAGGTATCTGCTTAAAAGAGATTTCACTGTACTACCATTTCATAGATCACACATCAGAAGAGTTACAACACTTTTTCGAGCAGTTGGCTGGAAAACGTTCTCAATATAATAGAGCCGGCAAGAGCTTGTTTTCTTCATAAAAGTCACCAAATTTTTGTTTTGCATTAAATTAACAGAAAAACACTGACGGACATGTATCTGAGCATTTACTTCCTTGTCACTTTGGTCCAACTCCATGCATCTGATACATGTAAGTATACAGATTCAAGTCATTTGAGTCAGAGAAAGAGATTAGATTTGTATCAACTTCGTCCTCAGGGTCTTTTCGTTTTTCGATATGGCAGCGGCGAAGAATGTAACCTCTGCAGTTTACATTATAATGGTAAAACTAAGCGACGCCTCAAGGTCAGATTTAACAGCACAGACGTCCAGTCGACAAAACTTGCATTAAATCTAGACCCCTTATTGTTTCCAAACACTTTCTCTCTAACTCGGACCATTCTCACACTGACATGCAGCAGTAGCCCATAACCCGGAGCGAGCAACATCCATGTGCTTTTGTCACGGCGTTTTCACGGTTTAGGATTTTGGCGCCGATTTTGAATATCTTTTAAATTCCACGAACTAGTCAGCAAAACCTAAAGACCTAAAAATTATAATTTTTGCCTTTTAATAACGTTTAGTTTTCCTTTTGATATCTTATGCTTCGAATGCGCTCATATACATGGTGGAGATTCTATTTCCGAGGGAAAAAGTGCCCTAAAATGTGTCTAAAAATATACTGATCCGTAAATACGCCCTGACATAGGCCTAGTATGGGAGTTGCTCGCTCCGGGTTATGGGCTCCTGCTGCAGTTACTTACACTAGAAACTAGTAATAACCAAAGGTTACGGAGATGCGCGCGACGACGATCGAAAGTCAAACCACTTTTGCTCCACGGCTGTGGTTTACATAAGTTTCACGTGACAGATGTGCAAAACACAAGTAATCAATTACAAGTGATAGAAGGTCCAAACGCGCGTGATAAAATTGCGTTAAGTGCATTCCATTTGTTCTTAGTATGCGATTTATGCAAGCTACATACATGCGACGCAGGCGTAATAACCAACTGGAGATTAGGATTACGGGCTCCTCTTGTCGTCCGCAATAATTCCGCATCCCTCACGTGACTCAGGTCTGCAAAGCAAGGTATAGGCTTTTGTACATTATATTCTAATTCGCTACCCCGCTCAAACGAATATAAAACATTTATCATGTAACAAGCAACCTCAATTGGGGTGTGTCAACACGAGCCGTGTGCGACCCTCTTTATTATGCCTTCATCTACAGAATGGATGGAAATAATACAACAAACAGAATGAAAACTCGGAAATGTAAAAAATTACAGCAAGGAAAACAGCCCAACAAAATGATCTAAACTATGCTCGTATAACAATCATTCAGTAAACATACAAAACGTGCTAAACCTTTCATATAGCAGCATGCAAAAAACTACGTCTAAGAGAAACCCCTGATCACTGGGTATTTAATTTTGAGGGCGTAGGGACAGTCGTAAGACGCGAATGAATATAAATGAGAACAACTCAAATATATATAGCCTACCGCTAATGAAGCAACAGAACAACATACCATGTAACACCCCAAAGAAAAGGTTACATAACCCATGATAAATACATTTATATTCTAATTCGCTACCCCGCTCAAACGAATATAAAACATTTATCATGTAACAAGCAACCTCAATTGGGGTGTGTCAACACGAGCCGTGTGCGAACTAAAAGAACGGGAAATACGGAAAATTAAATACCCAGTGATAACGAAACCGACAACAATGAATGAACACTATCCTTAATGTAACCGTCTTTTGCCTTGTCTGATTTCCAACGGCCGTGTCTTTTAAACAATCTGTCAGGCACTCGAGCATTAGCAGCAGCGGAGGCACCTCCGGCCCTAAGGCTATGGAGACCGTAGTCTTGCTTGGGAAGGCCGATGGAATCGAAAGCGCTAAGCACTATCTCCCGCGCTCTAGTATAAGACAAAGGAACAGACCCGCGCAATTTATAAGCTCCGGTACTGCGAAGAAAAACAACAGGGCGAAAAAGGAACTCTTCGCTGTCTGCTGAAAAAGAAGCGGCCACAAAATATCGTTGAACTAATAAATAAGGACATGTATGCTTGAAAGTTTTAGCGATAACAACCCAAGCCCCATCCCTGTAAACGTCAGTCTTACTTCGATGAACAAAGATTCTCATAAAAGAATCTTCAAACTGAAAATCACACCTGCGTAACTGAACCAACTCGTTAAAGCGAAAAAACCCTGCATAACCTAAAACGCACAAAGAAAGCACTCGTAAATCAGACAAACTAGCTGACGACGATCCATACTTAGAAAATAAAAGCTGAATAGCCTCGGGGGTCACAGGCTCTTTCTTTTTAACAGGGATACTGAGAAGCCTCTTAGCAGATTCTATTAAAGGTAAAACTAACGAGGAATTACAGGGGTCGGGTAGACCTGCCAAATCATGCACCCACTTGAGCCCATAATGGACTTCGTCAATAGTACTGCAAGAAGCAGATTCTTGAATCAAGCTAAGAAAGAACAATGAAACGTGCACACTAGAAGCGGGAAATATAACAATTTCTTTAAACTGAGAAGCCCATTTTCTCCACGTATTGAAGCCCTTTTCGTACTTCCTCGCGGTACTGTCGGCTTTGGATTTAAGAAGAACTGCGGGGAGATCTTGAACCAGTGCCCGGAGTCGCCCGTCTTCAACCTGTTGAAAATTAGGCTGCAAGGCATCTTTGAGAACTTCTACGAGGATAAGAACAAAAATATATGGCAAAATTCCACAATACACGCACTGGGAGTCAATACAGCAATAAAAAAAATGGACGCTTGGTAATGCCTCTGACCGGATGCAAAACTATTTAAGGCCGAATGGGCCAACTCAAAAACCACGGTAAACAAGCCACTCGGCGAGCTAGTTTCACGCGAAACGAGGACAAATGAACCGACGAGCGGAATAAAAAACACGTGGGCCAACATAAAGCCACTCGGCTTGAAAAAACTAAGGCCCCTTAGCGCCAATTCTGACTGCCAGCACCGCGCTGTTAAACCTGTCTGAACCAATGAGTGAATCTTTGTAACACCCGAGGGCAAAAATCCCTGAGGGGTCGGGAAAATGAATGTACTCAAGGACGTACGGTTGAAATTGAATTGCATTTGCGAACAAGAAAGGCCAAAACACATTAGACGGCCAATAAGGGACGACTAAAGTACCAACCGCACCGCATACAAGGAGATGCTGAACCGCCCTAGTAATGCAGTGGACGGGAGGGACTAGCCAATTATTCTCTCCATTCCACGAGATTGAAAATGCGTCAACAGCTTCAGTGCCGGGTACGCGAAACCTAGAATTGAATCTGGGAAGATGGGCGTTGGCAGCATTCGCGAACCTGTCGACTGTATGTGGGCCCCAAAGGCGGTCCAAGTGTGCGAAGAACTCGGGGGTTGTATACCAGTCATCGAAGTCTACAATGTGGCTAATCGCATCAGCACAAGCATTAAGTTCCCTGGGAACCCACTGGGGAATAAGTGTAATATTATAAGTTCGACAAAAATAGAAAATATCAAGCGCAATAGAATGCAATTCTGCACTAGGACTCCCTATCTCCACAACACGAACGGCCCCTTGGCTGTCAGAATGCCACTTTACACACTTACCCCGAACCGAGGCTTTGAACGCACTTAAGGCAAATTGTATAGCCTTAAGTTCTCTCCAGGTAGAGCTCTTAGCTGCTTCGCAAGCAGTCCACATACGATGGGACACCTCATTAGTGCCCACAACAAAAGCCCCGCAGGCGACGTTGCTAGCGTCCGAATAGCTAAACAAAAGGGGAGCATTATAAGGCAAAATAGGTCTCGTATTAAGACTAACGATATTGTTTTTCCAGAAAAATATTTCAGAGAGGCAATCATTATGAAGCCCGATATTAAAACGGGAATCCCAACTACGGCGGGATTCTATGACCTTGTAAAGGAAACGGGTTTTGAGACGAGTCAGGTTACCCAAAACTGGCGACATGGACATAACATGACCTGCGATAACGGCACAATCCCGAGCCGTAACATAAGGTGCGGATAGAAGAAATTTGTCAAACAGAGCAATAAATTTGCAAATACGTCTATCGGTAATAGAAATGGTACCGATAACTAAGTCCCAGTTTAAACCCAAACAAACAAGCACCTGAGTGGGGTTCCATAGTGATTTGGCGGAGTTGGCAACAAACCCCGCACTGCTTAAGGATGATTGCACAAACAATGAATTTTCCTTGGCCATAGGCAGTGAATCCCCTTATCCGCACCCATCGTCGAGGAACACAACAATTTTAATCCCGTTAGACCTCCAAAACTTAACGAGTGGTCTGAGACACTTGGTGAACACGTATGGGGCTGAGCTTAGACCGAACGGAAGTGATGCAAAACAAAAATACCGAACGGTACCAGAAAAAACCCAGGAGAAACCCAGAAAAGTTTGGTGATCCGGAAAAATATCGATATGGTGATATCCAGACTTGAGATCGAAACTGAAAAGGTAGTCGCCCTTATTAACATATGATAATAAAACTCTCCAATCTTCACACCTAAACTTCTGTTTCCAAACGAAATGATTGACATGACGTAAGTCCAGAATAAGCCTCTTCTTGCCTGAAGACTGTATCGAGACAGAGAGCGGATTAACGACATGTGGAATAAAGGGCACTTCAACGACGGCGTGAGTGTGGACTAATTCAGCGATAGCCGACTCCACGAAAGACGCATTATTAAGAGCTGACTGATTGTTAGAAAAACGCGCCTGACAAGGTGTGCTAATGAATGGGATCCGATAACCGAATTTAATAGTATCGATAACAAAACTATTGGCACCAATAGTGTGCCAATAACTTAAACAGGACCTAAGTCTACCCTTAAGTACTGGCAATGCGGAATTATGTTCAAATTCAAATAGATTGCGATCATAATCGAAATCGACTAATGAACTAGAGTCTCTTTCCCTGAAATACTCCAAATAAGAAGGATACATGTCTAATAAATTGACTAAAGCTAATATCTAACCTTGGAGAACAAGTTTTTAATTCTGTGGTCCTATTTACCTCCAATGCCCGAAAGACCAGAAGAACTAGGAAAGGACTGCCCCGAGCTTGAAGATCTGGCTTGAGGATTAACCTGACACTGAGATCTCCAATGACCCTGCTGGCCGCAGGCGAAACAAATATCACTTGGTCTTGGTTTGCTGAAAGCGCCAAAAGTACGAGAAATAGGTCTGGAGGATGATGAATGTTGGCCAGGAAACGTGGTGGTTGCGGTAGATGATTGGAGTTGTGAATAACCTTGCTTGGATGGCTTCGCTTTCTGTTGGCGTTGGTTGCGTTTACGAAGGGCCCTCTGCTCGGCACGGCGGATACGCTTTTCCTCCTCCGACCCGCTAGCCAGCTCGTCTGATAAATACTCGTTCACCAAATCCCAACCGGCGGCGGACTTGTCTGCCAGTCTGATAAGTTTGTTGCGCTTCTTGATGTCAGAGTCTAGTTCTTCCAGGTGAGTTTTAACAAGGTCTAATTTTCTCTTCCCGAGAGCAACGGACGCCGACTTCACCTTCTCTGCAAGGTCGGAGTTGAATTGAAACTGTTTCTTATTACCTTCGAATCTAAACGTGATCTTGGATTCTTCTTTAAGCTTTTTGGCCACAGAATCGGTATTACTGCACGACTCGTCTTGAATATCGCGCTTCAAGGCGCCCAACTTCTTGTCGAAATAATCCTTAAATAGAGAGAACGCGGACGCTATATCACTGGATTCTGAAGACTGGATTGGTACTGAAGCTTCGAGAGATTGAGACAAAGGTTGTTTAGGAAGCGAAGGCAGCAAAACGTTGCTTCTAGGAAACTCTGTGTTCGCTGGAGTAATGTCTTCAACATCAGACATAATTTTGAGGGCGTAGGGACGGTCGTAAGACGCGAATGAATATAAATGAGAACAACTCAAATATATATAGCCTACCGCTAATGAAGCAACAGAACAACATACCATGTAACACCCCAAAGAAAAGGTTACATAACCCATGATAAATACATTTATGCTTTTGCTTCCCTACTAAAATGCTCCACCTTAATGCTCCATTTTTCCCACTAAAATGCTCGGTCTCCCCAAAAAAGTCACTAAAATTCTCGGATAATGCTCATTAAACAATCGGTTTTTTTAAAATTAATTTCAAAGTTTGCACTTACAAAAACGTGCAAGTGTTGCAAGTAACAACGACAACGTGTACAAGGTCATAAATACAGCCAAAAAAACCAGCTTTATTAGGTTTTTTTGTGAATTTTGAATCTTAGTCTTCATTTTGTTTAAAAAAGCAGGAGCTCATGGGGCATGGGCTCCTGAAAAAACTTAATTTCTATTTTATTTTCTCGGAAAAATTAATTTTCCGGGGAAAATGCCACTAAATTGCTGGAATAATGCTCAATGCTTCTGCCTCACTAAAATGCTCAAAAAAATGCTAGCATAATGTACAAAAGCCTAGCAAGGTAGTCACATTTGATAGATAAGACCATGACTCTTGAACCAAATGGCCTAAAACACCGTGACAAATTGTTATCTATATCCTTATTAGTTTTTTTATTCTCTTTTATGTTGTTCGTAAATTCCATGTGTCTTTTTTAAACAATTTTTATCGCGACATTCTCCATCTAACTAATAGATGAGGCCATGATTAGTTTTACTATAATGTGCCCTTCTCCATTCTAATTTTCTTCTTTTATTATTATTATTATTATTATTATTATTATCATTATTATTATGTACACGTAGTTTAAGCAACTTTGTACTAACTGATATTGTACAACTAATGGATTATTGATTTTGTACAACTATTGTATTATTGTACAACTAATGTATTATAGGATGGAGTAAAAAATAAAATACAAAAATACAAAATACAACTAATATAAATTTTAATTCCCCCTATCAAAAAGTCAGTGACATCAGTAAACCTGAAGAAGGCTGGTATGGCCAGCCGAAATATTGTTTGAAAAAAGCAATAAATGTTGTTATCTGCTTTGCAGTAGTCTTTGAACTTCTGGGTTTTGTTCATAATATTTTAGCTGATTAGATTTCTTTTCTAGAGATCTAACGTTGACAGAGGGTTGACAACCAGCAGGATCTTCGTCCACGATTTTTGCAGTTAATTTGTTTATCATGGCGGCAAGGGTATGCAGAACGCCAAATGACTCTGAAGTTTAGTGAAGTAGGGAGGAAACGAAATGAATTAATACGTTTCAGGTCAGATTTCCCAGTATAGTGACCCTAAATGGAAACTGATTCACCCTTTTGTATAACCCTGATCGCGAAACTTCAGAGTCATTCGGTGTTCGGAGAATGCAGAACGTCGAATTACTCTAAAGTTTAGTGATTAGGGTTAGGAAACTGAGTGAATCAAGTTTCAGGTCTGTTTTCCCAATATTATGACCCTAAATGGAGCCTGATTCATTCAGTTTCCTAACCCTTATTACTGAACTCAGAGTCATGCGGCGTTGTGCATACGGCGTTTGGTGTTCTGCGAAATCAGGCGGCAAAATACCCCTGCCGTTATCATGACGGAGAATATGTCGCCATATTGGAAAACGAGAAAAGCCTGGGGACGGGGTTGGAGTTGTATTGAACATACGCAACTTCCAGAGTTACACGATCAAAGGAATGGCCCCAATCTTGACCTTGTCATGAAAAAGTCTGTTAGAGAATAAAGGGGTGCGAAGTTTAACTTATCATTTATCAATTTATTTATCTGTACAGTGGCAGCGTTGCCTCACGTAAAATGCACTCGAACTTACCATAAGCTGGGTTGTTATAAAAAGGTGTCCAGTTCCGGGAACCCCTGGCAGCTGTTGATAACGGACAGAAGTGACAGTCCTGACGGATACCTTTTAGACTGGCGTAAATGGGAGGAGTCGATTCACAGGTACGTTTGTGAATTCTGTATCAAAACTTCTTATACCAAGTACCCAAATTGTGGAACTCTTGTTTTTGTTAATATAGGAGATCAGTTGGTTAGCAAACGACTTCTCAACTGCTTTGCTGATGAAAGTAAGATTTGAAACAGTGCGATAGTTTGAAAACTGCGCATGACTCGGGGAAGGCCCCTTAGTGTTGTAGAGGGCGCGTAGCTTGGCAACTTTTAATTGAGAGGGCATTTGGCTAGATTGCAGCGAGGTATTAATAATCTTAGTGATAAATAGTATCAGTGTACCCAGAGCTTTTCTTGTGACATAGAAAGGAAGAGGGTCAAGATCACATGATTTGGAAGTTAATTTCACGACACATTTGCGGACTTCATCAACGGTTACCATACTGAATTTATCAAACTTATAAGGACAGACCCGCTTGACTTCTGGAACTAAGTGGATGGGAGCTTCACATCTAATATAAGTCGACCAGTATATTAGTTGTCTTATTGAAAATGAACTCGACTTTCTATCCAATAGATTGTCATTTGTCTTGAAAAGAAGTTTGTAGTCCGACTGATTATTATCACTGAATAATGAAGTGTAATACTGAAGTGTTTACTCGGAAGAAACAATTAACTTGTTGACGGCACAGCATTGATCAATAAACAACTGGCGATTGATTAGAAGTTTGGTTCTTCACCAGCCAGCGCTGTTCCAATCTCCTGATATATTTGTTCACGCTGTGTATCTCCTCTGAATACCAAGGTGTAGCATGACGCCGGGTAACGGTTTTGGTTTTTACAGGAGCATGGATGGCTAAATGATAGACTTGCTATAAGTCGACCTCTCATAAGTTCTTAAAAAGGACCGAAGCGAGCTTTAATGCACGAGGTCGCACAGCGACCGAGCGAGCGACTAACCAGTAAAAAAAAATAAAGGACTCTTATTAAGTCTAGGGTGGCTAGAATGGAACTTGGAACATCGTCATCGTTATAATGAATGATAAGATAGTCAAGTACGGAAGCGGTGTAGCAAGACACTCGGGAAGATTAGAATTTGTGACATCAGCTCCAAATTATCAAAGTCAATAGAACGAAGCCTTCTAAAGGTAATAAGCTTCCTTGTCAAACATTGACTTTTTGAGCATATGAACGGCGGCGTGATCAGATAAAAAAAAGGGAAAATCAATTCATAAATTTGAAACAATGTTATCATCAGATCTAGTGATTACAAGATCGAAAGTGCGACCTTCCGTATGTGTAAAGCTTGAATTAAGATTGATTTGCAGATCAATTACAATAGTTCTTAGTTGATACCAAACTGTCGAGATGGAAGCAGAGGTAAAAATAATTTTTATGAATTGCAAGACAAAAGTTTTAAAAAGGGCTTAAGGCTGAGTTGCGTTTAAGCGTACGAGAGCCTGTTTGCTGCATGCCATTGGCCGGGTGGAACACCCGCGTGGAGACTGGGGGAGGACTTTGTGTGCAGAGGATGGTAGCTATCCATCTTAACTGACATTTTTGCGCTGTCTATTTCAATGACAGCCTGGCCTGCAGGTGTGCTGAGGTCGCACGAAGGCAAAATTTCACAGTGTTTGGACTGCAGAACTATGCAGAATGTTGGAGCGGCCCTAATGCGGAAAAATCATTCAACAGAAATGGAGGCTCAGACAGATGTTTGATGATTCTTAAATTGCCTCCAGATTGCAACATGAATGATCCCAGGGAATGTATGGGGATGGATAATGTGAATTTTATGTACAGACTCGGTAAGTTTGTTTCAGCCCATACGTGGATATGCTTAACCCACTTAGTACAGACTTCCGGCCGCCCTAATTCATCACGGTAAGTTGTTTCAGAATTATAAGTATGTTTGCCTTAAATGAGCAATAGTTACTTCTTTGGCATTTAAGGGACTGGTCGTTTGTGGGGGAGGAAGCGGGGGACGGGGGGGTGGTTTGGGGTTGGCGGTTATTTTGAGAAAGCTTAGAAGATTTTCTAACCGACCCCCCCCCAGTTCATCCTACCTTTTCAAAACAGATTCCACCATAAATTCAGTTTACAAATTGTGAAAGCTACCCCACAGCCGAAGCCGAATCCTGCCGAAGTTCACCTCATACTTTATCTCTAGTCGATACGGTAAAACGGGCTACAAAAAACGTGCAACTTCTTTTGCAATATTGCTGCAAAAGGAGTTGAATAGCGATGTTGCGCGTTTTACCACCCATGTTCGAACCTTTCTTGGGAGGTTTGTTTCGTGGGTAAAAATGCGCAACAGCGTTATTCAACTCGTTTTGCGGCAATGTTGCAAAACAGCTTGCACGTTTGTTGATGCCCGTTTTACTGTACCTTTACGGCTTTTGTATTCAATATCATTTTACGCTCGTTACTTCTTCGTACTATGTTCATGAAATTTATTGAAATAATCCTCCAGAAATGATCCCCCAAAAGCAATCAAGATTTTGAAAATGATCCCCCAGCAAAATGGCCGACCCCTTCTCCTCACAGGTAATAAACGACCAGCTCCTTACTAAGCGAGGTTTTTTCCCTTTGTCTAAGAAAAAAAAAACCCTAGGGAAGAGGTTGTGTCATTAGGAGATGGTTATTAGGGGCTTAAAACACATTCAACTGTCAACATAGACGTTAGCAGAGATCCGGACAATCCTGAAATCTCAAGGCTCACATCTTTATAGGATTTTTCTTAATTTTACTTCTGATTTCAACTGTGTTTCAGATGTAGACCACTGCAGGAAACACCCATGTAAGAACGGTGCAACGTGTGTCGCTGCAAAGCCATTTGGATACAAATGTGATTGTACGCAAGGCTTCACAGGCAGTCACTGCGAAACAGGTTTGGCTCCAACAAAGTAGACACCAGCTTAGATAAAAATAATAACAACAGGAGCCCATAACCCGGAGCGAGCAACTCCCATACTAGGCCTATGTCAAGGCGCTTTTACGGACCGGTTTATTTTTAGACACATTTTAGAGCAATTTTTCCCTCGAAAATGGAATCTCTGCCACGTCAATAAACGCAGAAGTATAAGATATCAAAAAGGAAAACGTGACGTCATTAAAAGGCAACAATTATCATTTTTAGGTCAGTAGGTTTTGCTGACTGGTTTGTTGGACTTAAAAGATATTCTAAATTCGTCCCAAAACCGTTCTAAAAATAAACTGGTCCGTGAAAGGCCGTGACATGTGTACATAGAAGTTGCTCGCTCCGGATTATGGGCCCCTGATAATTAAGGGACACCCTCGGGATCGAGGCAAGTGTCCCTTTGGGATAGAAGTGTCCCCTGAATGGAGGTTGGGCTGGGTTTTCTTAATAATTAACCCACAAAGACAACATAAATTAAAATCATCATTAACTAATCTCTGCGACTTTATATGCTGAATTCACACAAGTGCATTACATCTATTCAAGTGAGAAAGTTCACCTTGTGAAAGCTTTCATAGTTGTGAGTACTGTACATTAATTCAAAGATATCAACCCTCTTTGTGGTCAGTCACTTTTTGAGTGCCAATGTGTCCCCTGAATCGAGGTTAAACCCGGGTTTCCGGGCCCAGAAAAACTGTCCCTTTCCCCTGAATAGAGGTGTCCGTTCAATACTAGGGTAATAGATACAAAGATTATGTGAATATTTTCCCGGGACCGAATTTGGTGTCCCGTGAATGGAGGTGTCCCTTGAATAGACTTGTCCCAAGGAGAGGCTCCACCGTCAATAAATAAGGTTAAATGCTCATAACCTTTCGATCTGTGTTCTTTTAGGAAATTGTTGTTACAATGACGCTTGTAAACTTGTTTTAAACCTGTGCCGTAGAAACAAATTTTGAACGATTTTGAGCAGCTCATACGTGTTGCTCTTTCTTAATTCACTGTGAGTGCAAGAGAGATAAGAGTCGTGGTATTTGTTCGGCTTTATGTGTTAATAACAAAAGTTTGACGCGATACCAGCAAGTTGGCATCCTCGGAGACCCAGGGGCGGTCAGTCGGGTCGGGTAAAACAGCGGCGAAAGTTTTCAAGAAAGCGCGAGAGAGCCCCTGGGATGCCACTCTTAACGATCCAGTTCCTCAACTCATTCGAATGCTTGTCCCATTATAGCACTTGCACAAGTCAAAGCATACCGACTTAACATACGGTGTTTTGAGTTGGCATGAGTCGGCAGACACTGTCCTCATGCTTCAGACGAAAACCTCTAAACTGATCCTTGAGATACCAATTAAAAAAGGATACCTTAAAGAAGATATTTATTTTTTTTTATTATTACTGTTTTTTCTCTAAGACGTCAACGAATGCAACAGAATGCCTTGCAAAAATGGGGGAAGCTGTTTTAACAAACCAGGAAGTTTTGAATGCTTTTGTCGTAAAGGATATCAAGGCAAACTCTGTGAAAAAGGTAAGGCAGAGGTCTTCACGATGTTCCAAAAATATGTAGTGGTGTTTCGATTTCTGACAACTAGCAGAGAATACAGGGTTGCTCATCCGTTTCTTAGTTTTATATTGGTTCAAAAACTTCGATCAAATTCACATAAAGTTCTTGTACTGAATTTGCTTCGACATGGTCTGATCATTTCGAAAACTCTTAAATATCTAGTTCTTCGAACCGGAAGGGAATAATTATAGTAGTGGCTATAAATTAGCGGGCGCGGTCCGACAGCAGGGTGGGGTTGTGGGCGAACTTCAAAGGAAGGCAAAAATTAGATTCAGTTCCTTGCCGAGAGAAGTCTCTGAATAAAAATGGGCAGGGCAGCAAAAGTGGAGTTGAACAGAGAAGAGTTCGATAAAACACGCAAGATAATAATAACACTGTAAAGGGACGCTTCTATTGAATACTTGGTACTTGAAACAATAAATTTCTAACCACTGCAGGCACAATAAATTCCTGCACACAAAAATTAAATGACAATCAATTGAAAATGATTAACTGATCAGCAGATAACTTTAAAAAAGTGACATCTCCCCCCCCGTCCCCAAGGGTAGGGCACTGAGTCGGCGATAATGCTATTTTGTACAGGTCAGTGCAAGCCCCATTTTGGTTGCTGTCATTTAGGTTTGATATGAAATGGTGTGGTTTTTTTCCAATGGGGCTGTTTGGAAGGTGGGAGTGTGACATTTTTACGTGGTTTGGTGGACCTACAGATCATGCCCTAGCTTGGATTCTCGAAAGTCCCGCTGTTTTGCCATAAACGTTTTTTCTATGTTTCACCAAACATTTCGGGCAATCTTCAGAGACACTGGCAGAGACACTGTCTATTCAAACGTCTTAAAAGAAGTCTCTTTCTTTACAGGGACACCACAGAATAAAGACGAAAACGTCTATATTATTCATGCGTGCTATATCCCAAATAACGTTTAATAAAGCAGGATTCAAATATCTTGTCTGTAACCACGTTTACAAACCTGTTATTTTGTTAGTTTTGTTTGTTTGTTTCTTTTTCAGACGTAAACGAATGTGTTATGACACGATGCCAAAATCAGGGAACCTGCGTGAACACAGTAGGCTCGTTTAAGTGTCAGTGTAAACCTGGATTTACTGGGACATTTTGTGAAAACGAGAGTATGAGCCAAACTCATTAGTTTTCGTGTTTTATCTGTAGTAGTATCTCAAGCCTTCTTGTGTTTGATCACTTCTCGGTGCCAGCTGGATATCAGATAACAGACGCCTTATTGTGTCTGTTTGTTATATCCTGGGCTTTGGAATCCGTAATTCACCTCAAGGAATCCGGAATCCCGCTAAAGAATCGCATTTCAAGTATCATTGACGGGGATTTCGGAATCCAGAACGTGGAATCCGGAATCCACAGCCTGGAGTCTAGAATCCAAGACTGTCATGGAGTGATATATCGTTCCCCACTGTTTGGATGATCGTGACGGATAAAACACTCTTTCTCGTGTTTAATACATCACTTCTCGCTGTTTGGTAATCGGATGAAACAATCTTTCAAGTGTCCAATATATCGCTTCTCACTGTTTGGACATCGGATAAAACAATCTTTGTCGTGTTTGATATATCACTTCTTACTGTTTGGATATCAGATGGAACACTCCATCTCGTTTTAGATATACCACTTCTGGGTGTCTGGATATGAGATGAAACCCTCCTTTTCGTGCTAAATATACCACTTCTCACTGTTTGAATATCAGATAGAACACTCCGTCTCCTATTTGATAAATCACTTCTAAGTGTCATGAAAAAAGGTATGTTTATCATTGAAGGTTCACGTGTGGGAAAGGAAAGAGACTTAACAATTATTTTTTTTGGGGCTTTTGCCTTTACCAGGTGTCTGTGACAAGAAGGGGATTTACGACCTTGGTTTGATCATCGATGGTAGTGGCAGCCTGGGGAACAAGTTTTCAACAACAATATTTCTTGTTGGCCTTATTAATCAATTCAGAGTCAGCAAAGACGAAGTACGCTTTGGAATAATTGCTTACGGCAGCAAACCTGAAGTGGTTTGCCAGTTTTCAGACAGGATATGTCATCACCAGGCAATGGATGTAAAGATCATGGTTATGAAAATGGAATTCCCGGATGGGGAGAGGAGAACTGACAAGGCACTGATGAAGGCAGGGAAAGAATTGTACAGCAGCAGTGGTGGCCATAGAACTGGAGTTCCCAGTGTGTTGGTGGTGATCACAGATGGAAACACGGTGCCAGGGAGTCAACCTTACAGCGACGTTCTACAACCCTTAAAGGTAGACAAATACAGTTAAAACCGCATATCAGAACCTGGTAACCCACATGCTGAAATTTGGCATTTAAATACAACAAAATATGAGCACCTGTTCAGCCTGGTAAAGAAAATGAAGTTCTTGAAGTTCTTATACAAAAAAGAAATCACCCCAATTTTTATGGTCAAAATTCTGGATTTTAATTGTGAGAAATTTCTGACAAAAAGTTATGTTTTCTTTGATTTACATTTGTTTGGATTTTCACTAGAAATATGTTTTCCATAAACCACTATGTATCAGTAGCACAATATTTCTACCAATGGTTACACTACGACAACAAGAACCTATTAAGAACCTTATCAACCTGAATTGTGAAAAACTACCCTGAAATATAAGAACCTGTTCAGCCTGGCAAAGTATTAGGAGGCAACGTGGCTGAGCAGTTAGAGCACTGGACTTGTAATTCGGAAGCCCCGAGTTCAAGTGCCGCCCTGACTGCTAACTGGATTTGTTCTCGGTAGTCGCGTGTTCAGATCCTTTTTACTGTTCAACAACCTCGATTCCCAGTTTTTTTCTGCCTCATATATTGTATCGAGGTTGTAACACACAGCATGTACGATAATGTTTATTTGAGCGCTGGTTAAACAAAAAGCGGACATAAAAACAAACATTTAACGACATCTATTTAGTTATGTACGCTATTAAAAGTACACGGCCGTTTTGTCAACTTTGACATCCTACCCCTGGTGTTTGACAAAGACCTTGTTGTAAGCTGTTTTCAATTTGACCAACTCTAGTCAACATTGTTTACTGTGGAAATTGTCAGAAAAAAGAACGAAAGTAGTGTAGAATGAAAAATTACGTGAGCACTTTAGAACGGTTCTGAGGATAATTAATGGTTGACACCGCAGTATAACTTAGACGTCGCTTAAACACCAAAAAGGTTCTTTGTTACTTGATATATAGCTACGTTTATTCGTCTGACCATATTAAAAATGTACCCCTGCAGAAGTGACGCGACCTATCCATAAAGTCAGCTAGAATTAGCATTATGTTTTACGCATGAAAATAACGGGGAGGAAAATCGCGGGCTCATACGTCCTATTTTCTTTCAAAACGGTATCTGCTGTTCACCGACATTTGCGGTAAAGAATTATTAATGAGACCACCAGAGCTAAGAATAAGGTTTTCAAGGTAAGAGGGCTAAACACTGACTAATTTCTTGAGCGCCCCAAAAAGGTAAACCGCCCTCGCCTAGGGCAGACCCCTCGCCTTCGGCTTGCATAAATAAAAAATAAATGAATAAAATTTCCGTTATTTACCCTCTGCAGTATTTATAGCACTAATGCTAGACGGGCCGAGCAAATCCCTGAAACAACTAATCTAAATCAAATATAATTTTTACAAGAACTGAGCGAATCCTCGAGCGCTGATTGGTCGAGAGTTATGGTCTATGACAGTATAAGACCATGGAAATGACGTAACATGTCAAGCAATGCAGCTTTTTCGTAAAAATAATTTTACTCCTCAACATGGACAAAGAAGAACCAAATTTTAACACATGGGGAGAAATTTCTGACAGTGAGTTGGTTCTCGAAGCTGCAAAGAGAGAGCAAAATACGAAAAACAACAAAGAAAAACGTCGCTTCGCGCAGTTGGAGGAAGACTACGTCGCAGGGAAGCCGGAGGCAAACCAGTTGGCTATTTACAAGCGCGCTCGAGGATTTGAACGCCTGACTATCGAGAACAAATCCAGCTAGCGGTCAGGGATGGACTTGAACCCGGGCTCTCTGAGTACAGTCAACTCTCGCCTTGCGGACACTCCGCCATCACGGACACCTCAATAAAACGGACAGCGGCAAATTCCCCAGCGAAAACAAACTATAGACGTTTGACTGAAATAAACTCCCGCTATTACGCACTCTCGCTAATGAGGACACTACCTCGAGGTCCCTCCAGTGTCCGCTATAAAGGGAGTTGACTGGAGCGAGTCCAGCGCTCTAACCGCTCGGCCATGCTGCCTCCAACTTTGCAATACACCCACGTTTACTGTCACCTAATAAACTGAATGTGTGTACATTTATCAGGATAATAGCGTAAATATAATCGCTGTTGGTGTGGGGAATAAAGTCACCACGAAAGAGTTAACTAAGATCGCCATGAACAGACCGGAACGTGTCATTCAACGTCCCACAATCGACGACCCCAGCTTGATTGAGGACCTCCGCAACATGATTGAGGACATTTGTTGAACGCCGAGCAGGAATCAATTCTTCAAACAGGGATCAAACTCTACGGATGTATCCATGGGGCAATTTTAAAAACAACAGATGGGGAAATACCATGGGGTGGATCAGAACATATGATCAGAATATTAACTACAAACAAAAACAGCGATGGTCAAAAGCGGGTACTTTAAAAAAGCTAACTCTGGAAGCTTACAGTCTTGTGTAACAGAATCCTTTTATGGAGGGTTGTTAACAAAATTTAATAAAGAGGATACTTAAAAAAACATCTTTTCCTGTAAAAGATTTTTATTTACAAAACCAAGAGAGCTGTTTAGGAAGCCTTCACGGCTGGTACAGCCGGAAAACACGCCATCAATTTGCGTTTGTAAAAATTGCTCGCTTTTGAAATAAATAATACAAAATACTCTGAAAAATTGTTACAACCGTTAACATCTTGAGACGTGCCAAGGTTATTTCCTAGACACTCAGTTTTGTGGTTAAAAGGAAGGCAAAATTTTCCTTTTGTCTTTCGTTAACACAAACCTTTGCTTGATACCACACACTCCACATCGCTGTAAAAGAACCACACAGTCCCCTTTACCAATTTATCCCAGGAAATCGGAACGAGTTGGGTTTTGGCCATTTATCAGGCAATCTGTCACTCTGCGAATTGACATCTGTCAATCACCAGGAGGATGGGAACGCTCCATAAAGGGTGGGAAATTCCAAACAACCGTGATTTCTCATGAAGCAAAACAATGAATTTTGCTATCGTTGAACTTGACAATGGCTTGATATGGACTGAGGTTAAAAACGGTTCACACTCCTTGAACTCAGGGCATCCGTCAATCGGCAGTCATCGCTAGATGCACTGGAGAAAAATATATCTCTCAGTCATGAGGACAACTGGCCATCATTTACCGACTAAAATGTCAACCAAGTAATAATACGACACTCCTGACACTAATCATAACTGCTTTTCCAATCGTTGATTGATACTTGTCAGTCATAACTGGTGGGGTTGTAGTCTTTAACTGAAGTCTGGTAATCCGCGATAATGAATGAGCATTTTTTAAATGTCTTCGTCTAGTAACTGATTCATTATGCTCATCATTCCGGCACTGTCCTGCTGACACATGTCTGTGAACCATCAAAGAAGGTGAACAATCGGTTAACAGTCTCCTAATGTGGAGACACAAGACTGACACATGTCACTGAGTTATAAATGACGACTGGACAATCGGTGAACAGCATTCCCAATGTAGACACATGACTGACTCACGTCACTAAATCATAAATGACGACTGGACAGTCGGTGAACTTGCAATTCCCAATGTAGACACATGACTGACTCACGTCACTAAATCATAAATGACGACTGGACAGTCGATGAAGTTGCCATTCTCAATGTAGACACATGACTGACATATGTCACTAAATCATTAATGATGACTGGACAATCGGTGAACTTGCCATTCCCAATGTACACAGAGGACTGACACATGTCAGTGGATCATCATTGACGACTGGACAATCAGTGAACAGACACTCCCAATGTGGATACATGACTGGCACGTCAGTGAATCATCATTGACGAATGGACAATCAGTGAACAGACACTCCCAATGTAGACACGTGACTGACACATGTCACCGCATCATCAATGACGACTGGATAATTGGTGAAAAAACATTCCCAGTGAAGAAGCATAATTGACACATGTCACTGAATCAATAATGACGACTGGACAATCGGTGGACAGACATTTGCCTCGTGGGTGAGGGAGGAATATGTCCTGGAGGCGGGGGAGAGACTGGGGCAGGTAAGGCCAGGATGGTCTTGTCGTAAGTTGCCTAATAAGGACAAACGTAGCAAACGTGAAATATATCTGCTCCAACCGGACAAAAAAGGGCACAACGAAGCTGGTGCAACGTAATACTAGGCCAGGAACGAGAAAAATATTGAGAGGAAAATTAATCTCAAAAGACTTTTGCCTTTAAAACGGTAAGATTAACCACACCTACTCAAAGAGAACCTTCAACCTTGTTTTGGATGAAACAATCCCTGATATTTTTCAATGCTAATTAGGATAGGGATACCTGAGAGACGAGATCGCCAACCCAGCCATGCAAACACGTCTTTGTTGCTAAGATAAGAGACAAACACCCAGGGCCTTAAACAACGGGTTTGCTACCAAAAGACAAGCAAAGATATTCTGGCGTATTCACCGGAGTTTGTATTTTCCGTCACCTTATAAAACGTGCTACAATTCGCTTACCACCTTTCTAATTCTTGCGAAATTCAGGGAAATTGTCACTTATGAACCTAATAAACTACCGCAGGGTCTCCATTTCAGTTAGCTAAGATGTGTTACACGCATGAGCCGTTTGAAGTTCATAAAAAAAACCTACACACTTTGTTAAAAAAGGTTCGTTTATCCCCGTCACGAATCTAACGGACACTCAGTAATGAGAAGAAAGAAATGTAATGTACCTGAAATGTTTGAGTCATCTATTGTTCTTTAAACAAGAATGCCTAAGATGATCGTTACAAATACCAACCTCAGATCAGACTAATGTTTATCATTTCGGTGATTTCTCGCTCATAGCGGAACTTACTATTGAAGTCCTAAACAATTTTATAACATAGCTAGAAAATTCGCCTAATCAAATTCAATAGCGCGAGCGTGCTTCATATTCCTATTGAGCACGCTGATGACGTCAATAAACTGTTCGTAATTCCTCGAGTTGTTGTGAGCTTAGCAATCCTGAGTCTCCTGAGTGCATCCATAACTCAGCAATAGACAATGAAGCGTTTACCATGTGTTTTGTAAAGAAATTTAAGAGGAAACGTTTGAATTTGTTAACCGATAGTAAGGAAAAGAGGTGAGTGTTGTTGTTGTTGTTGTCATCTCCGCGAGCTGTGCGGGCTATGGCGTGAGCTCATTCTTTGCAAAGTTGTTTTCTCTCAATAACAATTTTTCGGTAAATTAATAGTTTTCCGGCACCTAAATATGGATTTTACAATCATTTTAGAGTACACTTTCTCTCAGTTTCAGGATAAAAACATAAGATTAACTGTGAGGAAAAAAGATATATTCACGTAAACATTGACGCGTACTGCTTTGAGCGCGCCCTTCAATAATAAAATTTTCAGTTAACTGCTGCATTGATCGCTTTGATAATGTTATAAAACAATTAGTTCATGCTGCAGCTGTGCGTATGTCGAGATATTGAGCACTTGGGAAGTTTGGAGAGCACTCAAGAGGCTAGAGTTGCACTCGGCTGCGCCTCGTGCAACTCTTACGCCTCTTTCGTGCTCTCCAAACTTCCCGCGTGCTCAATATCTCGACATACGCACGCTGACGCATGAACTAATTGTTAAATGAAATTTTTGGAGGAATAGAGGGCACTGGAGTTGCCTCAGCCAATTATATACGCTCTATGTTTGGTCCAAAGCCAAGGAGTTTCCTGGTACCAAAGGAACTAGGAATAAAGTGCTTCGCAATAAAGCCACAGAAAGAAAGAAAGTAACAAACAAACTACAATTCAATTTTATACCGCGCGTGCTGAAAGGAGGAAAGTGATTAACAAATTTTGGCATACGGGATACTTTTGAATGTAATCACGTTAACGTGATCGATAATTAGCCACTGATATTCAGAACAATATCCAAAAACACCACACCTCTTTCAGTTTATTTCATCTTTCAATCTCTTTCATGCTACCGACGTATGTGTACTTACACTGTTCCTAGTAACCGGACCAGCTCCAGGGATCATTGCTCCGCCAGATCGTCTGTTTAATCGAGACCAGGTGGCTTTCAGCTCTTGGCGATGCTGCCGATCTGCAGTTGAACAAAACAGTATACAAATCTTTGAAATGCACATAGAAATGTAAGTTGAATAACCACGAAACACGAAGAAACTCTGAAGAAAATGTTTAAAAGTGTTCGTGCGTTCCTGATCGAATTGGAATTGAGAAAAGCTGGTTTTTGAGGAGACGGAAAACCCAAATACCCGAAAAAAAAAAAACCCAAGAGCAAGGGCGAAGACCAGAAACAAAACCGGCCCACGTACATGCCGGGACTTGAACACAGCATAACTTCAATGATGGGGGGCGAATGCTCTCACAACTCCTAAATCTTTGCTTCTTAACAGTGTTGAGCTAGTAGAGTGCTGTGAGTACAATTACCTTCGTTTAACCCTTTGAACCCTAAGATCAAAATATGAATTCTCATTTGTTGCCCCTATTTATTTCCTACAGAAGTAGTGGAGAGAAGTTGATAAAAGATAAAGCAAATTCATCTTGTGTGATCAAGACCGTGATTCTCATGACCACTCTGTTTTACAAAGCACTGATATTAGAAGGAGAAATTTGATGCTGATCACTCTTAGGGTTTAAAGGCCCCTGTTGTACTCGCATATTTGGGCTAGATGTAGCTATGTGCTGCCCGAAAGGGTATAACTTTTGGGGGTCTTGATCCTGATCTTAAAATAGGTCATCATTTTTGCCTTTGTTGGCGCTGTGTTCACCGTATGATCCTTGGATAGGATACCTTAATTGTGCCTAGCTACGCGGAAAACAAATAATCTGTTAAAACTGAACTGTTCCTTAAAGTATTTGGAAAGCGATTTAATGAATGTTTGTGTATTATTCAGTTTTTGGTTTCCTCTTTAATATGGTTCATTTTTCAGGTTTGGGCCTTAAATAGTTTAGGGAATAAATCGTGGATCATAATACGTTTCTGGGAAACCGCCCACCTACTCCTTCCCTAAGCCAACCAATGGCGATTAATTAAGTGGCAGTGTTGGCTTAGGGGAGGGGTAGGTGGGCAGTTTCCCAGACACGTACGATGATCCTAAATTTTCGTTCGTTTCATCCTTAAATAGGGTCAGGGTTTAAGACCTTGGGCGGCAAAGACACATAGAAAGCAAACACATCAAAGTATTACCTCTCGCTCTAAGGAACCCTTCTCCGCAACTCACACAAACATACTGGTCTCTTTCCAAATCACCGACGTCAGTTATCTAAATGACGACGAAACAGCCATGTGACACATTAGAAAGGTCTCTCCATGTGCACACAAGTTTGCGATTACGAATCAATGAAATTAGGGTGTAAAAGCATGAAAATGTATAATATTACAACCACGTCAGTCAGGCATATCTCCAAAGATTCCATAATGAATTCACTATTTGATAAATGAATCCCTTAGTGATTGCCACAACTACTATCAAATTCATATCTGCATTCCTTTAAGCAGTGCATTTTTTACTACAGCTCAGTCTTCGGTCACATTGAAAACTAAACCACAATGGATAAAAAACTGTCATGAAGACTTCTGGCAGAAATTTCCGAACTACCTACGCTCGACCTGGCTTGGCTTTAAGGCAATTTTTATTGAGTGTAAACCAAAACCCAAAGTCATCTACTTTGACCAATCACAAGTGCAGATAAACCAATGCACAATCAGATCTCGAAAGATACAATCACAGCGGGGGCCAGGCGCAGGAAAAGGCATGTGACTGAGGAATGGTTCGTTTTGATTTCACTTCTGACCTAATTGGTTGAGAAAGTGGCACGACAATTTTCAACCAATCACTAAGCAAAGCAATAAGAACGTACGCAACAGCCCTGTTAAGCTTCGTTTGTTTATTTCTCATTGCATGTGGTGGTGTTCTCAAGAAATCCGCCTCCAAAAGTCTTGACATTTCTCGAGTGTAAAATCACTTTGCTTGTAAAGGAAAAAGAAACAAATCCAGCTTAAGAGGTCTATCACAAAATTTAATGCGATACTTCTTGGAAAGAAATGAAACTGTAACTTTGATGCATGATGTAAATAGGACAATCACATGACTTTTGGTGGGCACATAGTTGATTTGTGGCCTGAGTAGCATCATTTGCACCCGAGCGGAGCGAGGGTGCAAATGATGCTACGAGGGTCACAAATAAACAATATATGCCCGACAAAAGCCACGTGATTATCATTATTATCAATACACAAGGCTAAATCGTACAAATGTATTTATCATGGGTTATGTAACCTTTTCTTTGGGGTGTTACATGGAATACTGTTCTGTTGCTTCATTAGCGGTAGGCTATATATATTCGAGTTGTTCTCATTTATATTCATTCGCGTCTTACGACCGTCCCTACGCCCTCAAAATTATGTCTGATGTCGAAGACGTTACTCCAGCGAACACAGATTTTCCTGGCAGCGACGTTTTGCTGCCTTCGCTTCCTAAAAAACCTTTGCCTCAATCTCTCGAAGCTTCAGTACCAATCCAGTCTTCAGAATCCAGCAGTGATATAGCGTCCGCGTTCTCTCTATTCAGGGATTATTTCGACAAGAAGTTGGGCGCCTTGAAGCGCGATATTCAAGACGAGTGGTGCAGTAATACCGATTCTGTGGCCAAAAAGCTCAAAGAAGAGTCCAAGATCACGTTTAGATTCGAAGGTAATCATGAAGAAACAGTTTCAATTCAACTCCGACCTTGCAGAGAAGGTGAAGTCGGCGTCAGTTGCTCTCGGGAAGAGAAAATTAGACCTTGTTAAAACTCACCTGGAAGAACTAGACTCTGACATCGAGAAGCGCAACAAACTTATCAGACTGGCAGACAAGTCCGCCGCCGGTTGGGATTTAGTGAACGAGTATTTATCTGACGAGCTGGCTAGCGGGTCAGAGGACGAAAAGCGTATCCGCCGTGCCGAACAGAGGGCCCTTCGTAAACGCAACCAACGCCAACAGAAAGCGAAGCCATCCAAGCAAGGTTATTCACAACTCCAATCATCTACCGCAACCACCGCGTTTGCTGGCCAACATTCATCATCCTCCAGACCTATTTCTCGTACTTTTGGCGCTTTCAGCAAACCAAGACCAAGTGATATTTGTTTCGCCTGCGGCTAGCAAGGTCATTGGAGGTCTCAGTGTCAAGTTAATCCTCAAGCCAGATCTTCAAGCTCGGGGCCGTCCTTTCCTAGTTCTTCTGGTCTTTCGGGCATTGGAGGTAAATAGGACCACAGAATTGAAAACTTGTTTTCCAAGGTTAGATATCAGCTTTACTCAATTTATTAGACATGTGTCCTTCCTATTTGAAGTATTTCAGGGAAAGAGACTCTAGTTCATCAGTCGATTTCGATTATGATCGCAATCTATTTGAATTTGAACAGAATTCTGCATTGCCAGTACTTTAGGGTAGACTTAGGTCCTGTTTAAGTTATTGGTACACTATTGGTGCCAATAGTTTTGTTATCGACACTATTAAATTCGGTTATCGGATCCCATTCATTAGCACACCTTGTCAGGCGCGTTTTTCTAACAATCAGTCAGCTCTTAATAATGAATCTTTCGTGGAGTCGGCTATCGCTGAATTAGTCCACACTCATGCCGTCGTTGAGGTGTCCTTTATTCCACATGTCGTTAATCCGCTCTCTGTCTCGATACAGTCTTCAGGCAAGAAGAGGCTTATTCTGGACTTACGTCATGTCAACCATTTCATTTGGAAACAGAAGTTTAGGTGTGAAGATTGGAGAGTTTCATTATCATATGTTGATAAGGGCGATTACCTTTTCAGTTTCAATCTCAAGTCTGGATATCACCATATCGATATTTTTCCGGATCACCAAACTTTTCTGGGTTTCTCCTGGGTTTTTTCTGGTACCGTTCGGTATTTTTGTTTTGCATCACTTCCGTTCGGTCTAAGCTCAGCCCCATACGTCTTCACCAAGTGTCTCAGACCACTCGTTAAGTTTTGGAGGTCTAACGGGATTAAAATAGTTGTGTTCCTCGACGATGGGTGCGGAAAAGAGGATTCACTGCCTATGGCCAAGGAAAATTCATTGTTTGTGCAATCATCCTTAAGCAGTGCGGGGTTTGTTGCCAACCCCCGCCAAATCACTATATAAATCCCCACTCAGGTGCTTGTTTGGTTGGGTTTAAACTGGGACTTAGTTATCGGTACCATTTCTATTATTGATAGACGTATTTGCAAATTTATCGCTCTGATTGACAAATTTCTTCTATCCGCACCTTATGTTACGGCTCGGGATTGTGCCGTTATCGCAGGTCATGTTATGTCCATGTCGCCAGTTTTGGGTAACCTGACTCGTCTCAAAACCCGTTTTCTTTACAAGGTCATAGAATCCCGCCGTAGTTGGGATTCCCATTTTAATATCGGGCTTCATAATGATTGCCTCTCTGAAATATTTTTCTGGAAAAACAATATCGTTAGTCTTAATATGAGAGCTATTTTGCCTTATAATGCTCCCCTTTTGTTTAGCTATTCGAACGCTAGCAACGTCGCCTGCGGGGCTTTTGTTGTGGGCACTAATGAGGTGTCCCATCGTATGTGGACTGCTTGCGAAGCAGCTAAGAGCTCTACCTGGAGATTACTTAAGGCTATACAATTTGGCTTAGGTGCGTTCAAAGCCTCGGTTCGGGGTAAGTGTGTAAAGTGGCATTCTGACAGCCAAGGGGCCGTTCGTATTGTGGAGATAGGGAGTCCTAGTGCAGAATTGCATTCTATTGAGCTTGATATTTTCTATTTTTGTCGAACTTACAGTATTACACTTATTCCCCAGTGGGTTCCCAGGGAACTTAATGCTTGTGCTGATGCGATTAGTTACATTGTAGACTTCGATGACTGGTATACAACCCCCGAGTTCTTCGCCCACTTGGACCGCCTTTGGGGCCCACACACAGTCGACAGGTTTGCGAATGCTGCCAACGCCCATCTTCCCAGATTCAATTCTAGGTTTCGCGTACCCGGCACTGAAGCTGTTGACGCATTTTCAATCTCAAGGAATGGAGAGAATAATTGGCTAGTCCCTCCCGTCCACTGCATTACTAGGGTGGTTCAGCATCTCCTTGTATGCGGTGCGGTTCGTACTTTAGTCGTCCCTTATTGGCCGTCTAATGAGTTTGGGCCTTTCTTGTTCGCAAATGCAATTCAATTCCAACCGTACTTCCTTGAGTACATTCATTTTCCCTACCCGTCAGGGATTTTTGCCCTCGGGTGTTACAAAGATTCACTCATTGGTTCAGACAGGTTTAACAGCGCGGTGCTGGCAGTCAGAATTGGCGCTAAGGGGCCTTAGTTTTTTCAAGCCGAGTGGCTTAAGGTTGGCCCACGTGTTTTTTATTCCGCTTGTCAGTTCATTTGTTCTCGTTTCGCATGAAACTAGCTCGCCGAGTGGCTTGTTTACCTTCGTTTTTGCGTTGGCCCATTTGGCCTTAAATAGTTTTGCATCCGGTCAGCGGCATTACCAAGCGTCCATTTTTTATTGCTGTATTGACTCCCAGTGCGTGTATTGAAGAATTTTGCCATATATTTTTGTTCTTATCCTCGTAGAAGTTCTCAAAGATGCCTTGCAGCCTAATTTTCAACAGGTTGAAGACAGGCGACTCCGCGCCGGGAACTGGTTCAAGATCTCCCTGCAGTTTTTCTTAAATCCAAAGCCGACAGTACCGCGAGGAAGTACGAAAAGGGCTTCAATACATGGAGAAAATGGGCTTCTCAGTTTAAAGAAATTGTAATATTTCCCGCTTCTAGTGTGTACGTTTCATTGTTTTTTCTTATCTTGCAGAGCTTGATTCAAGAATCTGCTTCTTGCAGTACTATTGATGAAGTCCATTATGGGCTCAAGTGGGTGCATGATTTGGCAGGTGTACCCGACCCCTGTAATTCCTCGTTAGTTTTATCTATAGTAGAATCTGCTAAGAGGCTTCTCAGTATCCCTGTTAAAAAGAAAGAGCCTGTGACCCCTGAGGCTATTCAGCTTTTATTTGCTAAGTATGGATCGTCTTCAGCTAGTTTGTCTGATTTACGAGTGCTTACTTTGTGCGTTTTAGGTTATGCAGGGTTTTTTCGCTTTAACGAGTTGGTTCAGTTACGTAGGTGTGATTTTCAGTTTGAGGATTCTTTTATGAGAATCTTTGTTCATTGAAGTAAGACTGACGTTTACAGGGATGGGGCTTGGGTTGTTATCGCTAAAACTTTCAAGCATACGTGTCCTTATTTATTAGTTCAACGATATTATGTGGCCGCTTCTTTTTCAGCTGACAGCAAAGAATTCATTTTTCGCCCTCTTGTTTTCCTTCGCGGTACCGGAGCTTATAAATTGCGCGGGTCCGTTCCTTTGTCTTATACGCGGGAGATAGTGCTAAGCGCTTTCGATTCCATCGGCCTTCCCAAGCAAGACTACGGTCTCCATAGCCTTAGGGCTGGAGGTGCCTCCGCTGCTGCTAATGCCCGAGTGCCTGACAGATTGTTTAAAAGACACGGCCGTTGGAAATCAGATAAGGCAAAAGACGGTTACATTAAGGATAATGTCCATTCATTGTTGTTGGTTTCGTTATCACTGGGTATTTAATTTTCCGTATTTCCCGTTCTTTTAGTTCGCACACGGCTCGTGTTGACACACCCCAATTGAGGTTGCTTGTTACATGATAAATGTTTTATATTCGTTTGAGCGGGGTACCGAATTAGAATATAAAACTATTTCATAAGGAAAGACTGTGTAATAGGAAATTATTTTGCGGGCTGCCATTCCATTTACAGTCCGTACTTTGCCGTTTGGCCCGCGAAAAGGAGCGTTTTAGAGAAGGCAGTTTGTCATTTGGCCGCGTGTAGTAATTATGCGTATTACTCAATTAGGCTACCAAAGAAGACAAAAACTAAGACGAAACACACCTCATCTCCATCAAGGCTAAAGAGTCTCCTTGCAGCGCTACTCAGGTCCAAGCGAGTGGTGCAAGCATCCAACAACTGCACAATACCACAACACATTTAGCTACATTTCTCGTTAAATAGTCTTAAACATGATCCAAGAAAACTAATCAACTTCAACTGAATTACTGGGGGAAAAATGGTGCCATTTGAAAGCACTGCAAAAGAGGTTTCACATAAATATAACTGACTCTGCTTTGCTACATGAGCATCATGTGCAAACATCAAACAAACAGACGAAAATCTGTGACATCCGGGCATTTCTTCATTCAACCGCCGACGAGAAAAAAAAAATGCTTCGGACCGGGCCATATAACACGTTAAAGGGGTCACACCAAAGGATTTGGTGCGCTAATCAAAACGTAAACCTGCTGCATGCTTTATAATTGATTCTGCGAGTACAACTAATTTTAAGGACATCAAGAGGTTGAAAAGGTCTTTTCCTGTTTTTTTTCTTGGTACGGAACGTTAAATATAAATAGCAACAAGTAGAGATGCAGGGCAAAGAACAGCTTATAAATGCCGACTCCACTCTTAGATAATGTTTTCAGGCACATTAAGCTCCTGCGAATTTCTCAAACTGTTATTTCTCGATGATTGGGGAGGCCGGTATGATTTAACAGACAGAAAAAAAAAATACAATCGCCATTCACGAACCTCTTCCATGCTGGCCCCAAATACAACCACAGCTCTCTGCTTACTTTCCCCATTCGGAACAGCATTAACTCGCACCTATGGTAAAGTCAGAGTAAAAAATACCTTACATGTGAGAGATAATAGAGACATCAGCACCGAGCTTTTCGGCCGAAACCCCTAAAGCGAACGGTTGGTGACCACTTGACCCGAGGCTCTGTAGTCTCATTTGCGGTCTTCAATGCGAGTTTTCAAGCATGTCATTTACCTCTGCGATTTGAGAAGCTTCTTTCTCATGTGAAAATTTATTGCAAAACAGGCAGATGATGTAGATGTTTAAGTGTAAATTAACGCAAAAGAGCGAACATAGATCTTTCTGCTGTTGATTTTCTAAAATAAAGGCAGAAGTCCCGCTCATTTAACGTAACATCAACATCAAACCTCAAACGGCAAACGTGAGACATCAAGCCGCAGTTTAACGTCAGCCGTAACTGAAGCGAAAAGCTCGATGCTAAATGTATCTATTAAGTACCTTATAATGGGAAACGACCGAGATAAGCACGTAATCAACTTAATTTCCCGCTACTGATTTACTTTACGTTTGCCGCTTTTAGCGTGAAGAGATTGGGTTTTCAAACTGATATAATTTTTCGTCAGATGTCTTAGGGAACAGAAGCTGCCGATTGTCCTAAAGGTGGTACTTCACTTCCCTTTTAACAGATCATCGTCTTTCAAAAACAAAACAACAACAACACCACCACCAACGAAAACATACCGTTTTGGGTTTGGAGTACAGCCGTTGCGTCGATTCTTTAGCTGCCTTACTCAGGAACGCTTCACCCTGATTCTGTCGTGACTTCACTTCCTGAAGATGGTTCTAGAAATTGATGCAAAACGATTTAAGATGGACTTACTACAACAGTTACTTTATAATTGCATCAGTGTGCGTCTGTCATTTACCGGCCAGCGTTTTTCAGGATGGAAGCCCTTATGTATTTCAAAACCAAGCCTCGTCGTTTATTAACAAAATTCTTCGCTTTTGCACTCTTTGTCACGGGTATTCTTTTTTTCAACTATCCTGTCTTGGACATTCAATCATTCTAAACTTCACAAATTTACTTGCTTCCGAGCAAGCTTTCTGGGCTCTCCGCCCCTAGAGCTCCCTAAAGAGATTGGTCGAAGGCTGCAAATTTAAAATTTCTAAACATGACTTTGTTGTGAAATTTGCCCGTTTGACGTAAGTATACGTCACACATAGGTCCTTTTTAAAAGAAAAATGATTCTTAGGCTTGGAAATTAAATTTTGATCAAATGGGTTAGTTGTACCTTGAGTTCACTTATAGCTTCTTCCTTCTTTTCTTCAGCCCGGGTGGGCTCATGCCATGCTGGTGTTAACACTAGCCCCCTGGGGGAGGATGGAGGACTCCTGCCATTGATGCGACGCCCTGGCGAACAAATTATAAATTTTAAATGCGTCCGAAGGGTGCAGTCCTAATTAGGTCTCACATCAAACTTTTCTCTGTTTCGACGCCACTCACGTGAATGAACACGCCCTAACATACTACCAAATTCCCTTTCCCCGTCGAAAACACTCCTTTCTTGTAATTACTACCGTTATTTTCAAATATCATGACAACCATTACGTTGAGACTTGCTCCCAAAAAATACTCCAACTTGGCGTTTTCATTAGTCCAAACCTTCAGATGTCTCATCCTGATTCATATTTTAATCGATTCCCTGGAAATAGGCCGATTTTGAATTATAAAAGTCATACTTGGCTCCGAGGCTAAGGGAAATAAAACGAAACGAAATAAATAATTCATCCCTGAATCTCACTGCCGCTAAATACCGCTATGCGTCTGAATTAGGCGTGAATTTTCATAATTCGAAACTGGTATATACAGTTGTTAATTTCGTGTTTCAGGTCTTTTCATTTTCATTAAACAAAGAAAAAAAATAAATAGGCTGCGGCCAGTTCGCTGCTGCCGTGCCATAGCGGCTGTTACACAGCCGTTCTTTATGTTGTTATGCAACGCTCTCCCCACAAAATTAGTTCGTTTCTCAGCAACCGTTTTTTGGATGTCACACAACGTTCCCCCAAAAAACAGCTGCGAGGGAAACTAACGTTTATGGGGAGGAGCGTTGCGTGACGTCACAAAGAACGGCTGTGTAGCAGACCATTGCATTCCACTCCCACTTAAAATACCATTTCCGAGATCCAAAAGGCCTCACTTTCAAAACCAGGCTAAGTGGGAAACGTTCTTGTTCTTGAGAAAATGAGTTTCATTTGCACGAGAATAAAAAATCGATCACTAGCTTCGCACTTAAACTCGCTTGAAGGAACTCGGTAATGGCCCATTGTTTACTCACCCTGCATGTGCCTTAGTATATGTTTCTCTTGGTCTAGATATGCCTGGACCCAGGTTCTTTCTTCTCTGTGCTTCATAGACAACAGGTATTGCTTATCAGCTTCTAAACATCAAAACAAAGGTACAACCAGACAAGAAGATTTACATCACTCAGCTCTGTTTACATGTGACACTAGCCTGCGAATACAGCCGTTTCTCCTTGCTCCTCGCCGCTGGGGACGTTTCGTCTCTTGAAGGAACGTTCCTAGCCTTGCGTTGAGGAGCAAGGAGAAACGGCTGTTTCGCAGGCTAATTTGACACAAATCGAAAAAAAGAGAGAGACAAATAAACACATTTACATATAAATTAAATAGAAATTGTAGTCTCTAGATAAGGAGCGAGTTGGAATCATGCAAAAAGCAAAAGCTAATCTAGTGAATGATCCCAAAATTACAATTACACACAGGATAATAGAATATAGTATTTAATAAACAGTATTTCTTCACGCTAAGGTAGATAATTAATTAATTAATATAACAACAAAGCATAGAGTTCTTTTAGAGTTTTACAAAATAGTCTAAGAGATTTTAAGTTACTTATATTTGTCGACTGAGAATTCCAAAAAGCGAGAACCAGCAAATTTTAGGGACCGCAAGTCATATTGGGTGATATTAACAGAGGCTACATAAAGATTACCAGAGCATGATTGGCGAGTTGCATAGGGATAAACAGAACTAATAAATTTAAAATACTCATTGAAACAAGAAGGTAACAGTTTACGTGACCACTGATAAACAAAGGCAAGTACTGGTAATTTGATAATATCGTTGGGGTTAAGTAAATTAAGAGATTTGAAAAGAGGCTCTGAGTAGGATCTAGGTTCTGAGAAGAATATGATTCTAATTGGGACAAAGGAAATCAGGAACCAGGAATGTTACGTCGAACGTATCAGCTAACGTCTTACCCTCTATGAAGCCCCCCCGGGCTTATTTATTTCCAACATATTTGAGGGGGGAGGGGTCAATAGAGACGGGGAGGCTTATTTAATTTAGCAAAGACGATGGTATCAGTTCTCCATGAAGAACTATTGTAGAGAACACAAGTAGTTGGATGTCATGCAGTCCAGGATCCAAAACAAATCCCAACTTTCAGTTAGTGAATAATATATGAAATATTAGTGAAGAGTAAAAAGGGGGATGGGAGGGGAGCTTAAAAGAGAGGAGGAGCTTGTTAACTTTCTTTCCCTGAAAAGGAAGGGGGGCGGGATTATTAGAGAGAGGGGGCTTATTTGAGTGAGGGGCGGGGGGCTTAAAAGAGGATTCATCCTATGTTCAGTCCAGACGAACGAAGGTTGGCAGTTGCATCAGACGTAGGGTTTTCTGAAACTTGCCAAAGAACAAGACAAGCGTGACCAAGATTTAGGCATTGTGCGATAGCATTCCCCCCCTTTTTGAACCCCCTGGGAAATCAAATACTGTTTGAACAACCAAAAGTTCGAAACTTGGGGGTAAAATTAAAGTGTTTGATTGCGAAGACACGAATTTCGGCTTTAATAACCTTGAAGTTCAAAATTTCAATGTATTATACCATGGGGCATTAATAGATGGCCGTCCTTATCTACGGTGCATGACGCAAAGTCAAAAGGCCCTTCCAGGGTTTGTCAACTTTTGGCATGGACCAGTTAGGGAAAATCAGTCGACACCACTAAAAGGTAGTAAAATTGCTAAGTTTGAAAGTGATACGTCTTAAGCGAGGAAGCCATAGCTCCGCAAGTTACGAAAATTCACAGACGTTGGATACTTGGGGGCAAGTACTCAGCATTTCGAGGTGGCTGTTTATAAGCTTCGCACAAACGCTGGGGAAATCCCGAAACATACCTTCCAAAGGCACAAACGGCTCACCACAGGACACCCAAACGTCAACAGGCCACCGAGTGTCCCATCTTGGGAGACCTTGTTGTTCTTTGCTGCTGACAACAGGCACGGTACCAGTCCTTCCTTCGCTCACACGATAAGTTAAATTCCCGGATGACCGCTCGTCTTCGTCCTCCTCTTCTTCATTATCATTGATGTGTAAGTTTTCAAATGCCTCTGTTTCTAGCAGTTCTTTCTCTCTTTGTTCAGCTGCCGTTAGCTTTCCTTCCTTGGGTTTGTAAAAAGCCCTGTTTTCAGCTTCAACAACATCTACTGCATGGCCCTTGCGGGCGATTCTTTCTTCGGGGATCTAAGAAAAAGACATAGTAATGATTGGAGAGAATTATAAATCAAACCTTTACACAACTCGCGATAAAACTTGAAAAAAGTCGAGGTGTCAAGAACAGGATAATTTTCTTCCATGAAAATACGTTGGTCACTAGTGAGTCAAATAGCAGACTCGAGCGAATCGTCGACTCACATTTATTTACGGTAAAAAACCCTGCTATCGATCTTTTGATCTATTTCCCTGTTTTAAGCATGTGTCGATGAAATCCATAGTGGATGATCTTTAAAATGCAAAGTTCAAGAAAAATATACAAGAAACGAAAGGGAAAAAAATCATCTTGTATTAAACGTATTATTTTTATCTTGTAAAAAAATGCGTTTTCGTGAAGAACATAAGTTAGATTATCATCTATTTATAGCCCGTGGATCGGGATGGATTTAGTGGGGTTGTTTTTCTTTTATAACACAGCTCAGGCCTGAACAGAGCTGTTGGCTGTCTGCTCTGGTAAACTTCTCGTTTTCATACAGTACAATATTCCTGTCTGGTCAAGGTCTTATGGCAGCCGAATGAACGCCCTTCGGTGTCTTGTTGCCGATAAGAAATCAAAAGCTCAAAAGAAACGGAAAAATGGATGGACTAAAGTAACACTTACCAGCCCCTTAAAAAATGGTTGTGGCAAGGGGTTGTTAGCGTGACATTATTGTCATCGGCGGGAAACGATAACAAAGTATGAAAACAAACTTGTTAGTAAATCAAACCTTGCCACAGCTCTCTGCGTCTGTTTGTGGTGCTCCGCTGTCCATATATTGTACTGTGTTGTACGTATAGGGTCTGATAAGTTGTTGAATATCAGTTATAAGTTCTCCGCAACAAGTGTACAGACGGCGAGCTGCCGATGGTAATCCGAGTTTTACAGTGCACTGGTCCAGAAGCTAAAACAACCAAAAAGAGAAAGCACAGTTAACGGGGGTGTTCACACTTGATGCTAGAGCAGTATAGTGCCTGGGTAACGGCTTGAGGGAAGAGTCTGTCTTATAGAGAGCGAAAAAAATGTCTTACAAATACAGCAGGGATCAACTGTAGGTGTTCGTTTTAGAAGATGTCCGCCTTATGGAGAGTCAAAGGAAATGACTGAAGAAAGGCAAAGAACAACTCCAGGTGTCCGTTTGAGAGAGGTGTTCGCCTTATAGATTGTCACAGAAAATGACTGAAGAACAGCAGGGATCAACTTTAGGTGTCTTTTTGAAAGAGGTGTTCGCCTGATGGAGTTTCAAAGAAACTGACTGAAGAACGGCAACTGAAGGAACAACTCTAGGAGACCGTTTAAGAGAGTCAGAGGTTGTCCGCCATATAGAGAGTTTAACAACTGCGTCGCTTAGTGGAGGTGGGTGCCCGGGATGTCCAGGGGCTTCCACCTTTGGCACAGCCAGCCCCTAGGCAGAGTTACGCTCCCATGGCTAGCAAACCCGCGCCCTCCAGCCATGAGCCCCCACGCCAATGGAACCAGGCACCTGTCACACTGATTTATCAGTGGAGAAATAAATGGGGGAGGGATGGGGGTTACAGAATGATCCAAAGACTAAACGAAGAGAGTGGCCACCAGTAAAACGTTGTAATGAGCACATGGAGGTGATGCAAGCAAGGCTGACTGCGCTTGAGCTAAACGAAAGACCGCTGACCACGCCCTCGCTCCTCTTTGTTATCTGTGTTAAATAAATTTAACTTCATTAAAAACTCGAGCTGCCCATTTTTTTAAAAGAAGTCACTGCTAAGAAAGGCTTGTCCGTGTTAAACACAAAGTGATTTCACTTCGGTCTTAAAAAGTAAGTCCAATAGCGGACTAATTGGTTTATGCGTACAATTTTGCCCTGTTTCTTTTGGCATTGTCAGTTCACCCCAATTCAGGGTTTAGGCGCTTTTGGCAAAGGTACAAAAAGCCTAATTTATCACATCATATGTATACACACCGAGTGAATACTAGAGCCAATGAGTATCTCGCCCTCACTCCTGCTTCCCTCTCCATTCTTGAAGGCCTTTATTCTGACAGCAGGTACGCTCTGAGCCATATGTAGTTCACGAGTGATAGTCCGTACACTGCCTTCATTTCTGAGCCTACCGAGCTGGTGTTCCCACAGGTCCAGTGTGGCTTCAGCCTCTAAGGTGGACAAATCAACCTGTTGGCGAATATAAAGACCGGTTTACACGCTATGATTTGTTAGTCCGAGGTGCAGAGAACACTTAATAAATGGCTAGGTCCACATGCGGGCAAGACGAAGTGAATCCTGTGTTCTGATTGGGTGATTGGCTAACATAGCGGGCGTGCAAAATGGCCCTATCTTGCCCGCTCTAGATTTTCGCTTTGGTTCCGCAACAAAAAAACGTTCTTTTGGCCATATAATTAATTAAATAATTATTTACGAATTAAGTTATGCACGACTGTAACAAGACGCTTGATGCGGGCTTAATTTTTCATCTTCACCACAGGATGGGAGAGAAGTGGCATCTAACAATATCTAGGGTAATTCCGCCAGAAAACTGATCAACTTCGCTCTCTCTTCTTTCCTGTTATCTTGGCGAAACATCCTGACAAGAGTGTCCCGAAAGAACAGTCACAAGAACAGTAACTTCTTACACACCTTGCTGTTCAAGCACTTGAAAGAACTGCTGAGCCGAAGACCTTGTTCTTGAGCTGAAAAACAGTTAAATCCAGATCAAAACCAACACTTTTTGTGATGTTTTATTAAAGGGAGATGGACTACTGCTGATTGCTGTTGACGTACCCTCAAACTCATTAATAATTTATAAAGAAAATACAAAGGAAATTTTATTAAATGAGTGTTTGGAAATCAGATTAAAAACTGCTCATTTTTACATCCTTAATTTCTCCCGCTAAAATCCTGATTTTGTCTGAGAAGTAATATCAAGCATTCGACACTGATTCAACACCAGATGAGACACCTCGAAAATCGTCAAAAATACTCCGATGCGCGAGTCGTATTTTCAACTCTCTTCTCGGTGTTTCATCTGATGATGAAACACGGCGTCTCATGCTTGATGGAGCGATTTTCGCATGACCTTGAAATGAAAACGCGCGAGCAAAACAGAAACAATGACGTCATACTGCAACACGATTGGTCAATCGAACAATGCCATCTCCATATAAGGGTTTTCTTTGGCGGGAAAACGTAGAGGCCATGTTTTGATCTTTTCACCCATTGTCTGATAACGAAAATCGCTTTATATTACTTCGATACTCTCGTGGAACCTCATTAAAATACATCTTGTGAAAAACAAAGACCACTGATAAACCATGATTTGATATTGTTCAAGATAAAAGACATTTCCCTCGTGAGAAGCTTTCTCCATTCGGTTTTGAGAGGCAGAATCGTTCTTTCTAATTCTGTCATTGGTTTTGTCCAGGCCCCAGTTGTTCAAAAACGTTGGATAGTGTTGTCCTTCCTTTCAACAACTGGGGCAAGATGATTGAGACTCGCTTTTAACCCTTTAAACCCAAACATAAAAATTCCGATTCTCATTTGCTGTCCCTATTCGTTTCCTGTAGAAGTAGTGGGGAGAATTTGTTGAAGTATCAGTTAGATTCATCTCGTGTGCTCATGTCCTTTCTTCTCATTAACAATGTGTTTTTTGTAAAGCATTGATTTTACAAGGGGAAACGAAATTTGCTGCTGATCGCTCTTACGGCTTAAGGAGGCTCGACTGGATTTTTTGGGGGGATACCACCCAAGTTTGAGCTTTAACTACGTCGGCATGAGTAAAGGTATGAGGAAAAGGTTACCACAACTGTATTATATAAAGATGAAAATTTCTTATGATCTGGGTTTTATTGCAATCGGAGTCGCCACGGCAACGTAACGACGCCATTACGTTTTTACGAGAAGTGGGCATGTCTTGGTAAAATGTATTGTGGTGCCGATCTGCTTTCCTACATTCCCTCATACTGGCTTGATATCTTGATATCTGATTATCACTGATTTTTAAACTGATCTCTGTAACACGCTATAGCTGTAAAGTAGTTACCTGTTCCTAGTGCACAAGCAAAGCCAGAATGGTATCGATGGAGACGCTGCAGTTTGTGGCGTCCTCTAGAAGATTTCCCACAAGCTTCACAAAGGTACGTCTCCTTAGTTGTTCCCGCCATGTATACGTAGCCCTAAAGAAGAAGTTAAAGTACATTCATTTGCCACTGATCACTTGAGGGTTATAAGCGCTTTTACCCGCTAAAATTATACTTTTTGAACAATAATTGGCAGAAAGGAATGCCTAAAAATGCCTTCAAAGTGGCAACGACTCACAACGGGTGCACACGAGGGAAGAGAAAATATTCCGTCTCCGAACTGGACCACCACATCCTCGGAGACCCAGGGGCGGTCAGTTAGGTCAGGAATAACGGTGCCGGAAGTTTTCAAGGACGGGTGAGAGAGCCTCTGGGGTGCTACTCTTAACAAACCAGTTCCACGACTCATTCGAATGCTTGTCAGTGATTTTTTGTGCCCTACGCTGCGAGCAGAGGTTTCTCTCTCGCATGGCTTTTAGCATTTACGAAGTTATTCGCGTGGCGTGTGTGTCGCATAGTTGGTTTGTTTACGCCCCGTGAGTAAAAGCCATGCAAAAGAGAAACCTCTGCTCGCACGGTATTTGTGCCCAATCGGTGGCCAGCATCTATCGCGCCGCTTTCTTGATCTTCTTATCCGAAGGAGCTTACCTGCAAACTCGATTGTGGATAACGTTATCCACTTTCCGAACAACTGGGGCCAGATGTTCAAAAGATGGGTAACACTATCCACCGAATAAATCTCTAACCAGTGTATAGTGTAATCGGTTCCCCTAATACTTACTCACTGGACAGAGATTTAACCGGCGATGGATAGAGCTATCCTGAATCCGGCTTTTGAATAACTCGGGCGCCTCATTAATACCAAAAAAACTGAGCAGAATGGCGGCAAATGAACGTCTTGTCCTTTTACGCCCACTGTGGTTATGACAAAAACGTCATTTTGACAGGCTAAACAAGACAGTTAATTTCAAAATACACTAGCGAAGACAACAATCAGCCTTTCCTTACTTCTGGGCAACAGGAAAAGCCGATGAATCTATAGCAATAAATCAGCAAGTCAGACAATCAGTCGGACTATTATGTTTACTTATCAATGGCTTGTAGATTTGTTCATATAATAAGCTCCCTAATGTCGATGCAACTATTTATTAGCAGTTACGTACTGGTTGAGGAACTTGTTGAGGTCCAAGAACAGCAAACGTACACACGTTAGCTTTGTTGGCAGCACTGATTTCTGAAATTATCAATAAAACAGAAAATATAAGTACTAAGGCAGCTTATATGGATGGAAGGCGACAACAGGTGCGGTTACATTGGACGTTGTGGACGCCAATGATGGCGGACGGGCATGCGAACGTGAGCCCTTCTTCAACCGTTTGTAACTCATCCTCTACTTTGTGCTACGACAACAATTCCTTATATCTCGATTAATATCCATCGAACAATGCAACCAAGGACAGGTTAATCTGGAACTGAAGCCGTTACTTACAAAGGACAATCGAGAGATAACTTGAATTATAGTACATTCAATCCCCGTTATTGTGGAAAACCTTAGGACCGTCAGTTCGTGTTGTTAACTGCGAGGGTCCGTAATAGCGGGGTGTAAAAAGAATTTCCTTAAAAATATTTCCATTAGGGGTTAACAAATATTATAATTACATCTACACCAAGTTCGAATGATAAGCAATTGAATCTTTATTATAAAGACCTATTTACATGATACAACTTTGAAGAATACGACGAGCCTTCGATAATCTTAAGACAAAATCGCACAATGTAAACCAAACAGACGACAATCGGAATGTCAGTTGTAGGTTTTATTTACACGATACAACTCCTGTCCGAAATAGCAAGATTCTGTAACTGCAAGAATTTTTCCCCGGTCAATCCTCTGTGAGTTTCCCTGAGGATCTAATCACTTGCGTGGCAAACGCGTGGAAGGAGGAGTTCCCTCTTCTCTTTCTCCCAGGTGCGCCGCGCCTGATTTCTCCCTTCCCTCCCCATTGAAAAACTGCCAGACATGTTAGGGAGTTAACTGCTATGCGTCCCGACAGTCGGTATGAGAAAGGCACCCGTGATAATGAGGTGTCTACAAGGAATAAGATGGAAAGGAGAGTACACAGTATACCTTTATTCGTTGTGTCTGCAGCTATGGCCTCAATAAAGCCAGTGATAGGATCAAACCGCCACAACTGATTTGCATTTCCATTTGCGCAACTCTTGCGATGGGCTACAATCACGGCTGCGCCTTCAAAGCCTTGTGCGGGGGTGTAGTCAAGGTTGAACGGATCGCTCCCCAGGGGAGGGGTGGTAACTGTTAAAACAAGCTGCTGATTGGAACGTTGATATATAAAGCTGCAGTAAAGCGTAAAACATGGCGGTTAGTTACTTGCCTTCTGAAGTAATGTCATCTGCTAGCCTTCAGTCTTTTAAAGTTTCACTGATTAAGTACCTTCGTTCATAATTTACCTTAAAATACTAGGCATAGTGTCTTTAATATAAGTTTATGCATTATTATTAGGCATCTAGGTTTATAATTTATAGTCTAATTTATAGTCTTTTAATATATATGTTTATATATTAATTAATTAATTTTTTTTCTTTTTTTCTTTTTTGGAGGGTATGTCTTAGCATGGGAATTTGGTTTCCCCCTTCTACCGTCCTGTTAACCATTTCTGTATTTTTGTTCGATTGTATATGTAAGTATTAGTTCATTTGTGTCAGTTATGTATGGTTACGAACTGTGATCAAAGATAAAAGATTAAAGCCACGATCATATTTGGTCTTTTGTTATACGTAATGCCGTTTACATCGCCGCAGGCCGGTAACTTATATGACACAGGACTTCATCCATGCCTCAGTAACAGTGAACTTACGCAACACGACTAGAGTGGCATGTCAGATGGGAGTGGCCAGTCAGCGCATGGCCTTTGAGCGAGGTCGCGCTCTTTTGTGCTCTAGTTTAGTTTGAACCTCTGTTAAATTCTATTACCTAAAACCCTAAAAGCAAAGTGACAGAAAAGGATGTTATTTTCAAATATTCTTTTCTTTTCTCTTTGCTTTTTACTTATTATCACGTGATATCTGGTTGTAATAGAATTAATTTGTTGGCACGCCACGACTAGCGTTTTTGCTAACTGCGTGCCAAGAAATTGTAAGCAATACTATCATGATAAATGTCTTGTCTTGTCTTGGCAAAGAAGACGACAAACCTTGTGTGACAAGCATGACAATAACTTTGCTTGAAAAAAACTTTCCGCCAAACTTCACCCTACCTTAAAAAGAACTTTCTGTAGCAGACCAGAATACTTTAAGGTTTAGTGAAGATCACGACAAAAGACGCCGTAGCCCTGTTACCTTTGTCACACACAAGCGTTTTGCCGTCCTCTTCTTTCTGCCGTCCTGTTGAGTAAACTCACTAATGTTCACGGAAAAACCGAGAATGGTTGGTAAAGAAGTCAGATATACTTAATTGGCCATTTTGCGAAGTGCATGATTTGCCAATGCAATGTAAAGTAATTTTAATTTGTCTATCTCAATAGTTATAGTATGTTAATGGAAAACTCTAACCGTTAACCCTAGCCCAACTAGACTAGCGTTGCAATTAGAAGATTTGCACAAAAAGTGCTGTTTCTCTGAAATCAATTATTGATATTTTTGTTTGTTGTATTTTGAGGTTGCGTATTAGATCAGGTCGGTGATGTATCGAATGGCACTATGGGACTGTTTAGAGACGCTAGGCCTTACTTTATTGGCTATTTCAAGGTTGCGCAGGGAACTGGGTCAAACTTCGTCCCGACACAACACTGAACCAGTCTCTTGCCAAACGTCAAAATGGACAATATGGCCAATAAGCCATCTTTTAACGTAGATTACGTTAAAGGCAGTACAAGGACCCTGGTTCCTCACAAAAGGTTTGGAGTATGAATCATCTCAATAAATAAATGAAAGAAAACAAATACTTGAGTGTGAATCTCACCCATCTTCCGCCACAACCCATCTCTGCGTAAAATCCTCAAGCTTTTTCTTACAAAGAATAACTTCAGATTTTCCCTGTAAAAACAACAGCCATCGTAGTAATTACTGCATGCATAAGGCACATCGGAAAAGCATGGAGAACAATTCTACCTAAACGTATCAAACAGAAGCTATGGGAGATAGAGTGTACAAAGTCACTACCACATTTGGTTGTCGTTCTTTGGACGAAAGATTATAATTCAATGTGTGCTACGAAGCGATTTCGTGGCATTTTATCAGTACCTTCACGTCAAATGGGTCCATAACAAAAGAAATTCAACTTTAAGACAAATATGCAATTACAAAAAAAAAAAAAAATCAAGAACCTGAATACTGGAACCGTAGATTTATATTCCCTGTTCAGGAAGGAGACCCCATAAAATCATACACTGTCTCCAGCGACAGTCTTTGTATAGACAATATAAGGAAGTACCCGCCAACCCGCGCTTATGTATACAATCTCCCACGCAGACGAGACAAAGACAGCTGCGTAGGAGATTCGTCTGTATAAAAAGACACTGAGAATGTTGAGGTCCTTTACCTCATTAGAGGATTCAGCAAGTCCTAATACCAACGGTGTTCCCTTAAGGCAGATAAAACCATCGTTATTTAATGACCATCTTTGTCTCTGGCACGGATCAGCTGGCTTTGCATCTTGAGTCTTTAGAACCTGCCGTCTAATAAGAAGAGCAAGCACACAGGGGCCTTTAACAAATAATCACAGTCATGGCTGCAGTAAAGACTCTAAAATGGTCTCAATTCTGTCAATATTTGCCAGAACGTAATCTAAAATGAGGCTCTATTTCCTATTTAATATTATAGCACTTTCCTGTGGTAATGCTGTATATTAAGCTGTTGGTGGTTCTAAGCCTTGAGTCTGTGAACGGAATTTAAGTGTGACGCCATCAAACGAAAGATACTGAGCAGTACTTTCCTGTAGAGCTGTTTGCGATGTTGTGCAAGGTGGTTCTAAATCTGTGAACGGAATCCTCAAGTGTGACCACTCAAGGTGAAAGCCACTGACCAGTACTTTCCTGTGGTGCTGTTTATTAAGCTGTGCAAGGTGGCTCTATTTTCTGAGTCTGTGGGTGAATTAAAAATGAAAGGTACTGCCAAGTACTTTCCTGTTGTACTGTTTATTAAGCAGTGCAAGGTGGTTCTAACTTTTGCGTATCTGGATGAAGTCCTACAGTGCGACCATTCAATTGAAAGCTACTGAGCAATACTTTCCTGTGATACTGTTTATTAAGCTGTACAAGGTTGTTGTAACGTCTGCGTATCTGGATGAAGTCCTAAAGTGTGAACACACATATGAAAGCCACCGAGTAGTACATTTCCTATGGTACTGTCTGTTTTGCTGTGGATGGTTTTGACTTTGATGGCTGTGGATGACATTCTTAAGTGCTTATGTGCGACCCGTCAATTAATCCAGCTGGGAGACTTTAAATTCAGTACCTAAATTTCCGCTGCAGTTGTCGATCAGAGAACATCACCTCATCAAGGAAATCATTATCTTCTTTGTCATCCACAGACGGGTCGTCCTTGAGTGTCTTTTCATTTTCCCACGGCCACTGCAACGTCTTAAGACGCTGCTCAGCACGGATATGAGAACGCTCGTGAGCGCTTAGAGCATGACTGTAAATATCCTCTTGGCTAAAAGAACATATACAAAAGATTTGAAAAATGTACACATATGATGACAATGACGATGATAACGATAGCGAGGGTGTTTGAGATGATGATGATGACGATGGTGGTGGTGATGGTGGTAATGGTGGTGGTGATGGATGATGATGATGATGATGACGACGATGAAGATAATGATGATGATGATGATGATGATGATGATGATGATGATGATGATGATGTTTACAATCTGATCACGTTTACTGATCTCGGAGTGTGTTATTCGCCTCGACCTGATCGGCTTCGGCGGATAACACCCTTCTCAATCTCCTTTATAAAATATTCTTCAAGTGATACTCAGCCTCCTTCAATAATTGCTAGGTACAAAGCTCATTAATGGACCAATACCATCATCCAGTGGCTTACTGTTCATGAATAACGTAAGGTAGAGGACATGTACTGTTGTCTTCTAATCCGCCACATTACCATAACCGTTAAGCGTAAACGTGACTCTAAATTTAATTACCGTAAATCTCCATCCCCATCCCCCATCTTTTCAGGGGAAGAAAGTTAATAACCCCTACCTCTCTATTAAGCCCCCCTCCCCTCCCCTTGATTATTCTTCAATAATAAATGATAGACTGTATTTATCAATCACGACTGTAAAACTTCGTGTGGACTGATTTACCAACTGGAAGTTCGGATTAGATTGTGATCCTCCGCCGTCTTGACCTCCCAACTAGTCTTTATAGGGAACTGATAGATTTTCCTTCTTTAAATATTTTCTAGTTCTTTATAAGGAACTGATACCATCAGTAGCTTTAGAGTTTCACTGATTAATTGACGTCTTTTCTAAATTAAAGACTGTCCCCCTCTCAAATAAAAATAAATTCCCCCTCTCAAATAAGCCCCCCGTCTCTATTAAGCCTCCCCCTGAAATGGACCTGAAATAAGTAAGCCCTCCCGAGAGCTTAATAGATGATTTGCGGTAATACCTCTCCTCTCGTCGCATGCCTGGTGACTCCTCATCGCTACGACCAGTTGCCAGCTTTTCTCGCTCCTCAGAGCTCAGAGCACATTTAGCAACACATAACGGTGACCCAGTAGTAGCGGCTCCATCAACTTGAAGAACTAAGTCTAGCAAAAACAGAGAATGCGAAGAGTGAATAGCATTAACCCTTAAAGTCCCAGGAGTGACAAACATCCATTTTCTCCTAACAATTTCGATACAAAATCAAGAGAAAAGGTTATGAGAATTGATAAAATGATCACCACAGGGAAAATGCTTTGATCCTTTATCAAATTCTTCTCAATTATGCTAATGAAAACGTACGGAGATAAGGAAACGTATGGAGATCAATAAATACCACGAGATGTTTCGAAATTTTAGGCGAGTGTGTTCTTATATCGGCTATGATTTGTTTAATATACTGAAAGGTTTTTTAATTTTCACAATAAATACTGAGCCAATGATCCAAACTTAAGTAGACATAGAAGAGAGGTTAAAACAACAGTGAATGTATGGACTGTCCGCCGGGACAAAGAAAAAGGCTGTTCTGGAGAGGCCGCCCGATTCTATTGTATTACATAACAGTACCTGCTGGATCTCTCAAAGAACAATACTGTCTGATGTGAGAGATATCAGATGCTAAGTTTGCCAGCACTGTTCGTCTCTGCTGTTCAGAGTAGGACAGCTGTGGATCACTCCAGGGCTCCCCGCATGTAACATACACAAGTTCATCCCTCTGAAGATCAGAAAGTCTGCGCACTTCTTTTCCATTCTTGGTGTACAGTCGTCTTGCGGCGAATGGCAAGCCCACAGCGTCGGTGCATCTGTCCAGAAACTGAAGGAAATTTTACCAATTGCATCATAAATTGACGACGGAAAAACAGATTGAAAACAAATACAGTCGAAGCTCTCGTTAAAGACCTGACCACCTCGGGGATTCGAAAAAGGGTCTTCACTTAAGCTGGTCGTTTACGAGAGTGGTCGCCAGGATAGCTTCGACTGTACGGTATTTCCTTGAAAAGGGGCCCGGGCGCGTAAAAGGCTAAAAGGATAATTAGGATGGACACTTTTTGGAAAGAGGGCGCTTAATCGAGGGGGCACTGATTAAGTTTTCCTTTCAACAAACTGTACCTTTATTTTGGCTAAATCGTTATAAAAAAATCCACAAAAACGAAACGTCGATATTAGTATTTTTCTTTTGTTAAAACTGAACAATTGTTGTAATCAAGCACACCGTAGTCCCAATATACACTTTACAAAAAGATGCATCGGTCCCGGGGCTTATCTCATCAAATATCATCATATACAGTGGCAGTAGAAACAGGATTTCCTTGTACCCCTGCTATTTTGGAAAGTCAAATATTTGATGTTGTGGCATATGGGCAGTGGACATTAGAAACCCGGGACACGATTTTCACTTTGCATAGCCCTGCTATTTCTGGATTCTTAGCAATGACAAGTAAAGAATATTTAAAATCACGGATTTTCTACATGTGTTTTATCAAAAGATAAGTTAGTCTGCCACATAGTTTTATGTTGTGGCCCTCCCCACAAGAAGAAAGCGAGAGGGATTTGGAGGGGAAATTGCGTGACGTCATTAAGGAAACCCGAGGATTTTGAACCTGCTCGATACATTCATGACCATTTGCAATATACTCAAAAAGTTTAGAGGACGAACTTTTCACAGAAAAAACTCAGTGAGTTTAGTTCTTGAAAAGTTCGAACGAATAAATGAATATTTAAAATTCATCCGTTTTTAGACGGATAGAACGTCTGAAGATCGTCTGCGGAAAAACGTCGATCTTCATATGCGATGAACTAAACTAATAAATTAAAAATTTGTATGATAATGTATATTTAGCCTCTTTGGGGAGAAAATTTATTACTGATTTGATTCAAGTGGTTGGTTCGACGCGTCCTAACTTCGACGTCTGACCCAACAGACGATCTTAACTTACTTTAGGTCAATCCAAATTAGAGTTTGGTTCGTCTCATGAAAAGTTCGACGTCTGGCCTTGGCCTAAGACACAAATGGTTGCACTGACCTTTCCGGGACCTTTTTTGTAAGAAAAACTGACTGTTTGCTATAAGAGGTACACATAGTTATTTTGTTATTTCCTGCACACTTACCAGGTCAAGCTCCAGTTTTTTAAGGTCAAGGGGATGACAGGAACCGGCTTCATCCTCGCCGGCCTGTTCAACATGTTTCTCAACAGTAGATCTCCTGCCCCAAAAAAAAAATGGTTAAAAAAAAAAAACAAGTATTGCACTGGGAAAAGTAAATAAACGAAACGTTACTGTAAAATGGATCTCTTGCGTCCAACAGTTTTTTTGGGTCAAAAACTATCTCCAGAGTAGCCATAATAAAAAGTAAGAGTGCAACCATTGCTTTTTTCTCTTCTCCTCCTTTCTTCCTCCTCGCTCTTTCTTTTTCTCCTTTCATTTTCCCTCGTTGGTGTGATTTTCGAGCTCCTCGGGCACAAAAAAAACGTTGCCTTTTGACCCTTTTTCACTCAAATGACTGCAAATTTCGTCAGGTTGCTTTTCAAAATATGGCTAGATATATATCAGACAGATACATCCAACTCTGCCAAGTCAGATTCAACTCCAGCTTCAATCATAGTCAACGGCAGAGAAAAAGGGATACAGTCAACTGTCTCATAGCGACCACTGCTTTTAAGCGACCACCTCCCGTAAGCGACCCCTTTGTCATGCACCAAGGATGGTCACTTACGACAGAGTCGACTGTAGTTACCTTTTGTGTTTTGTAGAAGGACGTTTATATCCACTGACATCATGAAGCATCTTAAAAAGAAAAAAAAAACAGATAAGCAATTTAGCAAAAGGAGCCTTCCACACAGATACTAACCTGAGACTACCACTGGTTTCCCCGCCAAATGACGTCTGAGAAACGAGCGCAGAAACTCCATACTGATGGCGCGTCACTACCCAGATCTGAGTAGTGCTTCTGATTGGTCGTGCCGCGTGGGAAATTTATTTCAACCAATCAGAAGCACTACCCAGATCTGAGTAGTGCTTCTGATTGGTTGTGCCGCGTGGGAAATTTATTTCAACCAATCAGAAGCACTACCCAGATCTGGTTAGTAACGCGTCATCAGTATGGAATTTCTGCGCTCGTTTCTCAGACGTCATTTGGTGGGGAAACCAGTGGTAGCGTCGCCGAATACAAAAAAGTTATCGTAAAAGTCACTGCTAATCACTCATGCAGGAATGTAAATTTGAATTTAATACTGGTTGCGGCAACGACTTAGGGATTCATTTTTCACATAACAGATTCATTAATGCGGAATTTTGGGGGGTACGCTTGACCTGGCTTGACTGTAATAGCCAATAAAAGAAGCGGTGGAGTCCTCAAAACAGTCCTATAGTTCAATTCAACACAACACCGAACCAGTCTCACGCGCAATTTCAACGTAACCAACAGGCAATTGCTACTCACATTAGTCAAGTCAGGTCCCACAACGGTAACCGCTCTGCTCTCGTCTGATTCACCATTTTTAAGCACCCGTAGCTTTGCAGGGGCGGCTGAAATGAAACAAAGACAATGTCAAACAGCTTCCATGTACAAAACAACATCTCATCCGATACAATTCTCCTTTGAAGGGCACAGACAAATAACGAGGAATTTTCCCTCGTATTTTCGAGCTTGAATAGGTTTTCCCCTAATCTAGCTCCAGCAAGACTCACTCACTTATGACAAAGTTTGATTGAACTTATAATAATAATTTAATAATAATTAATAATAACAATGTTTATTCATATGAGAAAAATACAAATCAAAAGCTACAATCATAAATTATCGGAAAAAAAACAGTTGAATGATACCCAACTAAGAACGAAAAAAAAAAAGGAAATTAAAAGTTACAATTAAAGTAGAGTCATATTGCTAAGTTATAAATATTAAAGCATAGCCTTTTTACAAAGCAGCTCAGTGTTAACTAAAGATAGTTGAGACGTCTTTCTTCGATGCCTGTGAGAAGTATAGGCAAATTCATTGGTCATGGTTGCACAAGCACCCTATACAGTGAGTACGACGACCCACAGACTGCACTTGAAAATCACCACGCACATGTATCAATTCCGAAGAATAATACAGTGAAATTGGTCGTGGGTCACGTAAGACAAGAGGTCACATGAATGTGGTTCATGCGTTTCCTAATTATTATAATTTATCATCCATCAGAAGTAACATTTATATATTTCTCAGTATAATAGCGTACTTCTCACTCCACAAAAAGCTAGAATTTAATTCTAGAGCTTAAATTTTAGGCACTGAAGAGACCGTCTATACAGAGATTCAACTTTATAAACTTTGATACTAGACAGTAATTATGGATATTTCACTTGAGAAAATCCGACAATGAAAAAGTAGTTATTAGTTATTTCGTATCTTACACTGTCAAAACTTTTCAAAGTATTATAAAAATTATTTTATAGACGTTTGGAGTGTTTCAACACCATTGAAGTATTTATTCAGCGGAGAAATTCTTTAAGGTTTAGAACTATCAAGGAACTCTAAAACTATACTCATGTTTTGTTCGCCAATGCAGCAATTTACCTACTTGTTTACAAGCTCTAAACGCAAACTTTAGTACACACAATGGACCTTGTATATGTAAATGCAAGTTGTTAAGTGGAAAAGACACAACATCATAACTAAAATTTGGTGGGTTAGAAGCGTGGCCAGTTGGAATACATTTCACAAAGGATAAGCAAATTATAAACCTGATATTGAATACATTCGATGGAAAAAGATCATGAAATCTTTCAAGTTTGGACTTCGTACTTACGCCGCATTTGATGGTTGAAAGAAGTAGTCCCTTGTTTGTAACTGTGAGTTCAGAAAGTTAAAAGCTTTCAAGAAATTCATAAATTTTGAAACTACCAGCAAAACACATCGGAATGAATTACAATTAATGTCAACAGGAACAAAAACCAAGGCAAATTTCTATTTTCCTAGGAGAAAAAAACATGATGGTGCTATTTCGGAATACATATTGCTTCTAAAACTAATTGATAATATGCAAAATGTTTGAGCTGATAAATAATTTACAGTATAAAGTCTACAAGTGTCACTGTTAATCATTTCACCTGCACTTGTAAATTAACTGTTAACTCTATTTGGCCTGCATAAATTAATGGCACTTAAGACCAAAGTAAAATTAACACCCAAAAATTATGATACAAAACAATAAGTGTAGCTTTTTGTACACGAGACAAAATTATATTCTGCAAGACATTTTGTAAACAATAAGACGATGACGGTAATTTGGGGCCCTTTCGATTGGGAAATCTGGATCAAGTTTTGAAACATCCGAAATTTAGATATTCAGATTTGCAATAAAACGCGAAAAAGGAAAACGGATTTCAACACTGAGAAATGTGTCTTTGAATTTTCTTTCTTTCTTATTTGTTTGTTTTTTAAGCCATAATTTTGCCTAAAGTGAGAAGTAAGTGTTAATGTTAGCTTAGGGGAGGGGTAGGTGGGCAGTTTCCCAGAAACCTAAATTGATCCCTTTTTTGAAGGGGGAGAGGGGGGTGTGGGTGGGGGAAATCCGAAAAGAGATTTGAAAACTCTTCTCAAGAACAGCGGTCTCGCAAGCGTAAACATAATAGGTATTTGGATTTCTTTTTTGAAATCCACCTCGAGGACGGATTTCTCGAAGCTGAAATCCGTTTCCGGATTTTGCGTTTGATTGCAAAATTTTAAATCTGCCGGATTTCCAGATTTCTCAATCGAAACGCACCCTTAAGTTTTATTTAACACACGGCAAACTGGAAAACTTTTGATTCACCGCCCTGTAAATTACTGGACAATTTTTGCATTATCTAAAGCTTTTGAGTAAGTTCTGCAAAGCCAAGTGCCCAATGAATAAGGAAGCCCCACCCTCAAAGACCCAAGGGCGGTCAGTTGAGTCGGAAAAACGGTGGCCAAAGTTTTCAAGAACAGACTCTCTCGCCTTTTCTTGCCGCCATTTTTCACGATCAGACAGACCGCCCCTGGGTCTCCAAGGATGAATAATCCCCAGCATGCCTTCAGTAAATTAATATTACTTGTAGGGACTGCTTTCTTGTGTGAGGGCTTCTTGACCGGTGGAGCATAAGGTAACAGAAACCCTTCCATGGGCCAAGTGAAGTCCTTCAAGAGACAAAGACAAACATACCGTCGCCATGAATGTACAGCATCATCAAAATTTAGTATAAACAAATTGGATAGCCTGTTCAGACACTATATTTTCTCTTAAGAGATCGTCAAGCGCGCTTATGGAAATAAGGGAGGGATTTATTGACCGTTAGCGTAAGGGGTTGGGGGTTGCTCGCGCGCTGTCGAATTGGCAGAAGTTTTGCATAGAACTATTTAGTTGGAGAGATTTTGAAAAAAAAAAGTTTTTTTCATGAACTTTCTCTTTGGTCTCTACCAGGAGTAAAAGGTATACATAACACCTTATTGAAGAGGAGATGAACTGAGGAATCGACCCTTCCACCGTTTTGTCAACATTCGACATGGACCAGTTAGAGAAAATGCATCGACACCACGGGAAAGAGCGCCTTAAAATTAATAAACTCGCAAAGTTTGAAAGCGATTCACCTTAAGCAAGCGAAGGTTATAGCTCCTCAAAGTTGCGAAAACTTACACTTTTTTATGGTGGAGTTGGGGGTGGGGTTGGGGGTGTGCCCGCACCATATAAACGTCTGTACAATTTCGCGACTTTGAGGAGCTATACCTTCGTTAGTTTTCCACAAATCATTTTCAAACTTGGAGAGCTTGCTAATTTAAAGGCGCTCTTTCCAGAAGAGTAGACGGATTTTCCTCCAACTTGTCCATGTCAAAAGTAGAAAAAAAAAGAACTGTGGAAAGGTTTATTGATATTCAACAAGGCCTATATCACCTTTTGATTTTGTTGCGCAGACTTGAGTGATAAAGTAGTATTTTTCGGATTAAAGTTTACTGAAATAGCCGAATAAGATTGAGCTTAATTTCATATCACTTCTATGAGATAAGAATGTAAAGAAGCAATCAAGTTCGATGGTTTTTAAACTTTCTTTACGAGCTGATCACTATAAAATTGCAGACGTACTGAGTTCCAAGTGCCATCTTCATAAACAGGCCAGGATAAAGCCCTTTTGTTCCACTCTGGGTTAGAAATGGTTGAATTTTTCCACTGACCCATATTTAGGAAGTCCTCCTGTTTAACAGCCCATCTACAAATAATAAATCATAGTTTGACAGTTGTCATAAAATCTAAACATCAGTCAGAAAAACAAGTACCCCAGTGCACGTGTAGGGGTGTTTGACATTGGAGAGCTGCATGCTATCAGCAGAGTGCTGGCAAAAGACTTCTTTAATCAAATCATGAAAACTGCACCGGTTCCTTATAAGGAAACTAGTATGCCAAAACACGGCTGGTCACTCACGGTGAAATTGTCTTCGGCAAACACTTCTGCACAGAGCAGATACGTTAACGTAGGAGATATGAATACTTAACTACCGTCATTGGATGTAATCTACAACTTATATTAACAGCTTCAATGAGCGCGCTTCTCATCATTCGTTAAAGGCTGCACTCTGGTAGCCGAAAGCTTATGTTTTCTGAAACTTTTTAGCCAGCGAACTTTTTTTATTAGCTTTCCAAGCGTCTTGTTTGTTAACTGTTATGTTTGCCATGAGTACGATGCCGCCTTAAGAGATTGCGCTTAGGAGGCAGAAATTGTGACTAAACTAGTAATAACCAAAGGTTAGAGAGTGCGGGCGAGTTTCAGGCTTCTGATCGAAGGTCAAAGCCCTTGCTCCAAAGCTGGTGCTTTGAGTAAGATTCACATGATAAAAGGTCAGATTACGAGTGATAGAAGGTCCAAACGCGCGTCATCAGATGGCGCTCTACGCATTCCATTCATTCTTCGTGGAAGCCCAAGGGAATGCTAGCTACATACAGTTGACTCCCGATAACTCGAACTCTCTAGGGAAATGGATAAAACGTTCGAGTTATCGGGAGTTCGAAGCAAATAACCCGAAATAAGGAAATAAGCAAATGGATGGGGAGGGAATGCAAGTATCGTGCACACTTCACTTCAAAGGCAGCAAGAAATAAAGATTGATATTTTGAAAAAAGCAATTAAGCGACAAAGCCGAGTAATATGTAGGGATGGACACTGATTGAACTGAAGTGACAAAAGAGTAAAGCCAAAGAATTGACACGGCTGTTTTGAACTAAATTCAGTGTTTCGGACTTCAGTACACCGTTGTCATGTCCTAAAAACATGATTCGAGTTACTGAGGGTAAAATTATATAGAAATGACCTGAAGGGAAACAAAAATTACTTCGAATTAGCGGGAGGCTCGAGTTACCGAGGGTAAAATTACAGGAAATGTATGAAGGAAATCCAGGGGAAATCGACTTTAGTTCGAGTTAGCGCGAGGTTCGAGTTATCGGGCCGCTCATGCGTGATAGCAACCTGGAGATTAGGATTACAGGTTCAACTGGTCGGCCGCAATTAACAACTTACCTTTGAGTTCCATCTGCGTGTCGCTTTGGCAGAAGAGCAACTGAGTACCTACACCCATTGAACTCATCCTTTAAGTTGGCAAGACCAGTCTCAGGGTTCTCCTCGGCCTTGTCTGAAACAGCTGGACTGGGTTCCAATCGGGAATCATTCATGGCATGAAAGTCACTGGTTGCTTCCCTTGGCCTTTCCGCAGACTTTTCTGCAGACATTGTGTCCTCAATCAGCCGATTCTCGATGTAAGTCAACACAAGGTTGGGTTTTGAAAGAGAATAGATCTGGCCTGTTGGACTAAATCCCCACTGTTGATTAACGTCACTAGGATTTCTGCAAGTATTGAAAATGCCAGACAATAGAGAGATTAAGAGAGATTAAGCAGGGTGCAAAGAAAGTCAGTTTTACAGCCTGCCATTCGGGCAAGCTGTGGCTACTATGTACTAGCCCACAAGTCATTTCAACTAGCCCCAAAACCCTTTTTGATTAGCAGGATTGACTACAATCCTTCTGTAATTTAAAGTGCCCCCAAAAACAGCACTTGCCCGTTGGGCAAGTTAAGAACAAAAATCACTAGCCCGATGGCAAAATCCAAGTTTTTCCACGCTGTTAATTGTTCCCGTTTGTTGTTTGGCGTAAAGTTTACGTTTAAGGTTAATTCTACCACGTGAAAAAATTGTCGTGTACTGTTTATTACTTCTACTCAAAAATAAGTAGTTTCACGCCAGTTTTATCCGTAAGAATTGTTCTGAACAGTTTTTATCTACTTATTTTCTATTCTGAGAAATTCCCAACTTAAATCTGCCGTTTGCCGTAAACGTGAATCTTAATCTCTCTATTAGCGCTTCGTTCGCCATTTTAGAAGCGAGAAGGGAACTGGAGCCGAATATTTTTTCCCTGTCCCTCGTAACATTCCCAGAAGTCTGTGCGAACGTTAACTCGGCCCTGTTTCCTCTCATTTCTAAAGTGGCGAATTTAAGGTTTATGCAAGTGGCGCCAGATACTGTACGGACAAGTTTAATAATACCAGTCATTACATTAAATCACTTAAGTGTGGCCTAGCATTTAAACAAAAGCTACTGAGCTGTACTTTGGAGTGTTACTTTCTGTCATGCTGTACACGTTGTTTCTTACTTTTGAGTCTGTGGATCATAAAAACCTAAAGGTGTCCAATCTAATGCAAGTGACTTCAGTAACAACTTCCCTGAAGTATTGTTTATTGTGCTGTAGTACAGCGCAAAGTGGTTGCAACTTTTGAGTCTGTACCATTCAAATGAAAGCCACTGAGCAGTACTCTACTGGAGTAGGCTGTTTATTGTACTGTACAAGGTGTTTCTAATTTTTGAGTAAAGCTACTGGGCAACACTTTACAGTAAGGCTGTTTATTATGCTGCACAAGGTGGTTCTTGCTTTTGAGTCTGTGGTGTGACCATTCAAATGAAAGCTACTGAGCAGTACTCTCCTCTGGTGCTTGTTTAGTACGCTGTAGAAGGAGGTTCATATGTTTGTATTTATGAGATAACTCTCCCAGGGTATCCAAGCAAACATACATTACCTTTTTGCAATGACCACAGGATACCCCTGCAAAGAATTGTCCGAGTACTGGACGGTAACAGCGCGGTCTGACCTTGACAATACAAGCTGAGGCATTGCTTTACTATGAATCAAGCCACTCTGAAACCAAACGAGACTATTTATCAAGTTTTTACCATACCTTGAGAAGAAAAAAAAGGAGAAAAGCCGTTCAAGTTCAGCTATTAAGTTACAGCATGCGTGACGACTCACACTGTCCTGTGATACTGTACCAAAATACTGATTTCAAAGCTGCTAATTGTCAATTAGACTGGGCAGGGCTCGGAAAACGTCCCGTCCGGTAGTCTGGGACTGGACAAGTAGATTTTCTGGCTGGGCTAGTATTTTTTAAAGTTCAATGGTCCAAGCAAGTCACCTTCTAACTAAAGGCACATTCACACGTTAAAAGCTTTAATTAAACACGGTTTCAATTGTTCCTTCTTAAAAGCTGCTTACTCAGGGCTCGAAAAAAGTTGGACTGTTAGCTTGCCCTTTGGAAAAGTAACTCTTCAACTGTACTTGCCCGGGCCATTTTCTCGCTTGCCCAACTATTTTCCTACAATGGTATAGCTTATTAATAATTCATTATATTACATTAATAATTCGTAAGTCTTAGGTTGATGGCATATTCAGTGCAAATTACAAAAATGAATGGGGCATTACACTCCACACTCATTCAAGAAAATCGTTGATTGGGCAAGCAAATTGTGATATCTGATCTTGAATACACTCCTTGGAAATTTTACTTAATATACATCGTTCTATACCTGCGTTATAATCCATTCTTGAGCATCAGGTGGCCAGGAACTTTTTCCTTTTTTCCTCTTTTCCTTGATAGCGACTTCTGGGTAAAGTACAAGATTCTTGTTCTCTTTAAACTGTAGAAAGCAGCCATTCTCATCGACACGCATCACCTTATGTCAACCAAAACAAATTTAATATTACTACTTTGAGTTAATTCTCTCTACTTTATGCTAAAAGGTCTTTGTTTTACACAATTATAGACGACGCCGTTAGTCTCGTAAACTGAAGTTCTTTAACCCATTCGCTCCTGGAGATTTTGCCGAAAAACGCCTTTTGCAGCTAGTCGAGTGGTTTTCTGGTCACTGTCGTGCTATAAAGAGCTAAAACTTACCACAAACCGGTTTACAGGTCGTACACTTGGCGGCCTTCTGATCCAGATGCAAAATATCAGCTTGCGAAGTTCGGGCATGCGCAGAAAGCAAAATTTCGAGAAAGTGACACAGCAGTCTTGACTTTTACTTTTCGCTTTCTCTCCTCCCTTCTTTTTTCGCTTTTCTTGCCTCATTTTTTTTTCTCTTGCTGGGCATTTAGTAGGCTTCATTTTGGTGGGAAGAGTTTTTAGGAAAGCTTTTAGGATCTTAGGATTAGGTGAAAGGAAAGGTAGGTGGGTAATGGAACAAGATTTTCATGGAGATTTTCAGGTCCTTGTCACGTGGTTTTTTGCTTCTTTCTCCGGTGTCCTTGACTGAATTGTGCTCATTCTGGTATGGTTTGAAAGATCTCTTCACTCTGCACAAGTTAGCGAAGAAAGTTGTCCTTGACCGTTAAAACTGATGACGTCACAAAGGGTAGAAAGGACCTGGATCCGCACGGGCGGTTACGGGCGGTTCAGGGGCGAATGGGTTAAAATCGTTCGTAAATACGTACGTCCGCCTATTCATGTAAGCGGATGCGAAATGTCTTATTTACTAGATTAAAAGTCCAAGGCATATTCAAATTGTGATTAACTTGACATTGGACAGCCATGTTATGATCAATTGACAGCTGTCAAAATAGGGTATCCGCTTACCATTGTGATATGACTGTATCGCAGACTCAGGTGTACAACTCATTGAGGTGATTGGTTTTTGTTAAGTTCTCTGCTGACCAGTTACAGTATGTTATTCAACAGATTGCAGGCTCAGAAAACTTTACTTTCGGCCCCAGTTGTTAAAAAGGTGGATAATGCTATCCACTAGATAAATCTCTAACCAGTACATAGTGTAATTGGTTTCCCTAATATCTATCCACTGGATAGTGATTTATACGTTGGATATGGAACAACTGGGACCAGGAAAACATTTCTTTAAAGTCCCCACGCGAGCTTCGCTTTTGTCCTTGGATGAATTTATTTATTTACTTATTTAAAAATTTCCCCCAAAGGCCTGGATAACTCACGGATCAAGCCCCACTAGGAGGTCCAGAAAAAGCAATAATACATACAATAATGACAACGCACTAGAAACAACAAAAACGACAATAACAAACAGAATAGTGGCAAACATCGGTTAAAGAATCAACAACACATGCCATCGAGCAACCTGATCAATGGCCGACTAGTGTGCCACTTGATACACAAACCATAAATATTATATACATTAATGAAGTATTCAGTCACCTGGAGACTCTGGGCTTGTGAGATCTCGCTTCCTGGGTTAAGCAAATTCACATGATGCCGTTTGCAGCCTGATGGGAAACCATTCACTGCTCTCCACAAAGAAGACTTTTCTTTGCCTCTGCCTTCATCATCAAAACTCTCTCTTTGAACCATCTCCTTTTCACCCCAAAGGGACATGCAAGTGGCCTTATCCAGGCACAGCTCGAGAACAACAACTGCAAAACAGAAATCGTAAATAAACTTAGGGCGCTTTTCGGTAGTCAGAAATGGCCGACTAGACCGGTCAGTTTCCAAATGAAATTTTAGTCTCTTCTCGAAATTCTTAACAAAACCCATCAACGCCGTGCACCCTATTTAAGAATAAACTGATATAGCTGGATCGGTCTTGTTTATAGTGGAATTCTCCTCAAGACTAAACTGGTCTGACCAGCCAGTTCTGACAATGATAAGCGCCCTTAGGCTATAAAGGTTCGCACTAGAAAAGATTCCTAGGGATTCATAAATGTTTCCACGTATTCCGATTCGTAGGCGTTTACACATAGTAGCTAATCCGAGAACATTCATTTGGATACAAAGTATTCTTCGAGTAGAGGGAAAAATAATCCGGTTCCAAAGTTATCCGGAAAACCTCCTCTACAATCAGCGTTGAAAATTCGAACAAAGTTAAAGCCAAAGACTATCATTTTGCAGATGAATAAAATCTACCTTGAGTGCAAGGAAATTACTGTACTATTAATGAAATACTTGATATTGTTAAAATGAATATGTGGCGGTAATCAGTCTACCTGCGAATCCCCCATCTACCTTGCCTGCGTGCAGACGTCTCCTATTTCCTTTGTTGCACGCGGAAAAGGGACGTCTGCGTAACGCCGTCGCTAATCGTGTTCCAGCGTCCCGCTGGCAGGGTATTCTATTTCGCATAAATTGTGAAATAATATCCGGTTAGAAGTAAGAGTTGACAGGCCAAACAAAACATCATAAGCTCGTGATACGGGCGAAACGTGACCTTGAGAGTCTGCTTGAACAGAGGTTTTTCTTCTTTTCTCTCTCGCGCGAAGATTACTAGCACTACACAGTGCATGTAGCATTCTAAACGTTTGACTGAGTAAATCTCACTTTTACCGCGCTAAGTCTTCCATTTAGAGGTCATGAAGCAGGTTTGTTACATGCATACTGAGTAATCATTTCCTGTGGTTTATGCTTCTGTGGGTGTTCCCGATAGGATTTGATTTCAGATGCAGATGTAAAGTGTTTAAGTAATGGTCCAGCTAAGAAGCAGGCAGAAAAACAATAGCCCGCGGCAACAGCGTCAGTTATTTTTCAGGCGCTAATTTCTCTAATCAAATTAAATCTGAATGCTCTGAATGGTCAATACAGCGAAAAGCGCGAAATTTGAATCTTAAAGTTGAATTAAGATAGCTTAAGACTCATTCGAACAACTTTTTATTTCGTCTGTTGCTTTGTTATGTTGAAAAATATAACAGATCTAAAATTTAAAAGATTTCTATGCGCCAAACCCGAGGAAGTTAAACTGATATGAAATTATACGAAGATGAGCACAGTGTTACATCAATCAGCGACGTTGGGAACAACATTTACGTCGGCTCTCACAAAAGAAATGTCAAAACCATGATCGTAAACAGCAGCAATTCACTCTCACATGGCGAATCTGGCAAACGCGCCAATGTCCCGCGTTCATATTCGGCCACCATACAGAACAACAACACGTACACAAAGTCAAATCTAAATGTTATCTAAATGTTCTGCTTTTGGAAAAAAAGATGATGTTGCCCAGATAGAAAAAATTCCTGCATGTTCGGATAATTGGGTTTCCGAAAAAGCTCTCCTACAGTTTATCTGTTTTCAAGGCTTTGATATTACTCTATAAAAATCCTTCTTACAATCTCTTTCGTCCTTGGAAAAAATAAAGGCAAGCTACAGTCATGCTCACTAGATCTTCCGTACCAAGAGAAACTCAAACACCAGTGACAGCTATTTATGATACCTAAGCGGCTTCCGTCTCAGTATTCTCCGTCTCAGAACTCAAAGGTACAAAATGCAAACGTGTCACAAATTTCAATTCGCTCATTTTAACTTAAGGTCCACGGCGAACTTCCATTTCGCTTGATGAAGCAGCCTAGAGAGAAAAAAAAATCGAATGAGAGATGGGTAAAGCTACACGGAATATGGAAGTTTCGAAAAGGGCAAACACATGAATAACACATAATGCGCGCGGAGGTGCGAAAATCTATTGAATTCAGCTTACCTCAACCTCAAGTGTTCTACATCTCTGCGAGAAATAAATTCATCCTTGTAAAAACAAGAAATCTTTCGCTTTCTCCTTTTATGCCCAGCTGTTCTCCAATTTCTAGTGCCACAATTATTCCGATCTCCTCCTGATCCGGCCTGACAACGAAAACAACTACGCCGGGCCCAAATTTCCACATGGCGACTCGGCATGTCGAGGACGGCAGCAAACCATGCTTGACGATCACCCCGATGATAAAATACAGTAAAATTGAGATAAATATTCAATAAAGAAAAAAATGCAGATTCTTCACGAAGAAATTGACGAGATTTCTTCGGGTAAAAGACAAATTTCCAAACATCTCGAGTGTCACACTAAGATGGGGTCACAACGCGTGTGTTGCACGTTTTCCGCTCTAACTTTTGATTGGCGCATAGAACAATGCTGAAACTTGGCCGTGAGGTATAAGACAGGGGAATGGGGAAAATAAAGCTAAAAAAAGTTGTTTTTGTCACGTTTTTGACTGTTTTTTTGGCGATTTTTGGATTTCGGCCAATCAGAACGCTTGATTTAATTGAAATTAATGATTAAAAGTTAGCACCTTTTAATCACTTTTGCCGTTCGCCTGCCTACCTCTTACAAGGACCATTACTTAAATTTTCTTGACCTCTGTTTGTTACGGCTAAATAAAGATTTTAGTTTCTTTGGCTGGCTTTCTCCGAAATGCCTGCCTGGTGCGAAGTCCACGCCGCTTTTGTAGTTTTCTCAGACATTGTTTACAAATGTGATGTGATGTGTCATGCACAGTAAATTGTAAAGAAATAATTTCCTCGTACACGTTAAATTTTCCGCGTCCCCGCACAAGATTTCGATCGCTCTGCTTTTCGATCGACGAAAAACACAGCACACAATCGCACATGTTTTGATTTGTTTTGGTTAGAAAACCCCGCTTACATAAATCATTTAAATCACCGCATACATTATCAGACCACATTCGATAACAACCAATCAGCGTTAAGTCAAACAATGCGCACTGTGTGTCAGCCTATCACAGCGTGTTCCCAAGATCTTGGGAACCCAGCAGGACGCTGGAACACGATTAGCGACGGCGTTACGCAGACGTCCCTTTTCCGCGTGCAACAAAGGAAATAGGAGACGTCTGCACGCAGGCAACCATCTACCATGAGCAATTTTTTTAAAAGACGAGTAATTGAGAGCTTGATTGAGTATTGTATCACGGCTGTCTAGTTCATTTTGCTTATATTGCCACTGTCACGTACTTAATAGCAACGGAACTTAACGTTAGCAGGGCTGTCATTAAGAGGCGGGGCCCGGGATTTCCTTCGGCAACTATAAACGTGGCCCCCAGCTACTTTCATAGTAAAATAGAAAAAAAATAGAACCAAAAGAACTTCCTAGCTGTTTGATTCCCCACCTATTTGTTGTATTTACCTGGTAACGTGAAATCTTAGTGACAACCCTGCGTTAGTGAGCGAAATTATTGGTCAATCTTACAAAATCACAGCTTCATGTCCCAAGCATTATATCAAACATTACAGACATAAAAAATAACGTTGATAAACCGGTTACGCTAACAAGTTTTCAAAAGCCGCAGTTGCAGTCTATTTTAAAGTTTGTCCATCAGTGCCCTCTTGTTTTTACGGTTTCACACAATTTGGTGCCGGTTTCCATTGTGACACAGCCCCTTTAAGATTTCAGTCTCATTAAATACGCCTACTATGGTATCCAATCACCTCGCCACCAAATCATCTCGCTACCAACGAAATCGCCACCAAGAATAGAACTTAGCTTTATTGTAATTACAAGTTACAAGTAAACGAGACAAAATAATGAAAAAAACTTTCACGAACAGAAATGTTCTCTTAACCGTTACTTTATTATTATTATTATCATATTGCAAAGAAATGACTGGTGGTTATGAAACTGACTTTATCTCTCAAATGTCAAAGTTTACGTTCACTGAACCTGTTCTATTACCCAGTATTTGGAGTATTAAGAGCATAAGAAGTTCAACGCAAAGAACGTCAATTAGGATCGACAGATTTGTATCTGAATCAACTTCCAGTTAGAATAAGCTTGACGAAAAAGTAAATCTTAGGTTAGTAATCCTAGGCTTTGCATTAAACTATGTCAATTATTTCCGAGTTACTCGTCGGTGGCGAGTCGACTTCTTAGTGGCGATTTTGTTGGTGGCGAGATGGTTTGGTGGCGAGATGACCGTAAACCCTTACCATGCGGTGGTTTAAAGTCCTCTCCATAAGACAACCATATTTCCTGATCATAACCCAGGTCATGTACGTCGGTGATCTCCTCGCCATCCCTTGTAAACACTCTCTTAGCAATTCTCCTTCCAGCTGGGCCACCGCCACTCTCTGACACCTTTGAACAGCTTGTGCAGGCATCAAGAAATCGATGCATCAGTTGCGACTTATCGCCTTGAATCCCTTTTTCGGCCTCGTGTAAGTTGAAGTGAAGAACAACATAGCCTTCGGAGAAGCCATTTTCAAAAACCTAGCAACACGAAAAACACGACCTTAATCACAAGATCATAAGCGTTAGATGATCACTAGTTGAAAAATTTCCTATAGCAAATAGGGTTCTGCTGAAGCTCAGGCGAGCGGTGAAATCCCCGTGAAGCGTACCACCCGTTATACAGGTATAACCATGGCGCTTCATCATCATCATCATCATCATTTATTAGCCTTTTTTTACAGCAAATTTAACAGGATACAGCAGGTTGTTAGGCGAGGAAACCTCAAGAAACCACCAGGCTTATAAAGAGAGGCCACCTCGACATCACAATATTATAAGAAATAAGGGCTGCAAAGAAGTGTGGCTAATCTAATTTAGTAACTTAAAGATGCGTCCGCACGGCTTCGCGAACTAGCCCAATTGCTTTCAACGGCCACGGTAGCATTTTGGCGCGTATTTTCACATCGCTGGCTTTTTTCATGACTAAAAATTTCAGCTAACCTATTCACAAATATCAGTCTTAGAGTTTGCAAGTATTGAACGATTGAATCAGTCTTTTCGTGGGGTAATAAGTCATCGGTCAGTATCAACAATTTCGCAGGGTTGGCACTAAGATTTCAAGTTGCTTTGTATAGGCAATTTCAAAACATATACTGTATTACCGTAAATGACCTAATAAACGCCCACTTCCAAATAAACACCTCTTATCTAAAAAACGCCCCATCAACGATGTGAAAATTGTAATTGACACAGGTCTCTAATAAATGCCCCCTGTCCATTAGACGCCCCCTATGAGAATTACTCCAAACTGATTTCAGTTCTAAACAAACATATTAATTACCGACATAATCAGATGTTTACAGTTTGACTATCAAGTACAAATATTTACCTTTAATTTGAGTCCTTGTTTAGCCAACAATCTACTTTCTGGGGCTATATGCGTCATGTGTTTGTATCTGTAATTCTCTAGTCCTGATGATTCCTCGTCTTGCGCTGCTCCCTCCACTATTCCCAGATGTGAATTCAGGGTGGGTATCGCACTTGACAAATCACTGATGTGCTGTTCAACCTTCATTTAAAGACAACAAATGTCTCTTATACAAGTCTGTACTATTCTCACTGCATAATTAATTAGCTTAAACTACTACATGAGAAAATAATTTCTGCAATTTGATTGGCTTAGAGCAGTAGTATTTCAGCTTAATTTGAAATACCGACATGCAGGTGAAAGTTACAAACCTTTTGCGGGTAGTAGTATAAACAAATAATAGCATGATTTGTAAGTGATATTTGGCATAAATACCACTCGTGATATTTCAAAATTGTCTTCAATTTCACTCCCCTAACGGCTCGTGAAATTACGTATAACAATTTCGAAATATCACTCGTGGTATGTATGTCACATATCACTACTAATCATGCTATTACCTATACTAAGGGCCTGTCTACTTGGAGGTGGCGATCCCAGATAGTTGAGGTAACCCGCTTAGGTGGGGTAAAAACATAACCCTCCTTTACACGCAATCTTACAACCCCGCACTTTCTCAAGATTATTGAATGGTCGCTAAGCACGTAAACAAGAAAAATGCCGGAAAACCACGTGTTTTGGCGATTAATGCTCTTCAACACTCACTTGCTGCTCTTGCTGCAACCTTCAGGGCTGTGGCTTTCTATTGTTACCTTTAATAATGATGCAAAGCCACCGCCAAAGTGATTTTTGCGCAAAATTGATGTATCACGAGACCGACCCCGGCTAGCTGGGTTACCCCACCTTGAAACGTTTACATGGCAAAATTTGCCCCGGCTGAGAGGGTAACCCGGGCTACCCGCCTTCGCAGGTCACCCCACCTATCATGTAAACGTGATCTAATTAAACTGAGAGATTATATGGACAGGCGGGTTACCGCACCTCACCTACCTGGGATCCCTCACCTCCATGTAAACAGGCCCTAATTGCAGGAATTTTGTATGATCCGTGCCAATTCTCTCAGGTTTGTGCATGTTTGTTTCAGTCGCAATGCTTTGCGTCCCCTCACTATAAAATTTGACTGTGGGGCCTAAAACGTTGTCATTTTTGATAATCATGAACCGGGACCACAGTTAACTTTTGCAATCCACCGCCCCGCGGCCAAACAAGTGCATTTGTTATCGTTTACGCGCAGCGGCAACTTTCGCCGACGAGATATCAAAAAACCGGTAAAAATACAACTCGGCGTACGACCACGAAATATTGTTAGCTTAATTTGCTCTTTCTTTCTGCGCTACAGGAATCGCGTAGCGCGCGACGCGATTCGCATCTCGCAAGAGGGTGGTAACTTACTTTTGGGCGGTATTGAGGAGGTTTTCTGATCGGTTAAAAATTTCTTGTATAAAGTGCGCTTAAAACTGGCAATTGATGGTTTCTTTCTGATGGTTGGATCAAAAGCGTTCCACTCTGCAATTGTCCTACACGTGAAGGTTTGCCCTCCCTCAGTTTTCCTTGTGTATTTAGGACAAAGAAAGTTTAAACCGGAAATAATTCTATAAAACAACTCACACCTCCTTTATTTCATTCTCAATCTCTGCTTCACTCATAGCCATGATCTCTTTGGAAACAACTTCTTCACCCTTCAGACTTTCCTCTAGCTGTTGAAAATGAATAAATACTTTAGAATAAGAACGTTTTCACTAATTAAACTCCAGCAATTGTTGCAGCTGTAAGTAACAGAAAGGGTTCTGTTTTTTGTCCAGTTTTGAGAATGAATTTTCAGTTGTTATAGCCAACAAAAACAAACCACTGGAAACCAGAAGCTGAAATTTGGCTGGAAATATTTGGATTAATTTAGGTTTCTGTGAAACTGCCCACATACCCCTGATTGCTTTTCACTTAAGGCAAAATCTTGGGTTAGGGGAGGGTTAGGTGGCCAGTTTCCCAGAAACCCAGGGTTTTCATTAAGAGGCGGTGGCCGGGGATTTCCCCCGGCTACTTTCATAGGAAAATAGAAGAAAAATAGAACCAAAAGAAATCCCTAGCTGTTTGATTCCCTGCCTACTTGTTGTATTTACCCGGCAACTTGAAATCTTAGTGACAGCCCTGGAAACCTAAATGTGCTTCACTTCCCAAGTGACATTAGCAGCTGAGATATTTAACAGATAATTGGGAAAAGTCAAGAAGACTATTTTCTTTTGATAAATTATCAATGCTACAACCTGGAACAAAACGGGTTGAGACACATCTTAAAAATACCTTTTTGTATCATAGCAAAAATGGAAACAATCACCAAATGAATGCCTGTTTCCCTCCCTCTGCAACCTCCCCCCACCCTTTCCCTTACCCTATTAGGAGATTTATACACATTGGTTTTTAGACCAAAACAATTTGGAATAGAGGGTGAGGAGGGGGCTTAATTTTTTTGTTAGAGGAGATGGTAGTATGGTGCACACTTAGAAAATAGAAGGAACTGTCTCAACGGTTTTGTCTGAGGTTGAATCCATGGGTTGTTAACTTGTTTTTCTTTTCCCCCTTTTTTTTCAAAAACATATAGTTTCGATACCTGTTGTTTGTAAGCTTTACTTTGTTTTAATCTATCTTTGGTGCTAAACAGAAGTGTGGTAATGAAGTGATATGCTCCTTTAGGACTGAAGCGCTCTGCACCCCTTGTCACCCACACAGGGCCTAGAATGACACTAGTTGACGGCTGAAGAATTCTGTCCAGTACAGGAACTGTAAAAGAGAATGGTAACTGATCAGAACTGCATTCAAATTTATTGTTACTGTATGTCAAAACAAGACTTTTTCTCACTGGCAAGAAACTTTTCTTGTTCACTTGCCCAGGGGCAAGTGCCAGTCAGTTCATCTTCTGACTAAATCATACATGAACACCACAAAAACCATGTACACAAAGACATGTACATCTATTCATAGACTTAAGCCAAGAAAAAATAAAATGGGAGAATTCAATGTTTGTTTTGTTTTTGTTTTTGGTTTTGTTTGTCTGCCCTGCCCAGAATTAAAATTATCATAGAAAGGTAAGTGGGTTTATTACTGTTCAACTGTTTAAACAAAGCATTAAAAAAACCTCAGCTAACCATCAGAGAAGCTCTTGATCTCCTTTCCCTGCCAGTCAAACAAAAGCCTGGCTCCTGACTCTAGGTTTAACTTCTTTGTGCAGTCATCCAAGAACTACAGAGATTATAATAATAATTACTATTTCTATTCATCACATTTATAATTGTATATGTGAAAACTCGGTTGGTATAAGTTATCATGTACAGGCCATGAGATGATCTAGGAAACCTCTTGTTAATCCTCCCCTTAAACTTCTAGGGAAACCTTTTGTGCTATACACCTGCACATACATGTGCAAGTAGCTGTGAGGGGTTAGCTTCAAGGGTTAGTGCATTATTCACTTACAATGTACTGGATGTACAAATTTTTGGTAAAACATCCCTCAACTTTAAAATTCCCAACATAATAAATTTTTAAGTTTAACAAAAGATCTGGCTCTTTCCCCAGCACAAACCAGATGCCAAAGTTGTCCTTGACAGCTAAAAGCAATGACATCACAACAACTGATTCAGGGGTGAATGGGTTAAACAGCTGATCTATACAGACTGTACCTCATCAAATCTCCCAGCCACAATCTCCACTCCCTCAGAACTTTCACCATTTCTAAACACAAGAATTCTCCTCTTCTGACTTTCAACTAATGACTTCATCCTCTTGGACAAAGATGGCTTTGTGCGACCTCTGGATCGATCCTCAGGGAGAACAATCCCACTTAACGTCCATGAGGCGGATCTTCTCAGTTCTTCTCTATCTGTCATAAACAACAAACTGGATCAATTCTCTATCCTCTGATAATCAAGTGCTCTGAGATTATTGGAGACAGTCCTCCACGCTCTTTTCTCAAAACTGCCGAAAAATTCATAAAAAAGTGTTTCGCTCCAAGAAAATGTATTCAAAATGGATGCCTAACTTCATGTATCACATGGAATTCAGAGGTGTGTGCGACACATCAAGGCTTAATACTTAAACAACCAGGGTAAAAGACCATAACTACAGACCATTTAGAAAGACCAGAAAAGAACACCAATGAGAGTACATTGTATGCACTATTGATCAGAAGAGGTCAACAACGTCAGTCTTGTTAAGACAAAGCAAACTATTTATGATGACTTTCAAACATGTTGTTAAAACTTCGATACTACAGTTGAATCCTCTCTGATGAAGAGCTCTCTCTCTCTGAGGGGCCAGTTTGCTTTTAATTATCAACTTGGTTGATTTTAAACCAATTTTACTTTGTTACCAATAGAAACCTTAAGATTTGACTATGAGTATAACGTCAAGTATGAGTACAACTTTAGAATTTTGAACTACATGTACATGTTGATGTACCAGTAGTTACACGTACAATTTATGCCCCCAAAATAATTTTGTCACTCTGTCCTGTTGCTAACCAGAATATTGAGAGATGTACACTGTAAGAGATAAAATTGTCGTGACAAGTGTACATATATCTGAGGCACATAACATTGGTTTGAAAACATCACTTTTTAATTGCACTCAACCTTGTATTAAAAGTCCAATCTACATTATGTAAAGGTCCCCTCCAGTCCTGTACAAGACTACACTCAAGCAGATGACCAAATGACATCACCTGTGTTTAATTTTAGTACTAATAAATTATTATTACCTCGTATGGTAGCATAAGGATCACGGAAAGGCTCTCCACAAGAAACATAAACATCCACATCCCTCGGCAGCTGGCTAGCATGTGCAACTGGAGTTCCATCAGATAAAAACAGCTTTCTTGCAGCAGACACAAGTCCTAGTTTCTCAGTGCAGGCATCAAGTAGCTGAAGGATTGATTATAACAAGACAAGTTGTAAACAAGAGTAATAATATTATAGTCATCCAATTGAAGTTGTTCAAAACCTGTTTACCTGCTGAAGATCTGGAACAGTTATCCGTGCATAGTTATCCCTGTTTCCATTCTGAAAGGCCCGGACACAAATGAGCTGAGGCTTCCTCTTGAACAATGGTTTAGTTTTCTTTCCACTAACAGAACTGGACACTAAAGAAAGATTCAAATAATAGTATTACTACAATGCAGGAATACGTTTAAACCATAAAATATCATAGAAGTCTTGGTAACGGTTTTTATTTAAAGGAATTCCTGAAACATGGGTCAGTAAAAATCACTGTTCCCTCTCTTTACAAAATTTAAATACAAGTTAAAATAATAAAAACAAAACCTCCGAATGGGTTCCATAAGAACAATCATTTCTTACCATTAAAATACGACTGCTTCAGAAAAATGTATGTAAAATGAAAACTTTATTAGTAATTACAACATCTTTTCCTGCATCATTTCCTGTGTCAGTGGGGTTTTCTTTGAGGTTTTCTGCAGACAGAGGTTCCTTTGAAGTAGAAGGCATCCAAACAACCCACCATTCTAGCCCGTCAAAGACTTTTATGTGTTATAATTTGTATTTTTATCATAATCAGTTACAGCTTATAGTAAGTTGTAACATACCCTGTAGTTTATAAACCAGTAAACAGTGACTCCTCTTCAAAGTTCATGGTGACTCTTACAGGTGTTACCATGATTATACAACCCTCAACAGTAGCATAAAGTAATCATGCGCAAATGTATATTCACTATAAGTTATCTTTCACTTTACCTGAAGTGTTTCTAGAAAGTGATGAAGTTGCAGAGCTAAATGAGCCTGATCTGTACAGAGAAAAAATTACAAACGGTTTTGTTTTGAATAATGTTAGATAAACAGAGAGTGTCGAATGAAGAGGCTCAGTTTATAAAATAAATGACAAAGCTTGTTCCTGTTGCACCATTAAGTTTAACAAAGACACTTGGAAATGTTAAGAACATTAAAGTGTGAGAAACAATTACCTGCACCTTACAATGTACGCTTCTCTAGCACTTCTTTCAAGTTCTTAAATCCCCACACACTTATAAAGTCACATAAACCACTTGCCATGCCTTTTATTCCTTTATTAATTGATAATTATGTGTACATTACCTGTTTCTGGTGGCTGGAGCAGATACTGGGCGGGTGCGTTGCTTTGGACTCTGATTGGTCAATGTCCAGTCTGTCTTATCAGCCCAACCAATCACTGTCTGAGGTGGCCCTGCAGAACTTTTAGACTGTCCTCTTTGTGATAAAACTGCAGACTTGGGTCTCTTTAGCCGAGTACTACTCCCAGTTGAAACAGCATAAGGAGACAGTCTGGCTTCCCTTAAAACAAAAAATAAAATCATAATATATTATTAGAAGACCCGGTTTTGCATAAAGGAAGGGCTGTCACTAAGACTTCAAGTTCAAGGCTGTGCTCTAGCTGTGCATGCAGGTCCCTGGCACCTAATATTCGCTCCCGGGTGACTAGCAAATCAGTTCTTTTTTTATGGAAATCATAATTTTATACAGGGCACACTGGGTTTTACAGGTGCAGAGCATTGGACTTCCCTTAATATTTCTTAGAGTACAGCCTTCAAGTTGCTGGGTATATGCAATTACTGGTACATTGTAGTAGATGGGAAATTGAAAGACATGGAAGTTCTCTTTGGTTCAATTTTCCTTCTATTTCCTATGAAATGAGCAGTGGAAAATCACTGATAGTCTAATAGTGACTGCAGTCCTTATGTTTCCACTACATACAGCAGGTTAGTGAATGATCTGTGGGGTGTGCTGATTTTGGCCAGATTCAAATGAAGAACCTGAGAAGGCAATACAAGCCCCCAAACACAATCCCCCAACAGCTCGTACTTGGAAATTGCCCTAAAAATCGTCAAAATAAAACAAAGCAAAAACTGTACAGTAACGCATAATTTCCGGCATTTGGCAAAGAACTTTTACTTGTGCCAAATGAATGCAGTCAAAAAGTGTCACAGTACATGTATATTGCTGTTTGCACAGTTCATTCTTAACTCTTAGCTTTGATTTCCTCGTCCCAAATAGGCAAAGTACTTGCATGGCTGAGTTTTAGTAAGATTTGTAAACATCCTCAAGGCGATTACCAATTGATTTTGAGACGTATATTTCCCTGTCAGTATAGACAGTATAAGCCTAGCCAATTTTGAAACGCAAATTTCCCTCCATGTAATAAGCCCCTCAAAAAGGGCCTTGGAAAAATGTAAGACCCAGGGCTTATTTTCGGAATTTTAAGCCATTTTCTTTTTTATGGGGATTTAGCTGCTGCTTTTTATACTGAGGTGTCCACACTAAGTAAGTGTCTTTGTCATGGTTTAACTAATCCACAGAGATGAACATGGGGGGAAGTGTATGAGATGCTAGTGGAGCCACGGACTTCAAAGACATTATGTTGGGGCAAATCTAGGGGGAGGGTACAGGGAGTGCACACCCCCTCCCCCTGAGATGACCTGCAGCTTTCCAATACAGTTATAGAGTGTTTTCACTCACGTGGCCAGCATCTATGCAAATTTATTGGAACAAAAGAAAGCGTTTGCATAAGAAAAGAGTTCACCTCCCAGAGGACTGGTTTGGGACACCAACATGGCTGCCGTTTCATTGTTTTGGGACACCAATATGGCCGGCGTGACGTCATGTGAAAACACTCTATACAAAATCTGCTGTATCGTTTGATATGTATTCTCAGCAGTTTACATTAGTATGTTGTTGTCTAGTCAAAAGCCTTCTTCTTCGTATTCACTTTTAAAATTTGTTTACGTCACTAGTCAGTTACGCCACTGATTGGGGGTGCACCCTTTCCTAAGAAAAATCGTGGACCCGCCCCTGATATCTCTTATACAGGGATTAGAGACACCCTGATTATCAAGACGTCCATAAAGAATATCAAGGCGACTGCTGCATGCCTCGAGACATCACGTCTTCCTGCACAACTTATATATGACAATCTATGGTCAAAGGCCAAAGGATAACCTGTAAAGGAGTCCTAAACCCCATATAAAAACAGATCACCCACTTACCTTCCTTTGCGAACTGGAGGACTTCTTTGAATTTCATCCATGTATTGAGCAAGCAGTATATCTTCATAGGTAATTTCCTCGCTCATTCCTCTTTTGAAATACACCGATGATTTCCCCTTACCAGCTGCACGATCGCGAGATTCTGAAGTCATTTTGATTTTGTTTGGAAAGTCAGACCATCAAGTCAAGCTCAACTATTTTTGCGGGATTTACTCACGTTTCGTCCATCATTGTTGAAACAAAACCAACCCAAAATTAACAGGTCGCTGTCTAATTGATGCTATACTGCACTCGTTCAACCGAAATTTGGAAAACCGCCTCTATTTAGGACAGTTTACAAAAAGATTTTTGTCAAATTTACATTTCTAAGATGGCCGCGCGTTGCTACGAGTGACGTCACAGTTTTGTGAAAAATACCGCTGAAAAAGACTTGGCGGGAAAACTCCCGGCTCAGCTTCTAGTCACAGGGAAACCAGACTCACAAATAGCCTACTACGAGCCAAATTATGAGGATTTGTATGGGAATTTATCGTAAGATAATAAAAAGGGGGAAATGCATAAATAGCCATGAAAGTGTAAATGCCTCATAAAGAGTTGTGTCTATGTTGTTTTCTTACTGTTTCCGGCCATATAAACGCAATTTTAGCAAGTTCTGATGTTTTGGTTTCTCACCTAACCAAAACAGCAAGAAAACAACACAGACACAAGTCTTTATGAGGTATGTACACTTAAATTGCTCTTTATGTGCATTTTACCCGTTTTACCGACCTTACGATAAATTCCCAAACAAATCCTTGTAATATAACTTCCAGTAGGCTGTTGTCAGTCTGGGTTCCCTGTGATACAGTTAAGTGCAACAGGTGGGCTTAATAATAGTTTTTCCCAAAAATTTCAATGGTTCTTGCACATGTGATGGGCGCATTTAGTTCGTTATATAACGCAATACATTCTTTGGGTGTTTTCCTGCTCATATGTCATATCACTAACTGTGGGTGGTTGTTCCTAGAATGTTCTACAATTGGTGTAGGATTTAATGGAACCGAAATCAATTTTGGAATTTTAGGCATCCTACAGATAAAAATTTACAACTGATAGATATTTCGAACAACGACAATTTGCCGTCTGTTCTCTTTGAATTCTCGTCATAAGCCAGGTCAATGCACCGGAAGCCCTACACCCGGTTGACTCAGACGGTAGCATCCTGCCCCGTCTGTAGAGTGTGTTATCGCGGCTTTTACAGACGGCTGAACGTTCACTAGCCTGCGAAAACATCCGTTTCTCTAGACGTTCACGTGCCCCTATGGGATTGAAAACTGTTGAAGAACTATATTGGGCACTCTCTTCCAAAAATTCAAAACCAGGACGCTGCTTTTCTTGCGGTTAGAAGATCCGAGGGTTTATTTTGCAGGGACATATATCCCAAGGAGATCTTGCAGGGCGCAACTCTCTCATGCGCTTGGCCCAGAAAAAAAACATTAGCTCTGAGGGAGAATTTTCTTGGTGAAATGTTTAACTTTACCGAGGAACGTCGTGGGGGAGAAGTGTTGGAAGAGGGCTATAACCCTCCGAGCATACTTTTGTCAAATTATCTCTGCAAGGGAATTCGGTGTCATAAGCAAAGTGGAGAGAACAAACAGTGTTCTTTGCGTTCACGAACTGGCAAAACAAACAAAAAAAAACATGTCCCAACAACATTTCTTGTGTGTGCGGAAATTTTGAGTTTTGTTCGCCCTGCTGAATGTTAGATGCTAAACAAAGGGTGAGGGTTGTCAGGTCGTCTTTTGGTCTCTCCTAAGTAGTATTATTTGTGGAGTAGATAAGAGCAAAGGCGCCGCGAAATTTAGATTTTTTCTGCCCCCTTGGCACTCTCTAAACACAATACACAAATGTCTTTACAGTGAAAATTTCTTATCTCTCTTTCTCTTTTTTTAACTACAAAATATTCTCAAGTCCTCTAGGCGTTTTTCAAAATGTTTTCTCTCACAATTTAAAAGCGTTTAAGTTTAAGTTGTTTCTGGTTGCATTTTTCAACATGTCTTTTAACCACTTTCACGATCGTGTTATAGTGCTGTAAAAGAGCGGATTGAGCAGTCCCAGATAGGTTAGTTCTTTCACTTCCTGGATGTAACACACTTGAAACCTGATCCTGAGATTTTGACCACACCTGAAATCAAAAATGGAAAAAGAAAACAAAGGGTCAGTTATTTAAGGTGATTCCCTAGTTTTGCACTGTGCATCTCTTACTGCGCATAACAAGATGGCCGCCGTAAAAAAGAGCATACAAAGTAATATTATAAAAATGAAGTTGACTGAAGAGAAACGCTATTGGAATATTTGCTTGCTGTTGTTTCTTGCCGAGGTGAGACTCAATGTGTTGGGAATGTGCATAACGTAAGCAGTACGCGCATTGCTGAGTTCGACCTCCTCTCTGAGAACCTCGATAGTGGATGTTTAACTTGTGCTTACTCACTTTGATTTTCATTTAAACACTTTCTTTATCACATTGTGTCCTAAATGTGATATCTCGATGAAAATTCTGTAAAAACGGATTTTTTAATACTTTCTCCCCCTTTCACATACCTTCTGTTTTGAAATTCGCCCCAGTCCTCTCTCAAAAATCGGAGAAAATGCGTTTGGTGCGCACTTTCTGCAGCTCTACCGCAAAAACGAGTACGGTGACCCCCATTTTTTATTTCATGATTTTAATAAGGACCGTGCTTTCTTTCGATGAGCAAAAAATTGGCACAAATGTATGTTCAGTTTTTTGGCAATTTTACTAAATTGTACGGATTGAGCCATCACGGGTCGAAAAGCGTGCGTCCAATTTAATTCTACTTTGGAGCGTAAAGTAAAAACAAGGGCATTAAAATGTATTTTTCTGGTACGTAAGTGGATAAACAATACATTAAAGTCAAATTCTGTGTGATGCCACATGCATCATCGAAAAAATCTCTCCTTTTTGTCTAGTTTTGAGCTGCCCGCGGTTTTTGTAAAAGGGTCCTAAATAGCCGTATTTGTCAGTATTGTGACGTCAAAACGAGCACGGTGACCCCCACTTTTTATTACTTTTTTATCATCTTCTTGACTTGTTACATCAGTGTACCAAGTTTTAGCTACAATCTATGTTAGGTTCTTTTACTATGGAATCACCTTAAACAGAGTTTAGCCAGTTGTTGGGTTCACACTAGGCACTAAGTCTGTCTTAGCCTAAGTCAAGCCAAGTCACCCTAAGTCCGCTTAAGCGTTCAGACATATCTAGAAGACAAATTCTTTCCGTGCAAAGCTGTCATCATTAACGATAAAAATAACAGATAAGGTAACTAACATCATAAATGTGGTGAGGTAGTCACGATCCATTTTAGCGAAGAAGTTGAGATCAAAATGAGACCGAGAAGCCGTAAAATCGCTGTAATTGCGACTGTTGTCTGTTTATTAAATTTAAAAAGGTTGATCAGCCAAATAACCTTACAAAATCTTATGTTCCCGTGCTTCAGATCTGTTGGGAAATCGGCGAGGAAAATGATAAGAAAAGAAAATGACACTTACGTAGGCCAATAAAAAAGTGACCAAGCCACGCAACTTACGTCGCATAAGGTGAAAAGTCGGTAGCGTAATTGCCTTCTAACGTTTCGTCCTCTCGGCGAGGCATCTTCAGTTAATTTTGTTCGTGAGAAGAAACTGTATCGTGATTTCTTTACTTTTGGCGCCTAACGCGGGAATATCTATCTGATAAAACCCACGATTTTGAAATCTTTTTGCTATCAGGTTTCTTAAGTCAGCTTTAAGTCATGTTTGAAACAGACTTAAGAACTGCTTAGGTCGTTTGAGTTTGCCGACACTAAGACAGAAATCACGCTTCTGTGACTTAGCGGTTCACACCTGTCATTTTCACTAAGTCGACTTAAGAGATTACTAAGTCAGACTTAGTGGTCTAATGTGAACCCAACAACTGTTTATCAAAAACGCGTTCTAAGCCATTGTCAGTTTGCCCAACGCTTTTATGTAAACACCACTTATCGTCATGAAAGCGTATAAAGAAGACTAGATAAGCATTTGCCTTCTTAAAATAACCCACTAAGTAGGAGATCTGGATGTCCAAAGAATTTTCCTTAAACCGCGGTCTAAGTTAGACTTCGTTTAAATAACCGACCCAAAGTGTTTAAGACGGTGAAAAATGACTTGATTGTCGAAAACCACTTTCGTAAACCCTTGATACTGCATTGCTTCGCTCTGTAACAGGCTGAAGATTCTCCCGCCACTTTTTGAACCAAACAGAACCATTTTTCAGTTGCCTGTTTTACCGCACCTTTAAATGCACTGGACAAAATCTCCGAAATATTTGTGAGTACTTTCATTTAAAATGCAAGCAAAGCTTTTACAGACTGAGGTTTTTTATTTACAAAAAATAACTTTTCTTATTCAACTGATTTGGTAAATCTAAAATACTCCAGGGTCCCAGGGTCAGTGCACAGTGCTAGTCCGATTGGGCGGTAAAGTCTCATCTATGTACAAGTCGACCCGACCTTTTGGTAGTCAGGTCGTGAGACACTTAGAAGAATATTACTCTCTGATGTTGAAAGAGGGGGTCGCCAGATGGTGACAGATCGCGACGATCAGTTCGGGTGGTGACGACATTTCAAAGAACAAGTCGACCCGACTTTTTGGTAGTCAGGTCGTTAGAGACTTAAAAAATATCACTCTCTGATGTTGTATATATATTATAAATTTACCTGATTTAACTCTCTACTCAGCTTTTCATCATATAATGCACTACTGATGACTGAGACAGTGGCTGACTGCGGAAACGGCTTCAGCTTTCGCAACATTCTCAGCTGCGCTAAGCTTTCGTTTGCGAAGAAAAATTCATCAACCGCCGCACTAAGATGACCAGGTTTACAAAGCAGGTGTTTCTGTCGCATAGTCACATTGGAAGACAGAAGTTTGTGCTGCATCGGCGGTTTCATTAAACCAAAAATCAGCGCTATTCTAGTGATCCCTACTGCCGCAGAAAATTGCAGTGCTTGCTGAGAGGAAGCATATCGCTCATACCACATTTGTGTCCACTCTTCACCAAACAATCCCTCCTCAGCCAGAGGATTTATCAACACCAAACTTTCCACGTCGTTCTCAAACATATTCGTGAAAAATCTTGCGTTGACTGCTCCTAATTCTGCACCTACTAGTATGAAAGGTTTGGGCTGATCAGAGCTTAACGCGAATAACCGATGGAAATCCTCCACCATTCTCTCACTGGTTGATAATTTGCCTCTTTTTGCTTGCTGTGGATCTGACCAGTTGACTAAAGGTCTGTCACTGAATCCTAAACCAGCTCTATCGTAAATACATACTCTGGCAATCTTGGCAATTTCAGGTGCAATCAGTGCCCAAGCATCTGATGACTGACCTGTGGGGGCATCAAAAATGACAGTGGGTGGACCACGCCCAGAGCAACCCATGAAGAGTTTCTGCTTCCAACCAATATCATAAAGTTCACCTATAAAATAATGCACATATATATTGCCATTGATTAGATCAATCCACAAGGCTGAACCTCAAAAATAGGCATGCAGAATTTGAAAAAAGTATTTACTGGGGCAGGCACATCAAACTTGATGATATGCTACACTCTGACAAAAATTTCTTAGCACTGATTGCGCAAGTTAGTATTCCACTCTTCCAGAAAACCCTTTTTGTCCCTAACCAGTCCCATGCCAGATCCAAAATCTTGAAAATGCTACCACGATAAGCGGTATCCGTATGACTCATTCTTAGTTTCTGCTATGATGCAGTGATTTTGTTACCTCTGCGTCCTGCATCCCTGACACATAAAAATCCGCAAAGATGCAATATAAATGTAATTCAAGGCATACGCCCGGTAGGATCCAAAGGACCATCCCTCAATTTGAAGATTTTTTCGTAGAATAACCTGTTTGTGTGATTTCTGTGGCTGTTGCTTAAAGATGCATGTTTATTTTAGTCTTTTTGTGCTCTAAATATATAAAAGGACTATATTTTAATTTTTGAACAGTAAACTGTGATAAAGAGTTTTGGCATCTGTCTCCACATTAACTGACTGGTCACATACACTGTAAAGGCCCAAGTATTTTCAATTTAGGACTCCTTGTCTTTTTGAACTGGGACTCATTGGTTTGTTTATGGCGGCACAAGATTGTAAACTATACTTAATTTGAAATAAACTTGTTGTTGTTGATGAGTCCTAGGACTCACCATATAACTATTTGTAACAAAATCACTGATGATGTTAATAAATTTAAAACCAAACCGCTGAAGCATGAGCTCATACCAGCATGAATCACTGATATAAGTCATGCCAAAGCCATATAAAAGTGCAAAGCTAAATGTTTGAAACATTAATTCAGCTGAGATTGATACATGTAGTTATGACTGTTGCAGTGTACTTATCAATGGTGTGATAGTTAAAAAGAAAAAACAAGATGGTTACTTGACAGAATGACTCTATTTCTATCAGAATTTCCCTCCCAGTTCAAAGGGTGACTGAAATAAAGCCACAAGTGAAATTAGACCAAGAATAACTAGCAGCGGCAGATCCAAGGAGGGGCGCGGGGGTCCTGAGTGTCAACTAACTTTGCAACCAAACTGAGGCCCAAAGGGCCCAAAAAATTTTTTTCAGACCCCCCACCCCCTTAACTGAAAGTCTGGATCTGCCACTGACTTGAGCCTTTCTTCATGCACCCATTGAAGTATTACTCCAAAAATACTACTTTAGTAAAAAATTTATGGGATTGAAGTTTTGACTCTGACCTGGTGGTCGTAGCACATCTCCTTCTCGGAACAGAGCGGCATGATTAAGAAATCCAGGAACTAACAGAAACAGGGAATACTTTAACAATCCCAGCCAACTGCTGCTGCTCTGTTCTCTCTCAACTTCCTCATCATCTGAAATATTTGTCTGCTATTAAAAAAAAGAAACATCAACAGTTCAGCAATAAATATTTTTTAACAAGTTATCCCAGCCAACATTTTTGCTCAATCCCATAATTCTTACAGTTTTTAATAGCTATAAACCTGATCCTGTACACAAGTTTTAAAAAATTTCTTACAGAGGGTCCACAATTCCTCATGTTCAAAAACGTTGTGGCAGATGGTTGAATAGGAATCTGGCACAGTCACAATTATGGCAGCATAGCAAGGTCACAAAAACTGAGAATAGCTTGTGTTAAGTCAAAATAAAAATAAACACTCTAAGCACCACTATCAAATACAAATTCACCCATAAATTTACCCATAAATTTAATGGAATTGAGAAGTTAAAAGAGCTGATTAACTTCAGGCGCCTAGCTGGAGTTTTAGAAGGGGTGTTTCTTTTGAAACTGAAAGCCAAACATGAACCGAGCACTGTCAGGAAGAAAAGGGAAAACTTGAGGGCAAAATCACAAGTATATGAAATATTTCAGATCACTTTTCATTCAAGGCTCGAACAGAAGAAAACGTTTTTCCTGTGTTTGCATAGCCTGATATAAACACTCGAGGGGTTAGGATAATTCTTGACAGTTATGCAAACTCTCCACTTCGTCTTGGGTTTGCATTAAATAACTGTCTCGAATTCTCCCAACCCCTCTCATGTTTATATCAGGCTATGCAAACAAGGGAACCGTTTTCTATTGCTTAAATTGTGAATTTCTTGATGTTCGTACGACAGGAATGCACTCAATAATTACTAGCTGTTCTTGTGTCATATCTATGGACTTGACTGTCTGTCATAAACAGATTGCTTAAGAGTGGAGGCAGCAGATTATTGTGGTAGCGAAACATAAATTTAATTTGGAGAATAGAGGAGCAGTATGTGCTCAATATTCTGAATTTGTAATAACTTGGAAAATATCTAGAATTTCCAATTTGGAGAATAGAGGAGCAGTATGTGCTCGATATTCTGAATTTGTATCCATTTCAGAGGCTTTTCTAGAACGGGTATAATATTTCGCTCCACTTTTGTAAGCAGCCATTTGAAAGTATTAGGACCAAACTTTTGCAGATAGTAAATTCTGTTTAAATTAGACACAAAAATTGGCCCATTTCTACAACGGGTATTTGAGGGAAGACCACGTGGAGTTACAATAAGCAATACAAGGATAAATTAATGTGTAGAACAGCGCGAGTTTGGTCATACAAGATAAGTAGAAACGTGTCCTAGATAAAATACTGATTGATTTAGCGATTTGTTTACAGACAAAGTTTATGTGATATTTCCAAGCGAGATGTTCGTCTAGGTACACCTCAAGAAATTTAGTTACATTGCTTTGAATTAGAGTTTGACCTCCAAAAGAGAGAGAAAAACTGTGATTGAGTTTCCTCTGACTTGGACTAACGGTACTCATCTCTTCTTGAGATGAGGGGACAGAGACACATTTTTTAGACTAGCTGGAACAACTGCATCTGTAATAGACATGTTAACTAACTAGCTTAGTAATCACTGGTATTATCAGAGAAAGCAACTTCTACTTTGATCTTTTTAATATTCAGAGTTGCTAAATTATATTGAGTCTCAATAAAAATGGTTTATGTTAGGGAATAGTATGCTGTGATTGTTTGCAAGGGGTTTTACTGCTTTAAAGTTATTACCTCTACAGGTTTCATGTTTCTTTTTTCAGGTTTCCGGTGCCTCATGATTCCTTCAAACAAAAATAAATATTTAATAAAAACAAAAATCATAATCATGAGAGTGATATTTATTAGCAGTTTGGTTTTAATTTCCACTTTTTAGAGACCCAGCCCCATGATGTTGAACTTTGTTATGTGTGCTGGGCATATTAAGGAGAACAATGCCTCAAAATACATTACTCACCCCAAGACCAAAGAGTCATGGCCTAAGATATTAACTCTACGTATTTAAAACTCTTTAAAAAGATTGAGATTAATCTAAAATAGAAGACAATCTGCAGCACTGTTTATTTAAAATTACAAGTTTTCTATTGTTATTCTACCTTTTGACAAATTTGGGGTGATATATATGTTGTAGTTAATTTTTTATCTCAGGTAATTTTTGTTTTTCTTTTGTTTTTGGGTATGGTAATGTATGCTAATGAAATTGAAACAAAGGAAAAATAAAAATTACCTGGGATAAAAAATTAACTACAACATATACATTACGTATATATGCACTTTACAACATACGTTATAATAACTTATAAATGCATTTGGTTCAGTACATGAAAAGGTCGGCGTCTGAATCAAATGAGTTACCACTAAATTAAAGCAAGGGGCACACATACACATACATTACCTTGCACAGCCATATCACGCAGGCAGGGGCAGCCATCGACAGCTGTTTCGCCCTTTGCTTACTGGGGCTCATCAGCATGGCAATAGCCGTCGGGCAGTGACCAGGAAAACCCATGTATGAGGACCCTTTCCTGCCGAGGTGAGTCCTTTAAGTGCCAGCTTCACACAACACATGTGGGAGCTGTTGGCTGGGAACCACACAACAGTTCTCCCACGACATGCGCGAGGAAGGCGGATCATGGGTTTGGTGTATGTGTGCCCCTTGCTTTAATTTGTCTTTTGAAAATAGCGAACTAAACTGCTCTACTGCATAAAGAACTTGAAATCCTGACTTTACACAGCAAATTTTTCAAGATATTAAAGTTCGTGTTTTGTGCGAAGTTGAGCTCAAGTCATTTTGCTTAAAATTTAGTGGTCTTATAAGCAAACTTAAAATCCTCAAAAAATCGTATTAAAGTCTGCAAATAGTCAATGTAGTAGACTTATATTATTTTGGTCTCTTTTTAAAGCTAAAAAAATTCATGGTGCACCTATGAAGCCTTCCGAATTATTTTGCTTCAAAGACACCAAAAATTTTGCTGCATTATTATTTTTCTTAGCGGTATGCAATTAAAAATTCCAGCTCACAAATGCGACAGATATCGCGTAGGATGGAAATGATCCACCCAACGATTAATTGAAGACTGGATGAGCAGGGGAATCACAAACACGCACATGGCTCGTGGATTCTCTGATCTGTATCATGTGTTCGCTCGAAACAATGCATTCTCTGTCCTGCATCACATCATGGTTGCCTTACATTAGTCTACGTTACATCGATTCAAGATTTTTTCTGGCCCTGGAACAATCGCGCACAGCTCTATTAGGTTTCCGCCGCACAGCTTCGAGTCTTCGCGAGGCCGCTCGTTGGCAATAAATATCGCGTGACAACAACATCACAATAGGTTTAGCTCTAAATCAAATTTAAGCCTGTATCAGCACTTTCTTTGGAAATGCTTTTCACTACAGATACTTTGGGTGCTTGTCTTCTGCTGTGTGAAGTTTCACAAAAATCTATTACAGGAATTTCAAGATATCTCTGAATTTCTACAAAAAGGGTATACATTTTGCATGAACTGAAGACAAGACTTAATGCAGACAAATTTGCTACTTTTTGGATGTTTCTGAAAAGTTCTTATCACTCACTTGTTTTTCAAATGACCTTTATACACTCTACAAATGGCTAAATGCAAGTAGACTTGTACGATTTTGAAAAACATGAAAACATGTGAATCAGGGTAAAACACAGCACTGAAAATAACTGTAATTTTTTAGGCTTCTTTCATGAAAACAGTGATTGAACCAAAATATGTCGATAGATTTTCTTCAAAATTTTTCAGGGCTGCAAGTGATCTGAGTGTACTATAAAATTCCCAAATTTCATGTCTATATTGAAAACTTTTTAAGTTGTCTAACGTAGGCACAAAATTGAAGCCATGTCACAGATTTGGATAATTTTTTGCTCTGGGATTCCCTATTGTCTTGAGTTGAGCATAACATCAAATTCCCATGCAGCAAGCAAGAATTCACTCTGCTTGGCTGCCCTCTGAAATCTTTCCAAAATATGTTAATGTTAGAAAGGGAGAAAAAGTAAGGCGAATTAAAGAACAAGAGTTTTATGCGCAAACTCAATTCAACGTCCACTACTTATCAATTGGTAACACTGCTAATTTCATTGAATTTGAGATAGTATGAGGTCCTAATTATCGCTTTTCACTATTGTTTCTTCCCTCCTTCAACATATTTACCATATTTAAGAAGACTTTGGAGGGTAACCAAGCACGGTAAATTCTTAACCTACAGGGAATTATTTTACCATAAAGTTTGGTTGAATAGGCCTTTTGCAATAGTTGGTCATGTGGTCAACTTTTTGTAAACACGAAAATAGTTCATTTATATGGTTTAAAATTTTGTCAAGTCGGAACTGAAACTGAAGTATTAAAATTAGATAACCTGTAAAATGTCAGCCGTATATCTCAAAAGAAGCGATTGCAACAACCGCCAAAACTTAGAAGGAGATTACAACAACTCTTGGGAAAAACACTTGCCACCCAGTCATGTTTGAGTGGTTTTACATACAAATCCCTGTAAATTTTGAAATTTTTAAACTGTCGTTACGTCTTTCCCTTATGCATTTAAGGGCTCAAATTGCCTGTTGTGAATAAAAAGGAGATTTGAGCCCCTTATTACTTAAGGAAATATTTCACGACAGTTTGAAAATTTCGAAATTTACAAGGATTTGTATGGAACTAATGCAAAAGCCCATTGATTGAATTGATCCTGTGTTTGTAAGCCCAAACCTTCGACCAGGTGCACTGTTAAAAGCTTAATGAACATATATCTTTATCTATTTACATTTTTACGAACGGAAAAAACAAATTACTAGCGGATAAAACAAGGTCTATTTGGTCGAATTGCCCAGACTTGAATATTCACACACAGCCACAACGCAATGAACTCCAAGATGGCAATGCACGTGCGTCAAAATTTGCGGCATACGGTAACCGCAAGCAACAATAATTATCATTTATGAACAAAACCGCCTTTGCTTACCCTTCAAAACTAAACGTAAGGAACTAACCTGAATGTCAGTTCAAGACGAAGTCCCGTTCGTCACAAGAAGTTTCGTGGACTACAGTGGAGACTTCTCGCCACGTGCTGTGTCAATTACATGGCGCACACAGCCATTTTTGAAACAACGCTGACCAGTAATTTTTCTTCTGCAGTTCTGGCCCGGGTTGCTCGAAGCATGGTTAGTGCTAACCAGCGTTAAATACCATGGAAACCTATACATTTTGATACCTCTTAACCAACGGTTAGCGCTAACCAGGCTTCGAGCAACCGGCCCCTGGCGCATTGGCGCAGTACTGCGCAGTACAATATAGGCCATTTGCACTAAGAGGTCATGTGACATCGTTTTTATGAAAATAAAAGTTATATGATTTTGCCTTCGAAAAACGATTAGTGGGTCATATCTTAAACAAAATAATAGTGATTTGGTTTCTCAAACCCGCACCATTTTCTTAAAATGAGTAAGTTCGTCGCTGGTCACGTGACCAAAATATGATTTTTAAAATTAGGAATTACATCTTTCTGAACTCAAATTTTGCGCTTAAAGTTCAAGGGAAATGTTGAAAAGATGACGTGGTAACGTTTACAGCACATCTGAGTGTAACTATCAAACGTTTAACAAGATATAAGCAAAAAGTAGTTTTGGCCGCCATGTTGGAGGGCAAGAGTATGCCCTCCAACATGGCGGCCAATACAAATCATACTGCTTTGCTCAAAAATCAAAGTGCCATAAAATATATCCCTTAAATGCGTTTCCTCTCAAATTTCGGGTGTATGATAATTTTTATGTGCTCTATCAATTTTTGGCATGAGCAAGATTCCAACTAATCGTTTAAAGGAAGCATTGGTCACGTGACCTCTTAGTGCAACTGACCTATTTTTTTTTCTTTTCAGTTCGACAAGCGCTAATGCTTCATTTTGTAAAATGAAGCGTTGGCGTTTCGCCTTGTCGAAAAAAAAATCGCACTGATATATCATCACATACACCCATAAACCGGTAAATCTTCTCTTAGCCCCCCTTTTCAATCCCCCCGCCCCTTATTCAATGGTCTAAACGAAATTTATCATAGTACTGACTGTTCGTATTGACCAATCACTAGTACTTTAACACTCCATGTTGACTGATCTGGTATGTTTTATTCACCAGATTCTCGAACTAGAAGTTGCAATTTATCAAAGGCTGCACGACCTCCTTGCGTTCTAGTTATTCATGGAGAACTGATACCAGTGACGACACCATCTTCTAGTTAGTTGAAAAGGCAATATCTAAAGCCCCAAATTAAACAAGCCCACCTCTCAATTAAGCCCCCCCCCCCAATCAAACATGTTTGAAATACATAAGCTACCCCTCACCCCTTTTGGGGCTTAACTGAGGGTTTCCTCAGTCAGCTGGCAGTATGCAAGAAATATATAAACGGCAAACTGATCCTCACGGCAACGAAGAAATGAAGGAATTATCAAAAAAGAAAAACGAAAAATATACTTTCAGTAAAATTACCCGATATTTTAGTCTGGAAGACAAACCTTCAGCGGGTAGAAGAAAAAGAAAATTAACTTCAGTCGTAAGCTAAATTAAAAATCATAATCGGCTAATAAATGTGGAAATTTTCCATTTAACAAAGTGAATTTCGGTTTAGAATTCCGAGAAATCCCTATACTTAACGCACGCATGGAAAAATAGTATAAATTTCAGATTTTTCAAAATTTCCCAGGGAAAATAATATTCAAGAAGGATAACTCGTATTTTTGACAATTATGAAGGGATTTAAATTTCCACTTGATTGTGTTACCGGAATACATTCGGAAATGTCGACTGAATGGCACGCTTTCGAAAGTTTTTTCAGTTCTCGTATTCAGGAAAGCTTTCAGTTAGAAGGAGAATTTAGGAGAAGTCTACACACAAGCTACTCTTGTGGTTATTAAAATAAGGAATCGATACCACCTTTCACCGTTAAAGAAGTGTTTTTCTCTTTAACTATAAACCACTCACTTCTGCGTCGTTCAGTGACATCCCAGACAAAATGGCGAGGACAAATAAACACGCGTTAAGAAAAGTAACAGAGGTTTCTACCGAAAGAGCAGGCACGTCATTATTAAAACTATCCGTCATTAGTTCAGTTTGGTAAAATAACTGAGGCGCATAAATAATACTTTCTCTTAAATATTGCCTTTTTAAAAATTGAACACTAAGATTTTAGTGTCCCTAAATAAGCGCGTCAGTCAAACTCCAGGCAATTGTTGACTAAAACCGTTTTTTAAAGCAATTTGATATTAAGAATAAATTATACGAAAATGTTGTTTAGCAGTAAAGTTGATCAAGACTGAGTTGATACAACGATCTTTTTGATAATAACAGATTAGTCATAAGCCGTGACTCATTTTGTTTTGGAATCAAACAATTGTGCTATATATATAGTTGAACCTCTCCATTAAGCGGAAAAGAATTGTAAATGGAACCTCTAATGTGAGCCACCTCAATCAAGTGATAAATAAGTAAATACTGTGCACTTAGCTAATATTAGTTTCTGATGATAAAAGATAAAACAGTTAAGGAGAGCCCCATACCGTTATATTAATATAGCACTCACTTACGCGTAGTTGCGAGGCAGACCCGTAATGGCACTGAAGAATTTTACTGAAGGTGAAAACCAGAAAACAGTCGTAGTACTATCCTGCTCTGAGGAATTTACTGCAGAGGTACAAGGTGAACTGATCTTTCTGTGCAATTGTAAACATCTTTCTGTCGATTACAGCAGTTCTGGGAAACATTCTGATCCTAGTTGCTTTACACATAGAAACTTCACTTCACCCGCCGTCCAAACTCCTGTATCGTAACCTAACCGTGACTGATTTCTGTGTTGGCACCATTGCGGAGCCTCTCCATGCTGTCTATTGGATTTCTGTGGTGACGGGAAAATGGGACATTTGTTATCTGGCTCATTTGATGGTTACTTTCAGTGTACTTTGGCAGCTTATACCTTTTGTGGAGTGTCTTTATTAACCCTGGCTGCAATAAGTGTGGACAGACTTCTCGCCTTGCTACTGGGACTCAGATACAAACAAGTTGTAACTGTGAAAAAGACATACATAGCTATCATTGCCTTCTGGATTGTTTCTCTTGTTGGCGTACCAGCTTCTACAGCTATACGAGAGTATGCTCACTACACAGGTACAGCGCTTTGCTTAGCCATCACAATCGTCGCTTACTCAAAAATTTTCTTCCGTCTGCGTCATAACCAAATTCATCGGATCCACCCCTTACAAGGAGAAAGCCAAGCAATTCAAATGAACACAGCTCGATACAGAAAGGCAGTGTATGGTGCACTGTGGGTGCAGGCAGCATTGGTCGTTTGTTATCTGCCACTTATCGTAGCGATAGCTTTAATACATCAAAGAGGGATGCATTTATCCTCTTACCTTGCTTGGCAATTTACAAGTACTTTAGTATATATAAACTTATCACTGAACCCCTTTATTTATTGCTGGAAGATCAGAGAAGTGAAATTAGCTGTAAAAGAAACATTAAGGCCACTCGTCCAACGATGGTCTACTCTGCTTTTTAGCTATAAATTCATTCCAAACCAAAACTTGCTTTACGGAAAAATCCTCCCCGAAAAGAAATGAACGGTTTTAGTTGAATCATCTTTTATACAAGCGAACATTGCGATACACAATCATACCCTCCAGTAAAATGGGGAAAGCCGCGAGCAGAATTTATTTCGCTGGAGAATTTTAGTCTTGCGTTCAGGCTAGCGGTATTTCACGTGACTCAGTTACTGGCTTAATTTACACTGATTAAATGTGTTACAGAAAACACCTGCGTATAAGAACCTAGTGGTTTAAAAATCTGCTGGCAGAAATAGTCCACTTTAATTTACCCAAACATAAAAGAACCTGTTTAGCCAAGCAAGATCAAACAGGTTCTTATATGTGGGTTAAAGTTCAATCATTGCTTCCGAGGTACGAGAACGCAACCTCTAATTTCTGTTGGGTGTCCTGTGCAATTGATAAGGGAGGTTTTTCGAGATTGCATTTGTGTCGACACACATTTGCCTCGCTTTGAGGCGCTTGCTTACGTTTTGCCTCTCTTTGACGCGCTAACTCACGTGGTGATTGGTGTGTCCTCGGTATTCATCTTTTAAACGTTTGCTGAGGTCTGCTATTCTGTCTTCTTAAAGCGTTCATCTTTTAAAAGCCGGTGCTCAATCTTCGTAAAGCTTACATATTTAAGAGTTTGCTGAAGGTCTACTATCGATCTATGTTTAATGAATCTTCCAAAGCGTTCATCTTTCAAAAGTTTGCTGAACGTTCACACCCTGAGTGAAATTTTACTTTGGATTAAGCCTTCATATTTTTCGTTGGAAAATGCGTGCGACTCCTGGTACATGCATCAAATCGGGTTGTTTAGCTCGGCGTCCGTTGTGCCACAAAGTAATTTACCGACAAGTTGTGAAGCTCGGCGTCCGTTGTGCCACAAAGTAAATCTACTGAGTTGTGTAGCTAGCATCCTCGGAGACCCAGGGGCAGTCAGTCGGGCCGGGTTAAAAGGCGCGACGAAAGTTTTCAAGCATGGGCGGAAGAGCCCCTGGGTACCGACTCTCACCGGACCATTTCCAAACGGTCAAGCGATTGCTGGCTCCTGGTTGGGCACAAAAAATGCTTTGTATTATTGTGTCCAATCGGCGAACAGCATCTCCTGAGTTCTTTTCGCGAGTTCGTACACGACGGCTATTGATTCGATCACGGCTTGTCTGGCTCATGCACCAAACAAATGCACGCTGTCGGGAATCTTTCAGTTTGATATAACCGCTACATTTCAAAATACTGGTAGTCTTTACACCAGAGCCTAAATAAGCTAAGAAATATTTTAAGACAAGTAAATTTTAAATTCTTGAAGTAAAAGAAAGCTTCCCACACAACCTATCTTTTTTCTTCAGGTATTCCCACGCTACGTAATTAAGATTGATTGACATGCTTGCTTTTCGCAAAGCTTGAAAACCGCAAGTTCGGTTTTTTAAGTCGGTTTTAATGAGATGCAAAGTAAAGTTACTTGAGATTTTGCTTAGGCCGTCACGCACGCTTTTTGGTTAAGTAAAACTTAGCAGCTCTCTTACTTAACAGCCTAGTGTAAAGACAACCACTGTCTACACGAAGACTAAAGACGCATTCCAAAACTACAAGCTTGAGCTTACAACAGGTACTTTTCACGCTTGTATCGATCATGCCTTCGTAAATATTAGGGAGTTTAATATGCAACGACAGCTGACAACCACGAAAACGTCGCATGAAGAGTGAACTCACATTTTTTCAGTCTCTATCGTGATTATTCCAACTCACTTACTTTGTCAAACGCAAGCGAACTCTCCTGGAGCTGAATTTCTATCAACCCGATATCCAAGTTCATAAAGAGAAAGAAGATTTTGTCATTGCTTGTTTACGTCCTTCACAAAACGTGAAATTAGGCATTTTCACGGGGTAGTCGTGCAATGACCAGGGGCACCCAACGACAATTTTCGGAAAAATATCTGTTCGGTAGACGATTTGAGATCTAGAATTTTCGGAACAGTTGTTGTAAAATTTTTTGCTTGCCTGCTTCTCCTAGGATTTTCGAACATCTAAAAACTACTATAGTTGCCCATTTTTAACGGATTTTTACCCTTAAAAGGTGACCTAGAATTTTCGGGAGCCTTTTTTCTGGCTGAAATTTTCGAAAAGGAAAGTTTTGATCCCTATAATTTTCGGATCACTAGACTTTCAGCTAGGAAATCCGAACAGATGAAAAAATTTTAGAGGATAAAAATATGCCTATATCTACCGTTTAAATACTAAAATACGTTTAACAATGCTATGTTCAAGTGGTTTTGAACTATATTCTCGTTGGGTGCCCCTGAATGACGGCAAAGAAATATACAGAAAAGTGTGATGCACGTGCAAAGTTGCTGTTTTGCCTTGTCAGACTTGTCAAGCTATTACTTTTTTTACTTTCTCGTCGCCGCTTCATCTTAAACTTCCTATTATTTACGATACATTGTGATCCGTCAGAAACACAATTTTCTCAGTGTAAATTAAATTGCTGCTGCCGATAGCATCCGAAACGTTTTTCGACTCATCGGTAGTTCCTTCGTTTCTGAGGCCCGTTTCTCGAAAGTCCCGATAATTAATTAACGGGCCCAGTAAGCTGTCTCCGTTTACATTAAAGATCGAGGTTTCAATAGTTTTGCATCTAACATGATAAAACTGTCAGTTAATGAAACAAAATGGAGTAGTTTGCTAGCCAGAACCCGCGCTCTTATTCTTTATACTTCCATTTGAATATTTGATTTCGGGCCCGTAAAGTTACCGGGACTTTCGAGAAACGGGCCCCTGGTTTGGAAAGCTTGGTGAACGAACCGGGCAACTGTGGCGAGATAATAGGGAACTTAAGAACCACGACGAAGTTCACGACGACGACGTCTGTTGACTGGGAAAAGACTGGAACGAGAACGTCGGTTTCGGCGGGCAAAAGGAAACTTAAGATGCAGTCGGTCGGTAGGTCGACGACGACGACACTGAATGTAAACACAGATGTAAAACTGTGATGTTCGTTCGCAACAAAGTTTTTCGCAATGGCGTCTTTCAAAACAACGCAAGATCTTATTTGTTCAAGCCGTACGTCTAATTTCATTGACGATGAAAAATTTTTTGTGCTCTCTGACCTTTTCGAGTGGAAATACACCTACTTTCCGTACGAAATTATTCAACTTTCAACTTGAATGAGATGGCCGAGTCCGAGTGTCCGTCAGAGTTTAGATTTCGAAAAAGAGACATTCTGATATGATAGCTGTTTTCCATACAAAGTTTATTTCCTCTATATTAAAGATATATGATTTGCCTTACCTAAATACGTACAAATAAATTTATCACAATTCACTTACGAGTTCGCTCGCTCGGCTTCCTCAGCTGTTGCCATTCTTCAAAGTAAAATCAATTCATTAGTCGAATTTTCAATCAACATCGCTTGTTTGGAGAAAAAAGGAACGATACCTGGATTTAGGAGGACAAGAAAATGTAAAGGCCTTCAAAAATCGCTTAAAACAGTGGATTTATGCCTGCCGAAGCTTGAGGATTGCAGGACGACGTGATTCTACTTTCTTTGGCGTCGTCGACGACACCACGACGACGAAATTTACTAGTCGCGCTTGCGCAGTACAGTGTAACTCACTTCCGGTCGTCGTCGACCAAGCCGTCGTCGTGGTTCTTAAGTTCCCTAATAGCCGTCGTGTACGAACTCACGAAAAGAACTCAGGAGATGCTGTTCGCCGATTGGACACAATAATACAAAGCCTTGTGCCCAATCAGGAGCCAGCATTCTCTTGACCGTTTGGAAATGGTCCGGTGAGAGTCGGTACCCAGGGGCTTTTCCGCCTGTGCTTGAAAACTTTTGTCGCACCTTTTCTCCCGGCCCGACTGACCGCCCCTGGGTCTCCGAGGATGTGCAGCTAGGCGCCCGTAGTGCCACAGAGTAAATCTATCGAGTTGTGTAGCTCGGCGGCCGTTATTCCACAAAGTAAATCTACCGAGATGTGAAGCTCGGCGGCGCCTTTTCATCACTGGACTCAATTCTATGATATATATTATTTACATTTTATACTACCTTGTTTTTACATTATATTTCCTCGTTTTTGCTCTGTGTTTAATAAAACTGCATTGCTCTCAGCCAATCCTCAGATTTAAGAATTTTTTTCCATGTCTATTATTATAATCACAGGTTACATTCAAATAATTCCCTAAGCTCTGAAACTGATTTAATCTCAGTTTAATTTCAGTGTATTTTTTTGCCAGAAAAAAAAATACATATGCATACAGAAATTCAGTATATTACAAAAACTTTATTTAAAGATTAAAGAGACGTACATTACAAGTAAAAGAATGTAAAAACAATTTTCTGGCGTTGAGGCTCAAATGGAAACCTTGGGGCTTATTATATGAGCTCCCTCCCTAAACTAAGACTAAACATAATGAATAAATAAACGGCAAAGTCATACTGAAATATAATTAGGATAAAAAGCAAGCAAAAATAAACGGACAAAACAGACAAAATGCAGCAAAAAACAAGTATTATTTACAAATGATTATTAATCAACTAAGAAGAAATGTTTTTAATCTGGATTTAAAAAGAGAAATAGTAGCAGCAAAAACGAACGTAAAGCATTTTTTTCCTCTTTAATTCTCATCTCGTTAAGTATGGTACAAACTGAACCAGACATAATTTAGCCCATTTTTTGAACATGTGTATACTGTTAAGACTTCCTGGCTGGGATAAGGCGATTAATACTACATTAAAAAAGCCTTTTTTAATCAGTTTGAACCTTTGTTCTACAGATGTATCGATCAAGACTCGGTTAATAAACTTTGTATCACTGATCATGACAGTTTAGCTCGTTTTCTAAAAACCAGACAATTGTACTATTTGTTTTGCCAATTGCATGGCAGCAACAAGATTCCCAATAACTCTGTCGTTTAATAAAATGAAAATACAGCCCACATATCTAATTGGTTTGTGATATTATGAAGCTATCACATAAGGAAAACAGATATATTAAAAAAAGGTTCGCTTGAACGTAGTTGCTTCGGAGAAAAGTAATGGTAATGACAAACTACCAAACAATTAGAGAACTGTATTGTTCTGCAAAATTCACTGGAGAGTCGAGGAGAGGTACATGGCGAGCTAATTTTTCTCTAAGACAAAAGAGAACAGCTAAATGTGATGGTGAATGATGGTGCAAGTTCCATGTTAATATTTTGGGTTCACTATACTCAATCGAAATGAACGTCACCTTGGTGTTTTTAATTTTAAATATTTTACCTTTCATATAACAAATCCGTATTGGACGCACCGGGAGATGATGTGAACGGGGGAAATGAATTTAAAAAGCAATTTAAATGAAGATATAATCTTGACGTAGTGAAATAGCAATTTAAGCAATTGCAAATAAACCGCCCAAAATGTTAATAAAAGTTATAGCCCACAAAGTTTGACATGTTTGGGGATATACTCGGTTAAGTTAAGACTTCCTCTTCTAAAGAAAATGTGGCCAATTTAGTGCTGGTATCCATGTGAACGTCAGTCAAAGCTGAAGAGCAACGGCTCAAGCAATTTGAAGCTACAAAATACAGAAACACTTTAATATAAGCCCCACCAGTAACAGGCTCGCCAATATAAGCTCCCCTCTAACAAGCATTGAAATGAATTTGATTTATTATGATATTTTGAAGCTTTTACCAGTAACTGCAAAACATATTTAAATCAGCACTGCGTTAGCTTGTTTCGAACAGCTTTTTCCAGTTCCGTTATAATCCCCCTCGCATATAAGCCCCTCCGTTTAATTTATCAAGAGCCCTCCTAAAAACCCTTACCAAGATGTATAATCCCAGGGCTTTTAAGCGGCAGTTTACGGCACCGCATATCATATGTTTGGCTCACAAACTTAACACCTCCGTTAGCAAAATTTTCTCGTTCTTGCTCTCACTATGTTTACTAAAACTGCTGATTGCTCTCAGCTAATCGTCAAATTCAATTTTTTTTTCATGATTTTTATATGATAAAAACAGGTTACATTCTAATTTCCTAAGCTCAAACGATCGTTTTATTTTCTTTAATTCTCACCTCGTAAATGGCCAAGACTTTCGAACCCTTTTTTTTGAACATTTATACATTGTTACTGAGACCTCACAGCTGCCTGCGATGACATTAAGAGCGCGTCAGTTTAACTTCTAGCAATTGACGAAAACCGTTTTTTACTCCATTTGAATATCTGCTTAACAGAAATATCCATCAAGACTTGGTTAATAGACTTTTCATTACTAACAGTTTAACTCGTTTTCTAAGAGCCAGGCAATTGTGCTATTTGCTCGCTAATCGTACGGCACCACAAAGGCAACACCAAGATTGTCGAATTCCATCGTTTAATAAACTGAAAATACAGAGCAAATATTTAATTGTTTGCTGACAAGGTGCATGTAGCAGTCATATAAGGAAGACGGATATATTAAAAAAGAGTTTAGTTGACTGTAGCCACATCGCAGAAAAGTCATGGAAATGAAAAATTTGACTGGAGGTGAAAACCTGCAAACAATGGCAGAACTTTTCAGCTCTGTGGAATTTACTGGAGAGGTACATGGCGAGCTCGTTTTTCTCTCTGTCATTAACACTTTTTTGTCAATTACAGCATTTTTGGGGAATACTCTGATCCTAGTTGCCCTTCGCAAGGACGCATCAATTCATCCGTCATCAAAACTCTTGTATCGTAACCTAGCGATAACTGATCTTTGTGTTGGTATCGTTGTCGAGCCTCTGTACGTTGCTTATGGGACATCTGTGGTGAACGAAAGATGGGATATCTGCCATTACACATATTTGATAACATATTTCCTAAGTGTTACTTTGTGTTCAGTGTCGTTGATAACAATGACCACAATAAGCGTAGACAGACTTCTTGCTTTGTTACTGGGTCTCAGATACAGACAAGTTGTAACTTTGAAAAGAACATGTTTAATTGCTATTGGTGGTTGGATTGTGTCTGTTGTCGGTGGATCTACATCCTTTCTGAATCCTTCTATAGTTTCATTGTTCCAATATATAAGTATAGCTTTTTGTTTAGCCACTACAATCTGTGCCTACACAAAAATTTTCATGTCTCTGCGTCATAACCAAATTCATGTTCAGAACCATGTTGTTCAAGGGCAATCGAGCCAAGTAAATACACTGAATAAAGCTCGATACAGAAAGGCAGTGTACAGTGCACTGTGGGTGCAGGTAACATTGGTTATTTGTTATCTGCCGTTGCTTATAGCTATAGCTTTAACACCTCAAAGGGGAATGCCGTTATCTACTTACCTTGCTTTGCAATTTACAGCTACCTTAGTGTATTTAAACTCGTCGTTAAAACCGTTTCTGTACTGCTGGAAGATCACAGAAGTGAGACAAGCTGTAAAAGAAACATTGCAACAACTACACTTCTGTACCTGAACTAAGAACATTTACTAACGAAATTGATAAGAAAATATATATAAGAAAACCAGACAAATGTCCTAGCTAGTCCGAATTGCACTTTTAAGATTGTTTTCTGTTTTAGTGCAGATTGTAAAGACACAAACCATGAAAATCATTTGTTTATGTTAAAAAGTTTAATAATCATAAAACAAAATGAAAATGTCACTAAAACTAGTCAGTTAGCTAATTAGTTCTCTGGCAATGAAGACTACGAAGCAGGGACATATTCTTAAAGAGAACAGCTCAGTTGATCGCAACATCACACCAACAAACTCTTTTGACCAACGTTTTTTTAAAGCCAGAAGACAATCAGAGAGCTTTACTGTTCTGCGGAATTTACAGGAGAGGTACAAGGCGAACTTATCTTGAAAATACACTGCGTAAATAACAGCTGTTGATAATCATAAAAGCCACCATGTTCATAGTATAATCAAGTTTAACAAACGTCATAAGTTCAGTTTGGTAAAACTAATCAGGGCGTAAAAATATTACTTTTCCGAATGCTTTTTCAAAATCGAGCAATGTTTATTGTGGGATAATGAGGGCCAGTACATGATGCAAGTTAAATTTGATGGCCAATAAATACACATTAACATTGTTCTGTTGCCTAACACAGGTCATTTTAATAAAAGCTTGCGAGCATACGAAGGCTTTTGTTTTTAGATATAAAGAAAAGTGAACCCTTATACTGCTGGTTTGCAGGTGACGTCACAGTGGCCATGTTGGTGGTCAAGAATTAACAAAAGCATTTCATTTCTCTGAGAAGTAACCTCTATTTTCATTTAAATCCTTCGAGAAAACAATTCTATTGTATTGACCCCCAACATGGTCGCTTTGTTACGTGGTTGCAAACTAAGAATATCCACATGGTAACGTGATATCAATGAAGGAGAAGGGGCTGTCATCAGTCCCCCTCGGGGGATTGCTCAGATCACTAACTATTACCTACTGTGGTTATTTCCATCGTATCAATTGTTTTATCCAAAATAAAGTCTATTGCGAGGTCGAATTATTGCAGGAATTAGTAGCAAAAGCGAAGTACTTTCTCAGCTAAGAGCTAAAGAAGACAGGTTCATATACAGTGCTTAAAGGATGGAACATCACCATGGCCCTAGGGGACGAAACCCCCTCTTTTACAAACATGGGCCTTGGGTTCATATAACAGTTGAGTACGCCACCAGTACTGCTAACTTTTGTCCCCTCTCACTTTCAAATTCGTTTCTACGGGCCTGCATGACAAGACAGCATACACTATGAAATATGTCTCGGGGAAAAAAAGCGGCCAGAAAACTGCTTCGATTTGAAAGTTTGGTTGAGCTTGGTAATTTGTATTGCGCGTCACACAGAAAAACAGGAACACGTTGATTTGGCCAATTGATTGTTTGATGAATCATAATAAAAACTTGTCTTCTCGGAGAAATGGTAGTCTTTCGTTGTTTTCACTTTATTTGTAATTAAACTTTAATTTGAATAATTATTATAGGTAAGTGCATCAATCTTAGCCATCGGTAGCGGTACGGCAAACTGAGAAAGTTTTACCTCGAATTATGGATTGCTTACCAGCCTACGTAATTCAGTTTACTTTAACAAAGAGAAGAAGAAGAGCAACAGTCAACAGTCGTGAACTAATCGAACAACAGATAGAGGTGTTATGTACAAGTTGCTGTATACGGGGAAAGTATATATATATATAGTTTTAACTGGATTTTTGAACTTGGTTTAGCAAAAAAAATCAACTCACTCTACTACTTGGCAATTTAAAACAATGAAAAATCAGTAAAAGGCCGATTAAAAGCGTTCATCTGACGGCGGGCAGTAAGGCAGTAGTGCAGGGGGCCGTTTCTCGAAAGTCCCGATAATAAACGGGCCCGGTAAGCTGTCTCCGTTTACATTAAAGATCGAGGCTTCAATAGTTTTGCATCTAGCATGATAAAACTATCAGTTAGTGAAAGAGAATGGAGTAGTCTGCCTGCCAGGACCGGCGCTCTTATTCTTTATATTTCGATTTGAATATTTGTTTTCGGGCCCGAAAAGTTACCGGGACTTTCGAGAAACGGGCCCCAGGTCCCTAGAAGTATTTCAACGAGTCGCAATTTTAATGATGTCAAGTGATTTCTGCACCGTTCTTTGAAGTTAGTCGGTTTGCAGGCAATTACCTTCAAGAGGGCATTCCGGTTTCTTGACGGTAATTGCCTCAGACAAAACGTGATTTACCAAGCGACTGTAACGACTGGGACAGCAACAGAATCATACATTGGACTCAGTAGCCACTAACTTCAAAGAACAGTACAGAAATCACTTGAAATCCTTCCAACACGCGAACAGAAGAAACGAGACGGAACTGTCCAAACAAGTGTGGATCCTCAAAGATGCCAACAGACCCTTTCACGTGCAGGGGGAAAGTACTCAGGAATTGTAAACCATATGACAAGGCTAGCAAAAATTGTAATCTGTTCCCCCAAGAAAAAATTGTTAAATTTATCATTTGTAAAAAACAATTATGTACTCTGAACAAAAGAAACGAATTAGCAAGTTCATGCCCCTATACAGAAATAGATTCACTCTCAGAAATTTTAGAATAACGTAACGCAACGCAACGAAACCACACGGATCCCGAAAACCTATTGGGGAAACTCTATACCTCCGTGTCGACTTTGTGTCTATTTACAAAGGTTTTAATCACTCTGCGTCTGCCTCGTCACCAGCTTCTCGCAATCGCATATTCAGAAATTTTTAAGTTTGAGGCCTACCCATCATCCCCCACTCGCTGTTCTACACTCGTTTCCCCGCACCCCACATTGATCTCCACCCTCCTCACTTAATATAGCTTTGGAAAAGAAACATTTTTCACGCGCAACAATTCTCAGAAGCAGTCTTAAAAATTGTTTTCTCCGCAGCAGTTGCATCTTGTTTCAGAAAACACAGCGGAGTTGCTTGACGGCACCCCAGTGCAAACTGTAGAACTAGAAAAATACCCTTCAGCATGACTCCAGGGTGAATCTGTTTTCAGAGGGTCTACCGAGTTGTGTAGCTCGGCGGCCGTTATTCCACAAAGTCAATCTACCGAGATGTGAAGCTCGGCGGCGCCTTTTCATCACTGGACTCAATTCAATGATATATATTATTTACATTTTATTACCTTGTTTTTGCATTATATTTCCTCGTTTTTGCTCTTTGTTTAATAAAACTACATTGCTCTCAGCCAATCCTCAGATTTAAGATTTTCTTTTTCATGTCTATTATTATGATGAAAAACAGGTTGCATTCAAATAATTCCCTAAGCTCTGAAACAGTTTCAGCTTCAGTTTATTTATTTTTTTTATTTGCCAGAAAAGAACTTCTTGATACATATGCATACAGACATTCAATATATTACAAAAATGTTATTTAAAGATTAAAGAGACGTAAATTGCAAGTAAAAGAATTTTAAAAAAATTTTCTGGCGAGGAAGCTCAAATGGAAACCT